TGCCCATCCGCGGCACAGCAAACGCGCCCAAGTTCGATGGCACTACAGATAACCTTGCCGAGTTTATTGACACCTATGAGCAGCTCGCTGATGAAGCAGGACTCCAAGGACTCGACCGCATCAAAGGTATTATCCGCTACCTTGCGCGCGATGATCGAGAACTATGGGGAGGCATGCCTGAAGCGGCAGTAGATGATTACAGCGCCTTTTTAGATGAGGTGAAGGTAATGTATCCTGGATGGGATGGTAAAAGACGCTATGCGCTCACGGACTTGCGCGCCATCGCGCGCGAATACGCTAACAAACCAATGTCTTCTTGCACAGAACTAAGCAATTACCTGCGCGCATTCAGGAAAGTTATGCAGCCACTCATGGATGAAGACCGTATTGGAAAGGCCGAACGCGACCACTTATTCATGGAAGGAATCCCTAGCGATGCTCAGGCGCAAATCCGCTTGCGCCTTATGATCAAGTTCCCTGACCACCACCCATACGACCCATACCCATTCATGGACGTCTTCGCAGCTGCGCAGTTCCTATTACCTGCGCGCGCTTTTCCCGCGCCAAGCGCGCCAGTTAGCGCGCCCATAGTAGCACCAATTGCCACCTTAGTCACAGCAACTGTGCCAGTGCAAGCTAAAGTGGCTAAGTACAAAGATCAATACCACACGAGTCGCGCAACGCAGGATACGACCATTAGCGCTAACGCAACAGCTGGACTCTTCTATCGCGCACCCTCAGAAGCTGTACTTGACAAAAGGCCACCAGTTCCTATTCACGCGCCTCACGCGCGCGCCTTTCCCGCGCCTACGCGCGATTCACGCGCACCTCAAGCATCAACTGCGCCAGCATGCAAAGCTATATCAGACTGCATTACTTTAGATCACGAACTCGAACGCGCGCTCGCAAAGCGCGCTGCAGGCGCCTCTTCACTATCATCCTCAGCAGCATCATCTCCTTCACAATCCGCATCATCTCCATCACCATCAATCGCATCAGAAGTCAGGGATGACTCTAAACATCTATTGCACACTAATGCGCCAGTTGAAACATGCGCGCCTATCGCTATTGCTTCGCGCGTGTCTATCGCTATCGCATCGTGTGCGCCTATCGCTATCACCTCGCCAGAAGTCAGGGATGACTCTAAAAATCTATTGCACACCAACGCATCGCTTGAAACACGCTCGCATATCGCATCACTTAAGGAAGAAGTCACGCCAATCACATCATCACCATCACCGCATTCGCCATTCGCATCAGAGGTCAGGGATGACCCTAAAGATCTATTGCGCCTTAGCGCGCCTATAGAGGAGCCTCCTACCGCATCAGAGGCTCAAGTTGCACCTTGCATCAACCAGAGTTTGTCTCTGGAAATTCCAGATGTCACTCGCGATCACGCGCACATCGCACTTTTTGCTTCCAGTGACTATCGCATGCCGGTAAAGCATCCGTGCATCACGCCATCTAACCACCAAGCAGAGTATGTCTCAGGCGACCCTGGCGCGACTCAGGCGCACCATATTGCACCTGAGGACACGCAATGCGCACGCCTAGAGGTATTGTATATTTACCCTCGTCTCATTTCGCGCTTTTTGTCTTTTTCATGTTTGAAGCTCTTAAGGAGCTATATGACAATTCCAATCACTTTTATTTCATCTTCGCACCACCCCTTGTTCACGCGCCATGATCACGCGCATCGCGCAATATGCGCGCGCATTCCCACGCCTCGCGCATTCATAACTTTAGCAGAGTTTCCACACTATCGCATTTCTATCACTTCTCCCCTTTTAAATTGCATTTCTTTCATTCAACACAAGACATATTCCAATCAGTCATCCAGGCGCGACTTAGGCGCGCGCCTGACACATACATACGCGCCTAACCCCCCTATTATCACTTTTAACTTCGCACTTCGCACATTGATTCGCATTCTTCACACTTTTGCTTACCATGTCAATTTTGTTCCTGCGCGCGCTGATGCGCACTATTCTCTTTCGCCCATGCGCCTTCTGCGCCTTGATATACAACCCTTACAGCCCATTTGTGCAACATTTGCGCCTAATTTTACACTACATACATCTCTCACTAACGCATTTGCAGAGAAATGGCCGTTCCTCGCGTGTTCGGCCAATATAATCAAATTCGCGCGAAATCGCCCCAAGGCGCGCACATCGCGCGCACCCTATCAGCTTGTAGGGCGCCCCTACACCCCTTGCAGCGCCTCCCATTGGCGCGCCTTCAACCTGCAGCGCGTTGTGCAGGAATTCATTCTGCCAGTTACAAGCCCCCCCCCCAAGCGCGCCAGCCTCGCTCATTCCAACCCTACCTTGAGTAAAGCGTCAGCTCGCAAGAGACGCGAAGCGCGCTAGTCACGCGCACTCGCACGCGCTCAAGGAGGAGGATCGTGCGCTTCAGTGGCGCACCAAAGAGAAAGATATACCATCGCTGTTCATAGGATATCATTCGTTTTACCCTGGGTTTCGTCCAGCGCTCTTTCATTCTCATTTTTCTCATTATAACACCGTCCAAAAGACTAATAACACACTGATATATATGCATATAGGAAGCACCTAGAAGAACATAGAAGAAAAACAACAAAACAACCTTAGATTGTGCCCGCCTAGCTCAATAGTATATTTTCTCTTCGCACGCATGACGCGGCACCATGCCCTTTTTACCTTAGAACGCACGCATAGGCGCGCAATATTCCCGCGCCCATGCGCCTCATGTGCGCGCATGCGTGCTTCCCGCGCCTCGCTCATAGGAAGGTGTAGATGTCGACAGCCGCACAAAGAAGACAAGTCGGATAGGACATCCGCAAAGTTTACCATTTTTTCCTTCGCATTTTCACATATAGTTTTACTCACACTGTTCAAACCTTACCACCTAATATTTAGCGCGCCTAGCAGGACTTGGTCTGGATATGGATTGGATCGCTCTTGGACCACGCCACTTCGTATCATACGCACAATACAAAACACGCGACACTCATGCGCTTTCTCGTGCCTTGTGCGCGCGCGCTTTCCCGCGCTTCACGCTGTACATGCGCGTCTCACTCATGCTTCGCGCACCACATCCATATCACCCTTGCATCATCACCTCACACCCATGGAACACTATTCACACCAGAAGTCACCCTCACAATCCACCATGCTACGCTTCATTCCTGCGCCTTCAGTGCATATGCACGCGCACATTCTCGCGCCTTGCGCGCGCCATGCGCGCAACTTCCCACGCCTTCGCACCTTACGCGCACCTGCGCCTTCCCGCGCTTTGCACCTCGCGCAATAATTCCTGCACTCGCGCATTCATCGCCCAACAACCCAAGCATTGTACATGCATCGCACACGCATACTATCACTCGACATCCTCACCACACGCGCGCTGAGTGGGGACACTCAGAATTTAAAGTCCCTGGGAGATGTAGAGACTCATGCCTCTCATGGCGTGATATGGCAGTTTCCACTAAGGGAGTATACAGCACCAACTCGCAGCACCACTCTGTGTACTGTCCACAGCAATTCCTATATGAGGCACAGCTTTCCCGCGCAATGCGCGCCATGCGCGCACCATTCCTGCGCTTCGCGATGTATACGCGCGCGCGTTCCCGCGCTTGCGCGCCCTATAGCGCCAGCCATCCAGAAGCATCCATCCACTGTCCACCAAGCCCTCTAGTGCGTATATTTCCATTTCTTTTATTAGCATATCATTCCACCTTTATTTTTATCATGAATTCTCACTTATATATATCTTTACATACCTACTCGGTAGCGCTTCGGCTCCGCATGACCGCGCTTAGGCGCGCTATATAAGCGCCAGCAGTACATACTATTACTTACTGACCTTTCACACCTTACGTTTTCCCTTTAACTTACTAGTTATCACCCACTATTTACTTAGCAGTACATAGTAGAACTCCATTTTGTCTACACTTTGCATCTCTCTTTTCTTATATTGCATCATATTATCACTTAAGCTTAGTCTCTCTTATTACCGCTTACGCGCGCGCGCTTTCCCACGCCTTCGTACCTTGCGCGCACCTGCGCTTTCTCGCGCTTCGCGTTGCCGCGCATACCTCTAGATCTTTGCTGTACTCACCTCCCCTTTAGGGTCGAACGCACTTGTCTCCTCAAGCAACGCAGACTAGGCAACGCGCGACCTATCAACATTTTATAGATACAGTTAGGAGCATCCTTGTTCCTCATTGTATTGTTGTTTCTACATCGGCTTATATTGATGATTTCCCCTAAGCCATTCACGCAACTGATCTCACTCTTGGTCTCTGACGGATCCCCGCTGGCTTCCATGTCGTGGTCAAGACTGACGGTGCTGAATGCCAGACAAGCAATAAATCTGTAAATGCAGACCAGGCTGCCATGGAATGTGACGAGCGCATTTTGCTGTAAGTCGTCCTTAACCTCGTCTGTCCTGCAGGTATTGACAAAGAATATAGGCTGTGCGATCCATCTTGTAAAGTTCGGGTCAGCATGTATGCCTCATTTGAATTGGGTCCCATGGTCTAGTCTCAAGCCTGAGACTATCAGGACATTGATGCTCGTGAAGGCGAGGCTTCGTTTGGGTCGTTCGTAGTCGATTTGCATTCCGTATGTACCGTACACCGCCGTATACATCCATATAATTCACCATACCATACCATCCACTTCATCCACCAACAATGTCATGTACGGTGTACGGGTTAGCCGTATACTGTATTTATACCGTATTTATATGGCCATCTACCATATATGGTACGGTGTGCAGCCCTAGCTTCAAGGATAGTGCAAGCCACGCAGCGGCAAGCACTTGTACTTTATATTGTAATATACAGGAAAGAAGCATTGCCCTTGGAAAAAACTGCAAAATATAATCATGTCTTAGTTTCACCGGTTTACTGATGATGGCAAGGGAGGGCTCTAGGCCTGAACTAGAAAAAGGAATTTAGTATCAGGTGCACATCAGGCGCCTGGATGTTGGGAGTTGACAGTACTAGTGGCACTTTACGGTACCTCATCATTCATGGATCCGAAGTTGGGGACCTCTACGAGTCACGACACATGTGACACCCAGTACATACTTGGATTATCACCTCGTAATCTTGTGCGGCGGCCTTAGCTCAGGGTCAGGCGCTGAAGCTCAAGTCAAACTAGACCGCCAGAAACTTTGGTTTCTAAAACATTCGCAATAGAATATCGCTCGAAGAGTCGAAGATAATGAGTGAAGTTGGTTGCCTGACTGCCGATTTATAGTCGGTTCCATGTTTTCTGCGACAAGCTACCAGTGATGGCAGTGTACTGCCACAACAACGGGATAACAGCACAGATAGAACCGAACCGAACAAGATGGGCATTGAGGGAACTTCTAAGAACGAGACTAGTCTCAGCATGATGTAAGCACACTGCTGAAGTGGAAACGACGGGATGGCGGATCTGTGGTTGAATCGGGTGTTGAACGTTGAAGGTGGTACTGTATAGTACGTAGCACGTGGCAAGCAATATATGGATGTACAATCGTCCCAACTCTAAATGATCATACTATGGGCCTCAAAAGCTGGTGACAGGCCTGACTACCGTACGTACTAAGAGTTACCGTCGAGATCTAGAAGAACGAGGTACATGTTTACCTCGCTTACAACACTGCGGGAGAAGAAGACCTTGACAGGATGCTCCGAGTCTATCCTAAAATGTTGTCGTTCGAGACCTGACCAGAGCACCGTTAAACATAGATTTGTGCCTACTAAACCGTACGCAAGCGCCCAAGTGAACTTGGCATTATGATGGTCCTTGGGTTTTTCCGACATATATTTCCATTAGTTACTCACAAGCTGGAGGAAGAAGAGGTCGACAACACCTTCCCGAGAACGAAAATCGAGGTATGAGTTGCAATTCGTTAATGCTCGTTGTCGTAACTGATTTCAAGTATTTAAACCTGTTCGAGCCTGGTTGCCTCGATCGAGGTGTGTTCTTACGTTACGCTGTTCGTACCTACAATCTTTCTCTCATGAAGTGTGTCGGGGGCCAATATTCCGGAACGGTTATCGTTCCCGGGGCGAGCTGTGTACACAAAGCGATAAGATGCCAGCGCTCAGGAATACTCACCTTACGTATAAAGTTTCTGATGGGACTCAAGGTTGTTTCATACAAGCTTTTTCATCTTCTGACCCAGTCCACATTGCGGGCCCAGCACCATGGATCCCGAACAAAACCTGCGTAACTTGCCTTTCACCCCCATTGAGCACTCTACCCAGCCCCAAGTACAGCAACAGCGGCCTTCCCCATCGTCGCTAGTATTTGAAGACAACGGAGATCGTCCACAGACCCAGTCATCGGCGACTGAGAAGCACTTACTCGGCAATGACAGTTTAGAGGGACATTCACCGGCTCGTGGTCGTAACGATCCATATGCAGATTTTGAGCCTGTCCCTCAGGCTCCTCCACCTACGAGAAGCCGGGATGGTCATATGCTGCGCGGATTGTCGCGGCGCACCATTTCAGGCCAGGCTCCCATCAACGCTTCTGGCCTTGGTTGGATAGTGCCCGTCGACGAGAAACCTCACGTTTGTGTTGCTCCCCCTTTTTAGTTGACATCAATTCTCAGCCTAAACCTACAGCGACGAAACATAGAAGAGCGACTTCGTCCAACTATTCTCAAAGCGGAGAGTGAGAGGGAACGATACGCTAACAAGGGTTTGTCAAATTGTCAAATATCACTCCTCTTCTGCTCAGTATGAGAGCACGATACTGAGGTTCCTTATTTCTGGCATGTTCTGATGGCGTTTCTTTTTCAGCGAAAATGACAGGCTGGGCGTTGAACGTCGCGATAGGTTTACAAGTTTTACTCGGGGCGCTTACTACGGGTCTTGCAGCGGCATTGTCCGGTAAGCAGGTTAGTTTGAAAATGCATACATATTATTATACGATAAACTAACTCTCATACAATCCCAGGTTTCGATTGGTACCTCTATTCTTGGTGGGTATTCATGTCACCTACATTCAAAATTTTCCTGAAGACCACGCACCAGGTGGCATGTCGACCTTAGTTGCTTCCTACCTCGCTCGCGCAAGGGGATCAAATGAACCAGAACTATCTATCACTCGGGTGAAGGACCTGGATCAATTCTTAAGAGACTGCCTTGCCTTCGAAATGGACCATGGACATGAATACGGAACACCTGAAAATGGGCTGAATGATCGACTCGAGTATCTCAGAAAAAGGTTCGAGGAACTTCTTGGAAACGCTGATGGGTAGGTCATCTCGCGCTCGCTTTGCTATGCTATGTTGAAATTTGACGAACCTACTTTAGGCAGCGGAAGCTTTCCCCGCCTGTTTGAGTGTACTTCTGGATTTCAATTAAGGTTCAACCCCACAAACAAGACGGGTGACAAGACTAGTTTGTGATGTGCGCCACCTTCCTAGTAATTTATCTACGAGCCGATATGTAGACCTCTCTGAAATAGTATTCAGCGTCACCTTGCCGTCCCGAAACACTCACGGCAGATGGTGACTCTTGCTAATATCCAAAATCTTCCATCACCCTTATCCACCATACCGGAGAGGTGATCAACCCCTTGAAAATGTAAGCAATGGTCCCAACAGTATCTACAGCGCAATACAGCGCCGCCTTGCAGAATGCGTCATTTAAGATGCCAATAGCAGTGTGAGAGACAGCATATGTTTCAATGGACAGAAAAATCAACATCTCTTTCGAGACGAGTCGAGTTCCACAAGATCAAGGCGGCCCTGCAAGGAAACAAGGAGGACTCCCGTACTAATTAGTTAATGATTAGATACTTGAGCTACGACTCGCAGTAATCTCAAGCTTTACGCGTATGTGTACAGTAATTTTGAGGTGCATGATGATAACCTGATCTAACGATACGCATGTCACGGCTGGTCATTTACTAGGTCATGGCTGACTTGGCCCTGCAGGACGAAGTGAGCACGCGGGAAGTCGATGTCAAACCCGTTCTTCATGGCCAAGTGGTAGCTCAACAGCTGCAGGGGAATAATGTTCAAAAGACCTTGCAAGCAGTCCATAGTGCGAGGAACGATCATCGAAGTTCACGGGTCTACGCATCGTGGTGACGATGGATTCAGGCTGTTCGTAAATCTCTTTCTGCATGAAGTGATCGAACTTGCCCTTCATGATCTCGGCGATTTCAATCTCGAGTGTCTCGATGTTGCGAATGGCAGGTGTCTCGGCCTTACCAGACTCATCCCGGCGCAGATGGTGAATGTGCAATTGATCCTCAGCGATGTCAACCATAAGTAGAGCACGCGCTTGGTGTGCTCCACAATGGCGGAAGCGTCAGAGGCGATGAAGAATTCGATGGGTTAGGGCATGCCGTCCTCCGACGTGAAGCTGTGGGACCAATGGCGAGAAACCTTGGGTAACGATGGAGGCGCCAATCGAGAAGTGGGGGAAGTGGGAACAGCATCTAGAAGAGCACTTAGCGAAGATTAGATCGAGGGACGAGATCACTCACGGCTTTCGGCTTCCGCTCCAGCAAACTCGACATCCAAGAAGTCGGCTTTGAGTTTCTTATCAGTCTTAACATCAATCAGGAGGGGCGTTAAGTCAGGTGCTGAAGCTCAAGTCGAACTGGACCTCGGTCTCTCAAACCTTCGCAATAGAATATCGCTTGAAGACGATGAGTTGAGTTGTCTGACAACCGATTTATTGTCAGTTCTATGTTTTCTGTGACAAACCACCAGAAATTTCAGTGACGGCAGTGTACTGCCCCAACAAATTTTAATAAAGGGCTAACAGCGCAGATAGAACGGAACGGAACAAGATCGGGACTTCTTCTGAGAATGAAACGAGTCTCGACGTGATTAGTAAGGACAACACTGACTCAAGGTGGAAACGATGCGGCGGCGGTATGATGGAGGCTGACTCGAGTGTTGAATAGCCTGAGTACATAACGCATGGTACTGAGTAGCATATGTCCTGAGTAATATGTATATGGACGTACAGTTGTCTCGGATCAGATCATACTACTCCAAATGATCACATCAGTGCCAAGCGAAAGCTGGTGACAGGGCTGTCGGGAGTAAAAAGTCACCGTTGAGAACTAGAAGAACGAGGTACATGTTTTACCTCACTTACATCACTGCAGGAGAGTGTCCATGTCACTTGGTGCCACTGGTGGATGTTTGATTCCAAAATGTCGTTTGTCGTTTGTCGTTAGTAAGCCCGAGCACCGCTATCGTGCCTAAACTTTACGCAAGCGCCAAACTTGGCATTATAATGTTTTTTCAACGCATATTTCCATTAGTTACTCACAAGTAGTAAGTTGAAGAGGATGTCGACAACACCTTCCTGAGAACGAAAATCGAGGCATGAGTTTCAACTCGTTAATGCTCGTTGCTGTAATTGAATTCAAGTATCAGAAACCTGTTCGAGCCTGGATCGAGGTGTGTCCTTATGTTATGCTGTTCGTACCTCTTCTTTCATAAAGTGTCTCGGCAGCCGAAGTAACATTCCGGAACGGTTGTCATTCCCGAGGCGAGCTGTGTACACAAAACGATAAGATGCCAGCACTCAGGAATACTCACCTTCTGTATAAAGTTCCCGATGGGACTCAAGGTTGCCTCACACAAGCTTCTCCATCTTCTGACCTAATCCACATTGCCGAAGCACCATGGATCCCGAACAAAACTTGCCCAAGTTGCCTTTCACCCCCATTGAGCACTCTACCCAGCCCCAAGTACAGCAACAGCAGCCTTCGCAATCATCACTGGGGTTTGAAGACAACGGAGATCGTCCACAGACTCGGTCATCGGCGGATGAGAAGCACCTACTTGGCAATGTCAGTTCAGAGAGACATTCACCGGCTCGTGGTCGCAACGATCCATATGCAGATTTTGAGCCTGTCCCTCAGGCTCCTCCACCTACGAGAAGCCGGGATGGTCATGTGATGCGCGGATTGTCGCGGCGCACCATTTCAGGTCAAGCTCCCATCAGCGCTTCTGGCCTTGGCTGGATAGTGCCTGTCGAAGAGAAACCTCACGTTCGTGTTGCTCCCCCTGTTTAGTTTACATCGATTCTCAGCCTAAACCTACAGCGACGGACTATAGAAGAGCGACTTCGTCCAACTATTCGTAATGCGGAGAGTGAGAGGGAACGATACGCTATAAAAGGTTGGTTAAATTGTCAAATATCACTTCTCTTCTGCTCAGTACGAGAGCACGATGCTGAGGTTCCTTATTTCTGGCATGTTCTGATGGCGTTTCTTTTTCAGCAAAAATGACAGGCTGGGCATTGAACGTCGCGATAGGTTTACAAGTTTTGCTTGGGGCGCTTACTACGGGTCTTTCAGCGGCACTGTCCGGTAAGCAGGTCAGGTTGAAAGTGCATACATATCATTTTACGATAAGCTAACTCATACAATTTCAGATTTCGGTCGTTGTCTCTGTTCTTGGTGGGTATTCATGTCCCCTACACTCAAACTTTCCTGAAGACCACGCAGGTGGCATGTCGACCATAGTTGCTTCCTATCTTGCTCGCGCAAGGGGATCAAATGAACCAGAACTATCTATTGCTCGCGTGAAGGACCTGGATCAATTTTTAAGAGTCTGCCTTGCCTTTGAAATGGATCATGGACATCAATATGGAACACCCGAAAATGGGCTGAATCATCAGCTCGAGTATCTCAGAAGAAGGTTTGAGGAACTTCTTGGAAATGCTGATGGGTAGGTCATCTCACGCTCGCGTTGCTATGATATGTTGAAACTTGATAAATCTACTTTAGGCAGCGAAAGCTTTCCTCACCAGGGCCTATAGCTCCAAATGTCTCCACTCTGAAACAGCAGCTTTCCCCACCTGTTTGAGTATACTTCCGGACTTCATTCCCGCAAACAAGACGGCTGGTGACAAGATTAGTTTATGATATGCGCAACCCTCCTAGTAATTCATCTACAAGCCGATGTGTAGACCGATCTGAAATAGTATCCAACGTCACTTTTCCGTCCCGAAATACTCACTGCAGATGGCGACTCTTGCTGGTGTCCAAAGCCTTCATTCGCACTTATCTACCATATCGGGAGAGGTGGTCAACTCCTCGAAAATGTAAGTGATGGTCCCAACAGCCTCTACAGCGCGTTACAGCGTGGCCCTGAAGAATAATATGTCAATAGCAGCCTGGGAGACAGCAGGTGCTTAAACCGACAGAAAAATCAAAATTTCTTTCAGGGCGAGTCGAGTGTTCACCTTGCGATGATTGTAACCAAGACGTAGCGCAGAAACACCTCTGCTAATCAGTAGACGCGACCTGGACAGTGACACATTCACAAGAGCCTCAATCCCAGGACTACCACAGGAGTCGGGTGTGCATAATATGTGACCAAGTAGCCCAACATAAAGGTGGCAAGAGATTGCGCATTGGTCTCAAGTTTTACGTGCACAATCGGTATTGTCAGCTTGTGTGCTTTGCGAGACAAGGTGTCAGGAGCATGTCTCTCTGCGCAGCGTTCAGTTGCCCTTGACAGGCAGAATGGTTACGGGTCTACGTCAAGAGCTTGTCTCTCTGCGCTCCGTTGACCTTGACACCACCTCAGTGACATAACAATGACATACGATAGGTTTCCCATGTCTCGGAATCGATGACTGAACATAATTCACAAGGCAATAATTTCATTGTCTTACTGTACAAGTTACAACAAAACCTATCATATCCTCTTCAAGTCGTGCCTCGTCATCGCGTCATCTCCCAATAACTGAATTCAGCGCTCTGATCATAAAGACAGTTGCTGAGGTGTATGGTATACAGAATGAATGGGCTCGAAGAGTCGGCGACAAACAAGGGGAGATATACGGTATCAGATGAGAATCGTGAAGTAAAAGAAAAGAAAAGAAAGGTTGAAACCGTCCATGAATGCAGATCGTCCATTGTCCAGTGCAAAATCAAATCAAGTCCGTGAAAGCGGTGCATGTGTACAGTAATTTTGAGGTGCGTGATGATAACCTGAGCTAACGATACGCATGTCATGGCTGGTCATTTACTCAGTCGTAACTGACTTGGCCCTGCAGGACAAAGTGAGCGTCAAACATCAAGATGCTACAACTCAAAAACTCACAAGTTACGCGGGAAGTCGACGTCAAACCCGTTCTTGATGGCCAAGTGGTAACTCAACAGCTGCAGCGGAATGATGTTCAAAAGACCTTGCAAGCAGTCCATAGTGCGAGGAACGCGAATGGTCTTCACCCCAGCCTTGATTCCAGTATCGCCCTCGTTGCAGACCACGATAGGATGAGCTTTGCGAGCGGTTATCTGTTCGAACGCGGACTGGACCTTCGGGTATAGTGAATCCTGGGTCATGATGATGATGACCGGCATGTTCTCGTCGATCAACGCCAAGGGACCGTGCTTGAGCTCTCCTGCAAGAATACCTTCCGAATGCATATAGCTGATCTCTTTGATCTTGAGGGCGCCCTCAAGGCAAGTAGCATGCCTAAAAGAAATCATCGATTAATCTTACGGTTTGGGTCGTGAGCGAGAGCCACTGACTGATATCCACGACCCATCAGCAACAAGCTGCGCGAGTTTGCAAGGAGGCTATTGGCAAGTTCCCGCAGGCTCTTGTCATTTTCGAGAACACTCTTGATTTGCGCAGGGAGAGCACGAAGACCATCGATGATCTGGTTGCGGCGTTCAGTGAAGGAGATCCGATCCTCTGATAGCTGCAGCGCCATCAACATCAGTGCGATGTACTGGGAGGTGTATGCCTACAAAACGTTCATGTCAGATGGTTAACACAATGGAAAGATTTCCATACTTTGGTAGACGCAACGCCGACCTCAGGGCCAGCATTGATGTGAATACCACAGTGTGTTTCACGTGAGATCGTCGAGCCGACAGTATTGACGACCCCCACACAAAGGGCGCCACGCTCCAAGCAGTACCGCAATGCCAGAATCGTATCAGCAGTCTCTCCACTCTGGCTGACAAAGACACAGATGTCATCACGGAAGATGGGAGTCTTCCTGTCCAGGAAGTCGGATGCGAGTTCTACACTGACAGGGATTTCCGTCAACTCCTCGAATATCGCACGAGTTGCCAACGCAGAGTGATAACTCGTTCCGCAAGCGCAGAATACGATACGACGACCGCGGCGCATAATGTGCAGATAGGCACGCAGCCCACCGAGCGTGATCTTATAATCATCAAAGTTCACGCGTCCACGCATCGTGTTGACGACGGATTCAGGCTGTTCGTAAATCTCTTTCTGCATGAAGTGATCAAATTTGCCCTTCATGATCTCGGCGATTTCAATCTCGAGCGTCTCGATGTTGCGAATGGCAGGTGTCTCGGCCTTACCAGACTCATCCCGGCGCAGACGGTGAATGTGCAATTGACCTTCAGCGATGTGAGCGATGTCATCATCTTCCAAGTAGAGCACGCGCTTGGTGTGTTCCACAATGGCGGAAGCGTCAGAGGCGATGAAGAATTCGATGGGTTGAGGCATGCCGTCCTCAGACATGAAATTGCGGGACCGACGGCGAGAAACCTTGGGTAACGATGGAGGCGCCAATCGAGAAGTGGGGGAAGTGGGAACAGCAACTAGAAGAGCATTTAGCCAAGGTTAGATCGAGGGACGAGATAACTCACGGCTTTCGGCTTTGGTGTCAGCTTCCGCTCCAGCAAACTCGACATCCAAGAAGTCGACTTTGAGTTTCTTATCAGTCTTAACACCAATCAGGAGGGGTGAACCGCGACGGGCAGTCACGATCTCATTCGGGAAGTGGATAGACTTGAAGACCAAGGCGAAAGAACCCTCGAGTTCTTTCAGGACGGTCTTCACAAGAGCTGTGAAGGTCATGCGTTTGTCAGGCCGAGAGTCGTAGACGTATTTTGTCAGAATGGCGACCGCCTCCGTGTCGGTGTCAGACTCGAACTTGAAGCCACGCTTCTGCAGGACTTGTCGAAGAGCTATGGCGTTGGTCACGATACCATTGTGCACAACGATGAACTCGTTGTTCACATCAGAGCGAAGGGGATGGCAATTGGCAACCGAAGGAGGACCATGGGTTGCCCAACGGGTGTGGGCAATAGAGACCTGGGATATCACTGTCTTGGTGGTGTCGATGGTGGACTCTGCGATACGCTGCCGTAAGCCGGCAACCTTGCCAACCTCCTTGAAAAAGACAATTTCGTTTGTCTTGTCGCCATCGATACCGAGGCCAGCAGAATCATAACCACGGTACTCTTGACGAGCTAGACCCGTGCAAAGAATCTCCAGGATCTCCTTACGATCCTGTAGTAGGTGAAGTTAGCTAACGTCGTAATATCTGGGAACACGTAATGAAACCGCGAAGCGAAGGCTGTAGGTAAGGTTACTAAATATGGCAACCCAATCATGGTGGCATTTCAGTCGAAATTGCTCGAAGGCTCTCGACATTGCGCGCGGAGTTGTGTAGACGAAGAGAATAAATGCGCCACCACGATGCAGAAGCCAGAAATAGCTTGCATCGGAAAGGAACTTGCCTTTTCTTTCAAGAAGTTGCAGTAGCCAAAGATGCCGCACATTGTGATTCTAGGATAAACAGAGGTGGCTATATGCGCATGATAATGGTATGATCAGTTTATCAACACCATAGATAGTGAGCTCAAACAAACCTAATATAAAGGAGGGCTGGCGTCAAAGGGCGTTGTCGAGGTCGGTGAACAAGAACAAAGCTCGAGCGACGCGGTTTAAGTACTCTCATTGTGGGTTAAGGGTGCAACAAATAATGCCAAATAATTCGGACGTGGCGGACACACAGCATCGGTTAAGTTTCAGAGCCTTCTGCCTTGTGATGGAGGCTGCGCAACTTGAAAAATATGTACGTCCAAGCCTTTCGGTTCAAATACTCAGGCGATCTGATTGAGGCACGTACTGTGATCTTCCCAACTTTCCCGACCACTATCAGTCGCTTCCGTGCGTATAACGTCTTACTCAAGCCTCATCACCATCCTTTTCATCGCTTCTGAACTTCTAGTGCGTTTTCAACCAGACGCGTAGCACGATAGTTTAGGTATGCCTTGCAATTGACATGTTGTAATTAGGATCGCCTCATTCATTTCTGGACAGCGCCCCCTGCCAGAAATAGAAGATTACAATCAAATTACCCTCGTAACGGTCAGGTTGTTATTTCAAGGCGATCATTTCACAGGTTGCATCATTTTTGCTGCGCAGCAGATAAGAATATGTGACAGGCTAAACATATATCGAGTTCTACATTGCCATGCCAGTGCAACAACCCAAGTTCGTTCGGGTGAGTCGAGTTATATATGGCGTCTCCTGGATATTGATGGCCATATTTCCCAGGCGTACTTACTAAGGCCCTAGGGTACATTGCATGCATGTCGGATTGAACAATCGCATAGGGCATGTGCATGAACATATGACTGACAGCAGTCAGGCTGTAGCTTGTATTTGTCGTGTTTGCGCCCGGGCTCATTAATCGTTAGTTGATTCAACGTGACAAGTTCACTTGAGGCCAATTACGTATTGAAGAGGACTGACGCCGCTTGTCTAATCTTATCAACGGGGATCCGATTGAAGTTCTTGGGTCCTGTACATTCAACGAATCGCCAAGATTGCAATGTAACGACATCCTTCCTATTCACTGAACCCTGTGACTGACTGCTGAAAGATTCCTTGGACAGAAATACTCATTCACACGTCATGGACACAATATTAGCGCCAGTCGGGCTACCTGACCTCCCTCCTCAAATTACATCTCGGTACATCACTTTGAGCGACCGCGATGGTCTGAATGTCCATATCCTGGAAGCGTTTCCAGATACAAGTAATCATTCGAGCACACCCTACCAGTTGATCCTTCTTCTTCACGGCTTTCCGGAACTTGCTTACTCGTGGCGCAAAGTCTTGGTACCTATCGCCAAGGCTCACCAAGGTTATCACGTTGTTGCCCCTGACTTGCGTGGTTTCGGGCGAACAACAGTGTCAGGATCCGGAGGCGCCAGCCAGGTGCAATACGAAGATACATTGTCCTCGTACCATATACTTAACATCGCAGACGATGTATGTTCCCTTGTGCGAGCGCTCGGATATTCATCTGTTGCAATGCTCGTGGGGCATGACTTTGGGTCTGCTCTTGCGGGACACTGCGTTGTGGCGCATCCGGAACTATTTGCATCGGTCGTGTTCATGAGCGTACCCTTTGGAGGCGTCAGTGGCCAACTTTGGTCCCAAACGAGTAACGAGGGTGGAGATGATAAAGTGAAGGAACGCTCCGTCGTTTCTGACATTGGCACTGCGCTTGCTGCACTCCAACCTCCGCGCAAGCACTATACGGCATACTTTTCTACTCCTTCCGCCAATGCGGACATGCTTGGTAAAGGAGGAAAGGATCTGTACGATTTTCTCGGCAGCTATGTCTACATGAAGAGCGGCAATTGGGATGGAAATGATGCACACCCCCTACCTTCTGCATTTTCACCTTCGCCCAGCGTTAGTGAGCTGGCAAGGGATCTTGCTACTCTGCCAGAGTACTATGTCATGCCACTGCACGAAAGCATGCCAGACGTCATCGCTCGTCATGTTCGCATGGACGCCCGAATCACATGGCCCAAGGGTGACGAAGTCGCTGGGGGAGTATACGCTGTTGAATTCGGCCGCACTGGCTTTCAAGGCGGGCTCAATTATTATCGGAGCGCACTCTCACCTCCACCCCCTGAGCGTATAGCCCAACTACGTGCTCTAGCTGGGCGACAAGTGGAGGTGCCTGCGGCGTTTATATCAGGGGCTAGGGATTGGGGAGTGTATCAAATTCCAGGGGCTGTGAGGAAGATGCGAGAGGTGGTGTGTAGCAGCGCGGGAGGCATGCAGGACGAGGATTTTGTTTTGATCGAGGGCGCAGGCCATTGGGTGCAACAAGAAGCGCCAGAGATTCTGGTACGGGAGCTTGTGAGGTTTTTAGGAAAGGTGAAGGCTTTGTAGGTGTTGTCGGTGCAAGTTTGGGGCAACGAATGGGTGATGATCGCGATCATTCTCTCCTTTCGTTAAATGGCTCATCGGCGGGGGTAGACTCGGCTGTTGATGGATGTACTACGAGGAATGTAAGTTCAAGCTTTTGTTCGAGTCTGGGATGGCGTTCTGGCTGTCATGGCCGTAGCCACGGCCGCAGCGGCCCGCATGTTCCCCGAGCCCGGAAACAAGTAGAAGATCGAAAAAAACTGCCATCCGGGCCCATAGCAACTTGTTCACCGCTGTCCCAAGCGGACATCTTCGGTCAGGATCATCTCCCAGATGTGACTAGACACTTCGCGTGCTGCACGCAACCTCAAAATGAAACGACCTCGTGGTCACCACAGCCTAGGCTAAGTCTCCTTTCTTCATTTAAACAGGGACCGCATGCTGGTGTTCGAGTCACGCTAGAGAATGGAATGTTGAAGGATTCAGATATGGTTTAAATGCCAGACGCGTTGAGACATTTTTCAATGCCGTAACAGAACAGTACTGTGTCCCGGTGACATCGCAATGTTACAGCGAATTTTTCTTGGAAAAAAGCATTATCCCATATGCACCCAGCAGCTAAAACAGCTCATCAGCTGTACAAACGTATTCGCGTGATGACCTAGGACGACATCACTGGCATCATGTGCTTCCAGATTCCAACAGCTAGATCAGCATAGCTGTACAACCGCGCCTGCACGGCGCCCGTGATGTGAGTACGATCCTCTAGCAGCGGAGTCTAGCCTAAGCTGACCAGAAACAAAATTGAAGGCTAAGCGCTAAGCAGCGATATCGGAAAAGAGTGTATATCCGGACGACAACTGTACTTATGCGCTGCAACGTTCAATCCGTTTGTTTCTCGTGATCCGCGGATGCCCATCAATGATTAATGATCTTTGATATCCACGACCGGTGCTCGAGCTTGACTTTTGTTGAACTTTGAATCTCATCGTGAAATTATAATTTAAAGTTTGACCGTTTTCATCACGTGACCGCGATGGATGGATTGACAATTTGACATGATCACAGGCCCGTCTCAGCCAGTCATCACCTTGGTTGCCATTGTCTATTCGAGGCCAAAACAGCAAACTTTCAAGAGTAACGGCGTGTCAACGCGTTGAAATGAACCCGCCAATTGCACAACAAGTGGCCCGAGGGTCAATATATTTTGCGCCGCGACGACCTCGGAGCGAACGCCAGCGTCAGATATACAACCGCTCATATGTGAACGCCTCGAACTCCAACTTGAACTAACGCCTATAGAGGCGGTCTTAAGGCTCGGGAACGGGTCCTTGCGCAGACTGATACGTAACCACAGGACGCCCATCGGTTCACGGGCATTGCGCGTTAAAAATGAACCTGCCAATTGCGCAACGAATGGCCCGAGGCTCAACATATTTTGCGCCGCGACGATCTCGGAATGAACGCCAGCGTCAGATATACAACGCTCGTATTTGCAACGCCTCGAACCTCAACTTAAACTGACGCCTATAGAGGCGGTCTTAAAGCTCGGGAACGGGTCCTTGCTCAGACGCTGATACGTACGCCAGCGTCAGATATACAACGCTCGTATTTGCAATGCCTCGAACTGCAACTTAAACCGACGCCTATAGAGGCGGTCTTAAGGCTCGGGAACGGATCCTTGCTCAGACGCTGATACGTAACCACAGGATGACCGTCATTGCGCCAGTCAACGCGTTAAAGATGAGCGGTCCACTTGCATAGCGAGACCCAACCTTGCGCCACGACGACCTCGGAGTGCGTCAGATATACAACATTAATATTTGCAGCGCCTCGAACGACCGACTTTGCCCAGTCCGCTTGTCACAGCATTTTACAGTCTCGCCACGACGAGGACGCGAGAAATTTACAGGAGGCTTCCTTACTCACAACGTTGAACCCAAATTACACAACGTTCCGTGCTGTTATACAAAGACGAACCGTTGAAAGCGGACTGCCACCTGCCAAGCCATAACGCAAGACAACAGAAGCATGGCTGCTCTCGATCGGGTTGAAATACCAAGCTTGGTTCATGACGCACTGAACGGCGCTTCGGATGACGAAGTTAATGAATAATCGGCGTCTCGTGTGGCAGTCATGCATGCTAGAACTTGATCCGTATGCGGAACAAACGGTGGGAGAGCAGCTAACGTCTTAGAGCACAATGTATGTGGCATGTATTCGCCGCTGGTGGTGACGAGAGGGAGACACGTTTGTGTTACAGCTTCCCATCGAATGATTTTTTTTCGCCAGACAAAGTATGACTGAGTCAGCAGAGTTGTGGGCAGATATTTTCCGCGGATCTGAATGGCATCAGGTACCCACAGCTGTTGTGATGGCTCCTGAAACTCCCCCGGAGGTGACGAAACAAGGAGAGAGAGATCAATCTGTGGTGGCAGGGGGGGAGGAACGGGATCGGGAAGTGAGTGATGCTTGGAGACTTGTGTGTTTTCCGCGGGGGGATGCTTAATGTGGAGAATGCTGATCATTTTGAAGACAAGTTGAGCACCGCCGCCGACTTTCAGGTACCTTCGCGCCGAATAAGGCGGGTGGGGATAGAGTACAGATTTACTTAGATAGGGACGATGGTGGAGGTAATGAACGGACCAAATTGAGATTGTCAAGAGGAAGGATAGATCGTGATCGGCGTAGGAACCAAAGATTACGGCAGTCGAACCATATGGGTCCACGGGATTACATTTTTGGTGTACCATGTCCGGGAGATAGAGTATGGAGGATAACCGCCACATGATATCCGCGGGTGATACTAGAAACGAGCAACACGTGAATACACGGCGCGAAGCACACGGATCGGTCTGTCAGGTCAAGGGTGATCGATGGGCAGCGCGCTGCAGCTTTGGAAACCACAACCCTGAACCTATGGGGGCGGCATGGTTGACCGCCGATCCGAGCACGAGGGGACCACATGGAGAGAGAGGTCGGTAGTTGGAAGGCCGAAGGAGGGAACCGGTCTGATGACGGCGGATCACGGGAGGGTAGGCGGGAGGAACGTGAAGTGGCACGACCAAGACATGTGGGTAATGCATGGCAGATCCTTACATGATTGGTCGAGGGGTTTGGGTTAATGACCGGGTCTAATGTCACATAAAATGATTTTTATAAGAAGATATCAGATGAGCCAAGATCGAAGATAGTAATTGATAACGATATGTATCTAAATTGGGTCAGATGGTTCAAAAGATGATCTGCGCTGTGTCGCTGAACCGTATCGGTATCACGAAACATTGACACTCCGTTGATTGTCCTTCAACGAAAGATAGCAACCTGTGCCTCTCGGTTACGGAACGCGATCCGGAATTCGAACGCAGATCAGGCAGGTACGTAAAGGGCAGAACTTGTTGATGATTTTATGTGTTTCGACAAGATTGGGCGTCTAGACACCGGAGAAGTCTGACCGATTAGGCAATTTTAGTTTAGACGCTCGTGCTATGCGGATCCCAAGACGAACACTTCCTATTATGGATACCGACTTGACGGTGAGCAGGAGTACTTTCTGCAACGAGAGGCCTATTAGACCCCTAGTGCCGGGGATATGATTCAATTGGTAAGATTCCGGTCTGTAAAAATTATAAATTTTGGTATTTTATATATACATGAAATTCCGTCACGGCGAGGGCTTGTAACCCAGAATGTACTGACAGTTTTCACACAAGATACTTCCATTCGGTCGTGCCTCTGCAACGAGTTCGATCCAGATTTTAGATCTGGGCGCCCTGCATACGCTCCTCCGTTCTTGTTGTCAAATGGATCTTCTTCTCTCAAACTTCATCTCAAGTTTCCCTTCGTTCAAATACCCCACCCAACATCCTCACTCTCTCTTCAAAACACCCAACTTCCCTCTCCATAGATCTCATGTCGTTGGATCATTATCCAATCCTCACTGACAGACGTTTTCAACACTCAGACAGGCAGTCTTACCAGTTACATGATTTAGCTCCTCCTCAGTGGAACTATCACTCCTCCAGATCTCAAAATGAAATCCCTCCTGATTATTCCTCAAATCCTTCAACTTGGAACGTGAACCTCCTCAATAATTGGTCAAATGATGTCCTGCCTTCCTCATCATCATCATACGGTCTCAATCTCCGCCATCCCGGTTCCGGTCACACTCCCTATCCACAATCCGTTTACACCGAACACTCCCAACGTCATTTACAATCTTCATCTTCATCCGGATCATCCTTTGAACGCCAACCAATCCAACACCGCTCTCCATCAGCAGCTTCTTCCTTCAAATTCGACGATTCTTCATGGGGCCCAACTCTCTACACAATGGATGACAGAAGTACTCCATCGCATTCCATACCACCCACCGTCATCAGCACATCTCCCTCAGCACGTGCTTCGTCCAGAGCTTCATCATCTAGGTCTCCTCCCGTGAAGCTCGAACAAGATGAAGTTTCAAGCGCCGATTGCTTTGTCATGGAATTCGCTACCTCTGTCCCAGCTGCACAGGACAGTGCCTCGTTGGCTCCCCCAACAGAAGTACCCTTGCGCGCAACTCAAGCAAGCAAGGCAATGCGCAAAATGATGGGCGTGTTTCGCCTCAATCCATTCTCAATGCACGAGGGTGGTGGTCAGGCAATGAGCACCTGGATGGGCGAGGATGCAGGTCCATTGGACGAAGAACCTCAGGTTTTCGAGTTTCAACTCGACGTTGGCTACCGTGACTCTGATGAGGAGCTCGACGAACAACATCCTTCCCATCTTCAGACTCTCGTCGAGGTCCCAGAACCCGGCCCAGATGAAAACACGAGGTGGGCGGAGGGTGACGACTCTGACCTCTCATACCCCTCACATAACAGCTGGGCTACCAACGACCATTCATACACTTTGCCATCCCTTAGGTCATATCCTCACTCCCCTTCACTCTCTTCTGCTTCGTCACGTAAAACGCCCCTGGATATGTCAGCATCAGAGGTACGCTTCCAGCTGATACCGACCATCGTTTACTGATTGCTTGCAGTATTCTGGCACATATACACTCCATGGCTCTGGCAGCTGCGGTTCTTCCACGGATAACCTTCCGTCACTCTCGTCCATGGCGCGACGTTGGTCCATTCCCGCCAATCTACAGGCACCATTCATGATATAAAGTACACTCACGTCGCATTACCATCACGATTAATCAAAGCGCCGAAGCGCTCAAGTTTTGGGTAACATTTTCAATCACTGTCGCAGCCTTCGCGCACTTTCTCGATGGCCGATCTATCGCATCTCAAGGTTGCCAGGGTGGTTGAACCCTGCTTGTTTTACTTTGCTCCTCACGTCGTTTTACTTTACACTGTCGCATTTTCTTGTTCTTGATCATCCTTATTGTCTTGGGTCGTTCTTCGCTCACGGACAGAACTTCAAATCAAATTTCTGGCAGGTTGGAACGCATGTAATATACTCTGCAAAATCATACGATACCTATGATATGATACACAATTATTGTTCATCTTGTTCTGATCGCACACCGTAATTCAATTGGTACTTGTCGTCCACCGGAGCATGCACCCGAGCTCGGAGTGCGTTTGACATGCTTCACGTCACTTTTTCGATCAGACTAGCAGTAGTATCTCCGCCACCGTAGCATGGCTTGTTCGCTTCACGACTCAAAACCGATTCTCTCGCCGTGTGGCGAACCCTGATCTATGAAGAAAGGGTCCTTCAATCTCGTGTGCGCAACCATACCAAGATAGAGTCCAGACTAAACCGACAATGAGGTGGTGTAAGATTAATTTTCATTCATAAAATTGAAATTATAAATATCTGCGTTGCGTATCGTAATGTATGCATGTCGTGTTGTTCATGTCGCCGTCCCGTCCCCTGTCGTCAAGTCCGTTTGTCCGTGCATGTACGGCACCACGCGCTCGTGAGAACGACCGTTTTGGTAGGTAGGCTTCAAAACAGTGAACACAGTATTGCATTTCAGAAAAGGAACGATCCCAGCGCCAATCATAACAGCGGAGAAGCACACGGACTTACTATGTAACTATGTATCCCTGACTACTTATTCACACAAACATTGACTCGGAAGAATCAACGCGTTTCAAGGCGGTGTACTCCGACTCATCTAGAACCTGGGGTAGATCGGTCGATGCGGCCGCAATGATTTAGAGAACGGCTAATGTTGAACCCTCGTTTTTTTAACTTCTGACCGGTCGACCTAAGGCCCAACGGACATCATAACACTCCCACGAACATTGGTTATTTGTCAAGCTATGCAGCACATGATATAATATGACATGGACTGACTGCTGACATACGGCTACGCCCCACGGGGACAACAAATAAGATTGACCCCCGTCAAGGGTCCCAAGTTGCGAAGCCGGCGTGTTCTGCAACGTGGGGCGTAAGCTTGGACTAATTCGTGATTGCGGTGAGTCTTCAGAGTTGTGTACCGAGCGTCTGGTGCCGAACTATTCAGCGATCTTCTGTCAAGCTTCGATGGAGCGGTATCGCCGCTTGCCGCTGCGTTGAATTCTAGACACCTGCCATAGTTTGATGGTGTGCGTTCGAAGACTGTTTGACGGGTCATACATCCTCATCGAAGCCCATGAAGATCTGGGGTGGTACTGAAATTGAACACCACACGCGCTCCGTGATTTCGAGAATGACATAGAAGGCACAGAAAGCCACAAGTTCAGGGAGAAAAGATGGGACGTCGCAACGCTTCTTAAAGGTACGGAGGCACACCTGAAATAGAGAAGTCAGTTACAGACAAGCTAAACTGCAATCTGAGTAGGGTATCTACCCACCCCACAGATTCGAGGACTTGCGACGAGGCAAGAGAGGACAAGGAAAGCCGTGGGCGTTGCACTCACTCCCCGATAAGCTTCGGCAACTCAACAAGTTACCTTGCATGCCTAACTATCAGCACGACTTTACGCGAAGTCAGCCAGTTCGTCATGTCGTGTGAACAGTGGCGTAGAACTAGCGGCCCATAGATGTCAATGACATAGTACGCCGGATTGCTGGTGATTCAGTGCCTCGAAACACTCACGATAATAAAGATACGATCTGCTGTTACAGGCAGGTAGCCGTTAATACAACGGGCGATGATAGAGTCTAGGCCAGCCAAGAAGATCGTGATCATTACCAACGGAGTTGCTTACAGCCGATATATGACATTCAAAAAAGGGGGGCACAAGAAGCCTCAAGGTCGCCTAAGATCGTTCAACAAAAAAGCTATTAGTGAAACAAACGAAGAGACATACCTCGGTAGCAATTTGTGAGCAATAAAAAGGGTGATGATATGCTGCTGAAGTCTGGACAAAGGTGAGCCAAAACATGAGTTACAGTTGATCAAAAAGTGACGAGACCAAGGTCGAAAGAGTATATTTATTTCTAGCACCGACGGTAAGTGAAGCAGTCATCGGGCAATCTGGACGATCAGTTGGATATTCATGTCTTGGGTTTTCCTGAAGCTAACGGGAATACTGAGCAGTTCCCCCATCGTCGGTTATCGTTTTTAACGAATGCCGTAAATGTCTCACTGAATAACTTTTCGTCAAATTGTCGCCTGACATGGACTGAAAGTCGCAGGCGTCGACTGTTAATAAAGCAACTGTTTAGTTGTAGACGCGCACATAATTTTTCCCCCACACCTCAATACCCTCTGGCCCAGTATCGAGCGCGGGCGCAGTTCCTCTTCATGCTGGCCGCTTCTTGAGAAGCAGGCATTCTTTTGAGATCGATGTCAGGGATTACCCTAAAGTCAGAGTGCTGGGCGTGTTCCCTCTCTTGTATCACGAACTCCGAGGAGTCTTTGTCAACGTGTCTCTACCAGGTGTTGTTCCCGTTATGGGAACAAGTCCTTGCAGATGGAAAAAATGTGCTACAAGGTCAGATCCAAGAGAATGCGGTAAAGCGGTTGGTGGTGGCAGGAACGAAAGAGGGGCTTATAGTTTTTCCTTGAACAAGGACTCGAGGGGCAGAAAAGGGCATGTTCGGGAAATCGGACCGAGAATCTGGCGGAGAATTAAAAAATCCGCCACGCGAGAGCCACGAGAGCCGACGGCCACGAGATCTGTCAAAACAACCACGACCACGCGAGCGAAGCAATCCGAGCTATTGGTAGGTAATCTTGTCAGCAGCATATATCACTTGCCACCTCTTTAAGTACTGCATATCTGCTCCTTGTCTTCCGCCATCGCCATCAAGCTCAGCTGGTTCATGCTTGATAACGAAGAATACTCTCATGGACGTCGAAGGAGCGTCGACGTCGGCGGTCTGGCGCTTGCACTCGAAAATCAAGGCTTGGGTCATGGGTGGGGTGGATGGGAAGAGGATGAGCAAGGAGAGACTCGGTAAGCCATAATCTCGTATCTCTTTGATCGGCGAGGTTCTCATTAGTGTTTGATAATAGCTATGCCGAACTACTTAGCGATATGTACAACCACACCCAGACTACCGTCAGCCATCGTGTACACGACATGTAATGTCTTTCCTTGTCACACTTAAATTTCTTAACCGATCCCTTCATCAGCTCTCCAATCGTGATACCTGCCCATACGCGAGCGCACCTAATCAAATCTCTCGATAGTTGGCATTTCGAGCCGCAGAACCTACCTGAGGAGGAAGTCCTGTTCTGCGCGCAAATTTTGTTTGAAAGTCTGTTCCGAATTGAGCATATGCGAGAGGATATAGGCGTTTCCCTCGGTCAGCATCATTTTTGTCTTCATGTGACGACGTCTCTTATCACTCCGACAGATGATATCTCCGTGTTCTTGAAACATTTGCAGCCCCTATACTGTGGACACAATAGTTATCATAATTTTCAGCATGCTGTAGATGTGATGCAGGCCTCCCAGGCCTTCCTGTGTGCAGCAGGTGTCGTACCTCCAGTGTCTATATTGTTGGATAGTGACAACTGCACATGGAGACCAAACAAAAAGGGGAAGGAACGACGTCTCGCATTCGATCTCAACAACACATGTCTTTTTGCTCTGTACATTGTTGCCATTGGCCATGATGTGGGTCATCCCGGATTGACAAATATGTTCATGGTATGATTGATCTGCACAGCATCTTGCAAGAAAATACCACCTGACATCCATTCGCAGAAAAATGCCAAGGCGCCGTTATCCGACGTGTATGACAACAAATCAGCTCTTGAACAGATGCACTGTGCCCTCCTCATACAAGCAATGCGGCACCATGGCCTTGGGAAACTCTTGGATCGACCAGACAACGGGTTTCGGAAAATGCTTGCTGGTATCGTATTGGCTACGGACATGAGTGTCCATTATCAATTCATCAGAGATTTTCAATCACTCGTGGACGGTAGAGTATATTCTTTGGATCGGCGCCGATTACTGCTTTGCCAGGCAATAATAAAGTGTGCGGACATCAGCAATCCTGTTCGTTTTTTTCTTCATATATATTCTATATAATTCTAACTTGCATGCGGTGTAGAGTCGGCCACCCGGCGTCTCGCATTACTGGGCAAATGCTTTGATGGCTGAATGGACCTATCAAGCATCACTAGAGAAGCGCTGGAGTTTACCGCCATCCGTCACGCCTTCCGAGTGCGCATTAGACCAAGTCCGAGGACAGATATTTTTTATTGGTTCATACGCCAAGCCACTCATGGACCTTGTTGCACAAGCTGTTCCTGGTATTTTGCGTTTTGCTGCTGCCCTTCTACGCACCTAATATGTCTACTGTTCCAGAATTGGAGATATTCGCTTGTCAGTGCACTGCAAATTTAGCCATGTGGGTGGCCCGCGAAGAAGTTCTGTCCTCCTCATCTGCGGAAGATTCTCCATGTCCTCCTGTAGCCATACCATCCCTTCGCCCTCCTAACGATTTTATCACTTCCTTTCCCCTCACTCTCCCCGCATTCGTTCTTACAGCCGACGAGCCTCTTACCTCCGGCGAGTGGCATTCTACATATCCGCCCTCAGATTCCTCATCATCATCGGATTTTGGTTCTGATGTTCACGTCGATCCCCTAGTGGTATTCCCATCCCTTTCACCCCCTGCATCCCCCGTGCCATCCGTATGCTCGTCTTACGCCCCTGCTCCACGTAGTTCGTCATCAAGTCTCGCAAGCAATACTAGCGATGCTACACAAGCGATGCGAGCCGCTTATTCAGCGAGTGTGCGGAAGAAGAAAAGTTTCCATCATCGGTACTCTTGGAATGTATCCATCAACTCTGGATCGTCCACATGTATCTCAAGTCCCCCACCGTTACTTGCCACCACTCCAAAAGCTGCACTATTGCTAACTGAGTCCACTGCGTCAAACGGAGCTACCGTAACGTCAGTGACTGCCGTGGTGTCATCCCCCGTAGGTGGTGAGAGCAACGGAGGACTGAAGGTGCCATGATCTCTCAACAAGGGTGCCACATGGTCCACGCGGCCACCTCGACTGTCGGCACTACATTTTGCGCAATGCACTTGACATGCGACAATGACATGACTCATGTCGGGTGGAGGCTACCCGGACTCGCCTTGATTCGCGTCATTATTCTTGGGCTATCGAGCAATCGCCGATAAGGGGGAGATAAACAAGTGTTAACTGTGTTAATTCACTTAATTCACCTACGCTTTATCGAGTTTGGGTCTGTTCGTTTACTCTTCGTGCATTCGATCTTCTATTCCCTTTTTGTTGTTTGGCTTACCAGCCCCAGCTTCCTTGATTAATATACTGGCGGCTTATACTACATACCATCATACCGATGAGGCTACAGCGGATGTCCACTGTACGATATTGTTCATCATAAAATATTGATTGAAAAGCGGGAATGATTTCGGGCTCGCAATATCTCAGTCTCGGAGGGGTCACTGAGTTCAAATAAGTTTTTAATTTTAACGAAGTGACGCGATGTTAGGACTGTGGGCGCGATGGCTCCCCGCAAACACATGGCCAGGAGCAGAAGAAGATTAAGTATATTGAAGCTAAAACGCAAATAAAGCACAAGGAGGTCATTACGCAACGTGTGGTAGCGGAATTCAGTAATTTTTTGATCAGAGTACATCTTCATTCACGTAAATTACTTGCATGTAGATTCACACCTTGTCCACTAGTAAAATAAAATATTATATTCAAATTACGGAAATGATCACATGCAAAAGGACTCTAAGTCATTGTCCCGTCTTTAGATAAATTCAATCAGCTGCAGGGGCACGCCCCGTCAATGTCGAGAGAACGTACTAGCTAATAGAAGAGGAGACAAATGACTAGCCCACTCCCTTTCAGCGTGCCTTTCTAAACGTGCTTCTGTGGGTCATCTGAGGCCTCCGTGCACTCCACCCAGTCAATCCCCGCTTCCAATGTCAGGAAGTGTACTTCCACGCAGGGATGTGCACCCGGGCATCGGCGGACTTGACGCTAGTGTCGTGACTAGGACGGGGTGAGAACCGTCGGAGTACAACAGGTCTGATTGGACGACAACGTCATGGCTGCCACTGGCAGATGGACAGCTGAGAGAGACAACTGACAAACAGCGGGATTAGTGATAGATCAGGGCTGCGTTATCAATTTACTGACAGGAGTTGTGCTGTGTCTCGTTTTTCCATTTGTAGCTTACACAGTGGACGTGACATCTCGGAATAAAATAAAATCGGTTCCCTCCGCTGAACATTATCCATGAGATAACCTCGTTAGGGGATCTGTCACCGGGCAACTTGGAGCGGCTAACGAGAGAGCACAACTAGCTCAGTTCAACCACTACAAGATCTTATTACAATCTCATCATATCACAGGTTGCATTGTACATACCTTTCTTGTCGCTCAGATCAATCTCATCTTTCGATTTGGCTACGAACAGCGCTAGTAGAAACAGGTGATCCCAAGGAGGGTACTATTAACCTGTGAGTGGTAAGCAAGCAGCATTAATGCCGCGATGTGGTGAGCAGGCAAACCTTCCTTTCCTACAATTTTAGCTGAGACATCTGTCATTACTCAACATTCAATATTCAATGCCAACGGGAATCAGATTTGTTACCTGTGGAGTGATATTAAGCTTCAATGTGCCGTAGTACACTCTGCTTCGTTCCGTAATCTGGCTCACATCAAGAGCACACCTTTAATTTCCGATGCCAGTGCCATCCGCCATGGTTTGTTTTAGATGAGTTGACCTTCTGGTGACTTGCTGCGTGCCGGAAAGTTTGAAATTCAAACTCAGCGACACTGAGTTCAATACTTGTTAGTCATAACTTCAAGAACCTTGTCCGATATCAGACTTGAATCGATATCCGGAGGTTTACCTCAGGGTCATCTATGAACATCCCAGCCTGCCACGTTCTTGCCACAGCTCTGTTACGCAAGGACAAACGTACAGAATAATGAATGCGACGCACACATCTCGTTTTGGTTAAAGACAGGTGTTGTATACCTCATTCGTGGGCGAGTCTTTTTTACATACGCGGGAAGACTGAGCTCACCAGGAGCCAAGAACCTAACCTACAGGCTTCTGTCGGGGAACTCAAATTATTGAAACGCGTTTGATATGTCGTCACATCGTTTTAAGCCACGTGCAGATCTATATCTTGCTGCCTCAGAGATGCTTATGTGAATGCAATCGTGGGATGGGGCCAGGCTAGCGGGGCTCACCAGCCAGCGGTATCCTGTATCATGGCGTCAGAGATATCTGGCAGCACAGCTGCAGGGGCTATGAAAGACGACTGCGAGGCACAATTACTGGTGTCCTCGCAGCGACCCGCACAACAATTGATGAAGATAAATTTGTCGGCAGAAGCACCATATCTGATTATAGTGACGAGACATTCAAGTTGATCTATGTCAATGCACAATGTCATCGCACGCAGATAATAGCATGCCGGATACGAGCACAACAGATGGCCTATCTATCACAACAACAGCACCTTATGCCACGGGTGGACCGGACCGAGGAGATCCGTAATCGACAAGTACCTTGAATCAGTCTAACTGACGCTTGATTTTTCCCTTGATCAGATGCAGGCCATCGTGTTGTCATTGTGCCCATTTCAGTACAATCAAGAATGATTATCATCGGTGCAGAACAAGAACACCGGTGATACAACGCTTTGTGATTAACACAGGGATGGTCACAATAAAGCATACATCTAGAAAACGTGTTATCATCACTGAACTCAGACACCCGTCTCACGTTGGGCTCACCACATCATCGCGCAATCTAACAAATGACTGCGCAACCACATAATCCATCTAAGTCCCATATAGTTCAAATTCCCATGGCACTTGGGAGCCTGGGAGAAGATCACTTAACCATATTCTTCGTAAACGACATGTCGCATAGATCTTGATGAACGACAGGTGCGAATATGTCCCACTAGGGACGGGGGCATTTATCGCTGAGAGTGTTACTGGATGATTGATGTCATGACGGCCATCTTCGCCATCATCGAGCTGATGCATCCCAGCGAACGTGCTAAAGTGGGGTATCAAGGACGGAAGGTTAAGCGTAATTGTGGACCAAGCTGTCAAGGGACGAGACGAGGGCTGTGGAAATAAAAGAGGTAGATGAAGGACAGGTTGCGCATTCGGAACAGGAGATATTGCAAGTTTGGGTTCCTTCTGATAAGAAGAAGTCAGTAGATGGGCATATATTACACTATGGTCTGCATCAAAGATTGATTCTGAAAAACGGGGGAAATCATAAACGTCATGCACCTGAAATGTCGAACAGCGAACTACACCGCGCCTCCCTGACTTGTCAACGATACCTATGTCGAAAGACCACTCCCTGCCCACATTTCGAACTTGCAAATGAAGCCATTTATGCTTCAAGCCCAAATCCCTGTCACCGGGATCTGTAATAGGTGGGGACCGGATGAAAGTCATCCGGAGAGTTGGGGACTGGATATGAAGGACAGTTTGATGCAGGCCATAGCCAATATTTGGTTCATCACGGTCATCGAGTGCCGGCATCGAGCAGAGAACAGCAGGTGGAGACGGAGGTGGTAGCGAGGACGCATCATTGAGAAAATGGATGAACGAATCTGCGGCGAGAGACTCATCTGTCTGCTGTGAAAACAGGGAAAGAGGTTCGCTACTCGTAGAAGAGAATAGAGAGACAATGTTCGGCTGCACCGTGTTGGTAAACATCCAAGTCAAAGTATCCGGCACTGCCACTTTTCCAATTCAATTATGTTGTCAAGATTGTTGTCCACTTAACCGTCACGCCAAAGGCAGTGATACTGAAAGCTTGTGTTTCAGTATCTTAGACAGCAATTATGTAAACTTTGGGAACTTTAGTACTTAAGCCGGCGGGCTCACGATGCACCGAAAAATTGATTGATATTATGCATGTAGCAAGGTCCGTTAAAGTGAATGCATAACGAGAAATGACAGTGTCGGTAAGTGAAGTGCTGGGTGTCAAGTAATATACGAGCAGTGTATGCTATTGAGTAGTGGGGTATAAAGAAAGCAAATATCGAAAACAATGAACAACGCAAACTACACACTGACATACGAACGCACGGCCTGCTTCAGTCCATTGAGCAGTTCTCGTTGCTTGAACGGATCGTCTGGCAGCTTCAAATTACCCATGGCAAGAGATAAAAGATAAGTAAAGTCTGCTTGAGCGACCAAAGGTAGCTTGGATGCCAGCGATTTTTTCTTTCGGTCGTCAATCTTGGCTTTGAATTGTTTCGCGAAATCCTGAGAAACGACTTCGGCGCGTTTGATCACCTCCTCGGTACGCCTGCGAGCTTGGCTACATGTGTGCCAAAGGACGAAGATGCAACACCATCAACCAACTTGTACAGAAAGACAAGCTGCAGAAATGTTAATCAACCAGCAACCCATGGTATACAGCTTACTTGCCTCATGTTTTTCGTCGTCAAGCATGGTAGACATGTGCATGTTCCTGATGTTTGGATGATAGGCAAAATCATCGGTGAGCGAACCATAATGTGTTGCAAAGAATGCTAGCGGAAGGGTGCGGGTGGCAATTTCATGGAGGACAGCCTGATGTCGTACAAGGTCATAATCAGAGAATTCCATGATATGCAAGTGAGACATACTCCAGCGATTGCCATACCGTCCTGAATAAAGAACCATCAATAGTGAGTCGCGAAGAAAGGGGCGTCGTCTCTTACATAAGTAGAAGTACCTCTTCCCAATTCTCGAATGTGGGTCAGTCGGAAATCCGTTTAAAAGGGAAGATAGCATACCATCGAGGATTACCAACGATTTAGGTGTAGCATCCCGCAAGATCTTGCAACTACTCCTCGTTTGTAACTGAGATGCCAAGTTAGGGATATCACTCACCACTCATCTAGTTCAACTTTGAACGTGCTTGAATGGGAAAACATGTTATCATAAGCGCCCATCCGCGTGAGAATAGCATCTATAGGACAGAGTCTGCATTGGCGTGAGTGAATGCATCTTGTCAAAAAGGTAATAACAAATGCTCACCGAGCCGACTTGGCGGGAACGAGCATGCCCAACTGCGCCATGATGACACCTGTGGCTGTCATGCGCATAACCTGAGAAAAACAATGAAAACAAATCACTGGGGCTGTGTAACCACCCACTGTAGATTTTCCACTACGCATCATACGATGTAAGTAATCGCATACCAAAAGGATGATTCTGACTAACCCCATGTTCGGACCTGTCAACAGCGCAATCCTACCGAGATCGCCGCCCAATTTGACATCATTCGCAACTGAAGCCCTCCCGCAAGCTCGCTAGTGTTGGATGTCTCAGCTCTTCAAACTCGATAAAGGCAGCATCGCCTTCCACGAACTCAGGCCGACAGCTCGGTTCGCCCATCGCGACAGATGCCTTCGCGAGGCTGAAGAGGCAGTCAAGTTCGGCAAGGACACGTACGGCGCGGAGCCACGTGCCCCGGTCGGTATCGAATTCGGCATACAGACGTCCTCTGAAGGACTTTACCGCCGCTGAGCGGTTCTCGCGTGCTTCCTTGAGACTTCGGATTGTCGGTTGAAGGGAAGGCACGATCCAACGGGTAGCTGCCTGACGTATAACAGTAAGCCATGTTCTCATGGCGCATCCTGATTTACCCACCTTGGTACCGCTGCTTTTGACCCAGTCATTAGGGACTTCTTTCTCGTTCGCCTTCGTCTGGACGAGATAGATCTCCTACCAGAAGATATAAAAATGAATATCAGTCATTACGACAAAAGCGAATCCTGACTTTGTTCCCCTGAGCGCTGTGCCACCACGTAAGATTGCGCCTATATCAAACTTATCAGCGCAAACCGCCTTCTCGAGAAGTAAGAACCTACCCAAGCTTTTTCTCAAACTTCTTGAGTTGCGTGTCTAGCGTCTTCTCAAGTTCCTCAATTTCACACATAATTTCATCATACACCTCATCCTTGCCTGCAACAGGGAGCAGCTCATCCGTTTCTAAAATATTATTATTAGTAGCAAGGAACGAACAATAAGAGAGTGATCTATGAAAGACATGGCATTACATACCTTTATCCTTAGTAAACCGCGATTCTACGTTCTTCAGATTGGGAGTCAGATCCGGTGCTGATCTCAAAAGTCCGAGGATCGTCTTCGAATCGAATGACTCAGAGCTGTCGGCGAGCTTCGCAAGGCCGCGGCTAAGCTTCTTGAAGGCCTAGGAGGCGAAAGGGAGTTAACATCAGAGATTGCACAGATCTTGAGAATGGTATATCAAGCAGGGTGGTTCAGAAGGCCAGATACCCACGCATCAAACGCGGTCCACATCTTGGTCCATGGATCTGATGCGCCCACGATACAAAATTATTTTGCACGGGAAGATACGTACCGCCAGCACTTTGACAAAATCTTTAACCTTGCAGTTATTTGCGTGAATCCTGGAAATGATCCGCTCCAGATCGGGGAGTCCTTTTGCGAGTTCGGTAAATTCTTGCTCAAAAGTTGCGTGTGAGATGAGGTCCTCCACAGCATTCAAGCTGCGGATGATTGTATCAGTACTATCACAATCTCTTTAACCTTAAGAAATGCCGTACCGTGCATTGATATCTTTAACTTCCCGCAAAGGAACGCACAGCCAGATCCTAAACAGTCGTTTACCTGCATGGCGATTCAATACCTTCTTGAAGAAATGGAAACGCAAAGCCCACCAAACGGCGTGATGCATCTCCCCAGGAGTTTATGCAACGATCCATCTTCTGTACCTTCATTATTGAGTAGAACCTGCGCCACCACATCAATCACTGCCTGGCGGGAAGAGCAATGAATGACGGGATGACACCTACCTCAACGTGGGCAAGCGTCTGCCCATCTAGCACAACATTGGTTCCTCTCTTCATTGGATCATAGACGTCAAAGTTCCGCATCGTAAGAAGGTCCTTGTCGATGTTCAGCTGACGGAGATACCTATTTTTAGACCTAGCATTCATGTTCTGCATTATCCTTGGGACGTCGGATACTCACCACATCAGCGCGCCTAGAGCCTCCATCGCGGCACGGTAACTCGCCATGTCCCGAATACTCTGTGGGACAGCGCTTGATAGCTCGGCGTCCTCATCTATCGTATCTTCCCCTCCAGTATTAGCCTCAGAAAACATACTATTCAGTTTGTTAATCGTCTGCGGGTAAGTAAATCCTTCGACGTCCCGGAGACTGGTCCACAAACAAGACCCGGGGAGGATGGACTTCAGTAGACGCGTCGTTTGCACAGAAAGATTCCCCTATTATAACAGATATATTCATTCTGGAAAGTTGAATAACGTGAAGACGATCAGACCGACCTTGGTGAAGATCACTTCCTTTGGCCGCAGCTGCCTCATCATCGTCTCCAACTTCGTTGTGCATACATCATCCTCAAATGAACTTAGGCTAAACTGGCTCGTGGCGCTATCCAGGACGCAGACTCCGAAATTGCTCATGCCATCCTTTCCGTCTGCAGACTCGCGCAGGGAAATACAATGCCCTGCTTGCTCATCTGTGAGGAGGTCTTCGTCCACAAGCGTGCCGTTTGTGTATACTTTGTTGAGCTCCCTACGGACGATCTTCTCTTTATCTTTTCCGCCAGCACCCTTCTTACCCTTGTCCTTTGCAAGGCGCATCTCAGCACCAAGTGCCGTCTCTGCTTGATCCACACGGCCGACTTTATATCCTGTATTAAAATTTTGCGCTCAACCTGCTAGTGCGGAGAATATCAACATATACATACCCTTTCCGAGGAATTTACTAGCGTGCGGGACTTGATGAGCAATCGATCACAACTGTGAGGAATAGACTCACGCAGCCCAAAAGTTGAAGCTCATTTCAGGTACACCGACCTAACAAGTCGTGCATCAGTGGTCTAAAGGGAAACGAGGCAGCGGAACCCACCATGGACATCTTCACGCGCTGAGTGAGTTTCAAGTCAAACTCCCGGTGCCCGATCCGTGCGTCATCTTCATAGAGCTAGGTGTGAGTGAGCACACAGGTTTGAAAATTACAATGCCTCTAGCTCACCTCTAGGAATTTTCTACAAGCGGAATAGCCATGAACAACAGTATGAAGGGAACGAACGGGGAACACACCCTTTCTGGAAAAACAAAACCTAGTGGGAAATACACACGTTAGCACGATTCAAATGTAACTGGGCTAACACATACAGTGTCGAAGTGATCCTGCTTGATCTGTAAAGATAACAAGGGGTCAAGGACACCTCCATAAACCATTACATCCTCACGTACCTCCCAAAACTGTATAAAAACATCGCAAAAGCGTCAAAATAAAAGCAAAAGAATAGCCGCACCTGTGTTTCAAAAGGCGTAAAGTCTGTCCATGATTTCTTCGGGATGTACAGCGTGCGCGGGTCATATCCAGGCTCGCCAGGGCGAACACCATCTTTCTGTGGACTGTATCAGCAATATGAAACTACTGGACGGCACTGGAGAAGAGAAGACGAAGATGAAGTCGCATGTATCCATGCAATCGAAGGAAAAATGGAAGAGCTTTCCGTGTATTTATGCGTTCGAAAATGCTTCTACCCCCAAAAAAAATGGGTGAGGCATTGAGAAATATGGTGATGTATCTCCTTGGAACGAAACTATTAGGACGACTCACATCTCGCACGTCAACTAAAAATGAAAACGGATCCTCAGTAGCTTTTTTCTCGGTCTTCTTCTCTTGTGTGCGCCGCTCGGCCTTCGTCAAAAACGCAGTGTTTCCTGCCAGTCCACTCCCGCTTCCTTTATCACCGCCAGCTTTCCCAGAATTCTTCAGGGGTGGACGCTTTGACTTCGCGGATTTTTTAGTGGGGACATCTGACTCCTCACCAGACTGGTCGTCTGAGGCGGCGGACTTAGACGACTTTGAACGCGAAGAGGCGCGTGATGATGAACGCTCATGTTCTGACTCAGAGTCAGGGGCAATAAAGTCGTCGTCATCGGAAGCTCTCGATTTTTTCTTAGATGCTGTTCATGTTCAGATAAATCTGGGGTTGAACAGGCAGCTACTCACATTTGGCAGGTGACTTGCGGAACTTGGTCAAGCGCGATGAGAATTGCGAGCGCACGTCTGCGTTCTCGTCGTCTTCCTCATCGGAAGTGAGAACCGGGGGTGTGGGCGCGATACGCGGTTTCTTCGCGTGTCCGCGTGAAGGAGAGGACTTGTCATGACATTCGAGGGATGAGGTGCGGTATGTAGCTTGTGTCGTGCTCTTCCCTAAGAGAGCCTCGTCCTCCTCATCGGAGTCGGCTAGAATAAGCTTGCGCTTCGTTAGGCGCGTCTGTACGGCAAGGGAAGTTGAACTGTCAGAAAAAGTCGCACAACACTTTGAAAGTAATTATAGAACGCTCACATTAGCACTCTTCTTGACCGACGCGTCCTCATCATCTGATAACATGTCGACATCTATAGGAATGGGGTCCGAGGTCGGTGGAGTCTCCATGCCGCTCTCTGCATCAATATCGATGTCGGAAGATGGTCTTGAGTCTAGTGTCTTTGGAGTAAACTTTGATTTTGTTTTAGCAGCCGAGAAAGTCTTTGTCGACCCAGAGGAAGTTTGGGTCCCTGGTAAAGTGGAGCTTTCTCGCGTTGGCGTCGCGCTGGTCGCGTTCTGAATCTTTGCTGCTGCAACTGAACTTGACAGGCCGGGTTTCGCAAAAAAGTTCATAAGGCTTTTCTGCATCATGCTATCGTTGGACTTTTTCTTTGCAGGCGTAGGTGCCATCTTGACTGTTCAGGTTTTTTGAAATATGATACCAACGTTGCTTATTAGGTCGCGTCAGAGCGCGTTTGTACTTGTTTGGTGCTTATACCAACGGAAATCACCTTGTTGCCACTTCGTTCATACAATGATTGCTAGTCTGATAAAAATGACAGTGTTTGTTCACTGACGGTTTGAAGTCAGTTCCATTCAAAATTTGACTCGCATCCCAAATCGAACTCGAAATTCAGGTATGATCCGGAACTCCATGTTATACACCAGAATTCACTGACATCGACACGTACAAGAATCACGGTCGTCATTAATTGTTCTACTCATGAAACTTGTCGTTCGTGCATCATCCTTAAAGTTTAGAAATTTCCAACTTTTGTGCTCACGAACGCCGTCATCTCTTCTCTTCCTGCCCGCTGCCAGCACTTCAAGCAAGGTCCAGCACCAGATGCCCAAGGCGCTTATTGCCGGCCTCTCCATCCTCGTTCTCCCCACCATTACCTATTTCTCTAGTTTCACCAACACATTTTATTTACCGCTCGGCAGTGGCCGCAACACTAAGCTGAAGATGTTGTAGAGTCTGGGTCTTTTGAATGCCATCACGGAGGGTGTGCGGGGTTGGTTTCTCAGGAACGTTTGAACTTTGTTACTCCAAGAAACCTGAATGATAGCAAGATTCTCTTATCGCTCCGTTATGGATCATAATTCATTCTCAGATCAGTACTATATATTCTCCTACAATTCGACCAGCGTCCTTTGAGAACCATACATCTTACCATGCTCGACGATGGATACAGACTTTACTTGGCCACATCGGCTTTGGCGCTGGCTATCTTCAGCTGTTACCGAAAATATTGGGACAAGCAATCGGGTCCTCCACTTCCACCTGGTCCTACACCCCTCCCAATACTGGGGAATGTTCTGAGTCTTGATGCCGCTCGGCCTTGGCAGACCTTCAATGCCTGGAGGTCCACATATGGTTAGACATCGTGACGAGGGTCTGATTATAATAAGACTCATATTTCTACAGGCGACATCATTTTTGCTCGTCTCCTCAACAAGCCTGTGGTTGTGATTAACTCTGAGGAGGTTGCGAAAGACCTCTTTGAAGGGCGTTCCGCCATATATTCGGATAAACCCCAGTCCATTGTTTACGAACAGTAAGTCAGTATATTGAGTATTGCGACGCATTGATGACGAAGATGCTTGTCAGCTTCAGTGCGGACTCCATGGCATCACTCCTACCATATGGAGATAGGTAATAGGTCGTTATCTATTGTGTTGACCAGGGTCTGAATTCAGCAGGTGGCGCCTTCACCGACGAATTCTTCATCAGGCATTTCGTCAGGTTGAAACGCCTACTTACCACGCTATGCAACTGTGTTGCGCCCGCAAAATGCTGTTCCGTGTTCTACAAGACCCTGGTGAATATTCAAGGCATTTTGAGATGTTGGTTGTACAGTTTGTTTTAGTTCCTGCTAAGACTAATTCTCGTCAGGTTTAGCGCTTCCTTTATATTGTCTATAGCATATGATTATGAAGCGAAAGCCAGGGATGATCCCATGGTCCACGTCATGGAAAGGTACTTGGATCGGGCAGTCGTAGCTTTGACGCCAGGTGTTACTGTGATACTTGAAACATTCCCTTTCCGTATGTTTGCACATGCAATGACGACCTGCTATTATATTTTAACGGTCAATTTAGTTTTGAAGTTACCCAACTGGTTTCCTGGTGCCACATTCAAGCGAGCATCACTGCAGTGTCTCAAGGCAGCCCATGATATGAGGGAGATACCCTTTCAATTTGTCCAAGAGAGAATGGTGAATCATCCCATCCATAGGGGTGCAATGAACTGATGAACCACACATAGGCTACCGGCGTCACGGCACCTTGTCTCGTGGCTGATAATTTGAACAAGATGGGGCGTTTGAACGACGCCGTCATTACAACTGCAGTCAAGGAGGTTGCTTGTATGGCGTTTCGCAGGTACTCAAGCAACAAATCTTTGTCCCTCGATGCTTATTGTTGTTTCTATATCTTCAGCAGCATTTGAAACGGTATGCAACGCCCTGGTCTATGTTTACCGTGGTAATGATCTTGCCCTCGGCCTAGACTACTGCCACGTTACTCGTGTTCATTCTTGCTATGGTGCTCAATCCAGAAGTACAAACCAAAGCCCAAGCAGAGATTGATCGAATTGTCGGCAAAGATAGACTACCTGATTTCGATGACAGACCTGCGTTACCTTATATTGATGCTATTTTACGTGAAACACTAAGGTGGCAGCCTGTGATTCCGTTTGGTCCGTTCCACCGTCACCCCTTTTTCTGTCCTCTGATATTGTGCCTAGGCATGCCAGGCGCAACAACGACCAGTGACGTTTACAAAGGCTACTTCATCCCTAAAGGTTTGTAATGTACCATGCTGGATGACCGATGGTTGCTGACGACCCGGTTTTGTTAGGAGTTGTTTTATTTACAAATACATGGAAAGTTCTCACTTCCTTAATACTGAATGTCTCGAAATGATCGAACCTTTAGGGCGATTACACACGATGAAAAGAAGTACCCCAGTCCTGATGAATTCAAGCCGGAAAGATTTCTTCATGAAGATGGGTCGCTCACTAGCGACACGATGCAATCAGGCTTTGGCTTTGGTCGCCGGATCTGGTGAGCATGCATTCATGCAGCTTCTCCGCTCTCTGTTGAAAACCACTGGTCAGTGTGGGACGATATGCCGCGGATGCGTCACTCTGGATCGCGATGACGAGCTTTCTCGCCATATTCTCAGCTCACAAGACTCTTGATGAACACGGCATGGACATCCCAGTCATTCCAAAGTTCTCTACAGGCCTTATCATGTTTGCATAATCTCATTTATCCTCGACAGTAACTAGTCTGCTGATCTGTTGTTTTTTCAGTCATCCGGAGAAATTTCCCTGCCGCATTGTCCCGCGGTTCCCCGATACATCTTTGAAGACACTGATGTACTTGACTGGGTTAGATCCGTGTGTCGACATCTCCTGAACATTTCACATACAGCAGCAGGGGAACCCCATTCTTGGTGTAAATGTGTCGTATACGGCTCACGGATATAGCTTTCTACTTTGTAAATTGTATCTTACCATTCGAGCATAGGGCAGAAATATTATACTAGCACTGATTGGAGGTGGCTGCCTTTGTGAAGGCGTTAGCGTCGGTGCGTACGCCATGCTGCTGTGGCTTGACGGTTGGGTATGAAGCCAAATGTGACTTCTGCTCGTTCGAGTTCCTGAAGAGATTAAAAGTTAAACTTCTGCATACGTCGTAGAAACAATTAAACATTAGCACGCGACTGAGGTCTTTGGTACAATTCGTACCTTGTGGCTTATCGATCAAAGTCCGTGTGTAGGGTTAGTTTTGAGAGGTTTGGATGGCGCGTAATAGATTATAGTATGTTGGCTGCGTTTTATGGGAGACATTTGAGTGAAGACAAACCTCTCGTATTGAGTACAAGAGCCTCTTTTCTGGAACGCCAGTCTGCTCACAGTTTACTATGTTTGAGCTGCTGCTTGCCGAGGTGTTGTCTGGTTTTACATAAGGTAGACGTCGTGCAGATTCATTCAGCGAATTTGTGTAACATCAAGCTCCCCGCGCAGAAGACCATTGCACCACTGAGAGCTGCATTCCGGGGCCAACTTCCCATGCGGCATTGTCAACACATGGCGTGGACCCGGGAAAAGCAGCACAAGGGGAAAAAGTGCACAAGGAGATGGATCTGAGTGTGTGGGTAATAGTTGTGGTGGCGAATATTAATTATGAGAGGAATCAGACACCGTAGGTGCAGGAAAAAGAAAGCTGAAATGAGTGTGCGCATGCTATACATCTTTGATCAGGCTGCATGACTGATGCGAAGCAGGATGATGGAGACCAAAGAAAATTCCGCAGCAGCGCACTCCTGCATACACAAAGTCTTCCGCTCCGCCAGTTGAGCCCTTGTGCTTCTGTTTGGATTGGTTGTGCTTGAGATGGTTGTGCCCCAGCTGGTTGACCTGATTGTGTTGAACTGTCGGCCTGATGACTATTCGTATGTTGCATAGCTGTGGCCGCTTCCGCGTCAGACTCGGGGACAATACCAATTCTCTGCAGTGTGTTTTAATGGGAGGAAAGAGGAAAGGCGAGCCACCCACGTTTTCATCTTGAGCAAGAGGTACATCAATGGTGTGCATGGAATGTCCTCCAGAAAACAACTTGAATCCGACATTCCACTGTCGGGACTGTCGTTCGATCGGTTGGGATGCATTTACAGGTCGTGTGCCAAAATGTATGGAACTGAGCGAACAACGCCAACAAATAAGGGACGATGGGCTTGCGACAGGAGTTGCACGATGAGATGCGTGGTCTGATTCGTTGCCAAAGCAATCATTGCCCTGTATCTTGGTGTCAGACGAGAAAGGCGAGGAACAAGAAAGTACACTGACATATCTTGCTAGCCCTGTTGTTTTGGGATGCTGATTATACGCAACATGGGGGTCAAAGGTCTAACGAGACATGGGAAAAGGTGGGGCTTGCTCACGATTGGTGGTGCCATCCCTTGACCATGTGCAGATCGGACCGTTCCCACTGCTCATGAATTTATCGCCTTGTGGAGAGTATTTGATGGCTTCAACCCATCCGTAAATAGTGTTTATGGATGGTGCTACTTGTCGACCAGTATCCGGATTCCAGCATCATATGGTGCCGTCTTGCGATCCACTTGCTATCTCCAGATAATTGCGAGACCAATCGAGGCACCTCACTTGAGCATTATGCCCCTCCCATGGGTCGCCGATCATGCTGCCCTCTTTCATATTCCACATCCGCAGTATGCCGTTTGTGCTTCCACAAATGACCATTGTTTCATCGGGGGATACTACCATCGAACCTATCCCTCCCCCATCGCTATTCAAAGGTTTTCCCACTGGCTCTTCATCCCTTTTCCACTGACAAATCGAACTATCCTCAGACGCACTCATTATATTGCCACTGGTACCCAAGTAGGCAAGGCTCCATATGCATCGAGAGTGACCCTCAATGACGCACTCTGGCTTCAAGCTTCCTGCCCGACGTTTTGGCTTGGGAGTCTTCCACGATGTGGTCCGAGTGTTGTGGTAGACGAAGTAGGATCGACCGAGTGGTGAAATGTGCCATTCGCATCTAGGATCAACGAGATCTCCAGGATAATCTATGTTCAACGGTGAGTTCCTTGCTCCTCGTCGCAATCTCATCCCTCACCCAGTTGCACTCCTGGTAAAGGTCGGTTCCCCGAGGTCATCACGAGCGTGTCATCTTGATATCGTGTTTCACCATCTGGCGACGTCTTATACTGTTGCCACATAGGAGGAAGCACTTCATTCCCGCCTGATTCTAATTGAGTAAGCTGGTAGATATCACCAGGTAGCTGCTCACCTTCCCAAAGCGCATCCTGGCGGTGCTGTGCACCATACGGTGGTAGATATTTCGCGCTCGTTCAATATATCAACGAGTGCAAGGGCGCTTCTCCTCGTCTCGTTGACCTGCTTGACTCGGCTGCTTCGTGTGGCATGACAAGGATGTCGCGTTGTACAGACCGACTGGACAGTGAAACACTGCAAAGTCAGTAATCGACGGGAAGGAGAGATACGGGTGAAAGTGACGAAGAAACCTGCTATTTGAGTGAGTTTTGCATGCTGTGGTTGCAGGCGCTTTGCTGATACCGCATGTCAATGGCTGTATTACCACCGGATCAAGTACTTACCTTGGTCCGGTTCAAATTTTGAGGTAGTTCGATGTACAAATATTGGTCTATTATGTACGTCTCGTCAGCGAGTGGAATAATATTATATTTGTTTGAGCGAGCGAACCCGTACGCTGTGCGCAGCAGCACTCCCAAGCAAAGTACCACCAGCCAGTAGTGACAAATGATTGCGTGACTGATGGGAACAGGGATAGATATATAATCATTAGTAAAGAGATGAAGAGAGTGCGCAGATTTGCCTTCGTCGACAATAGTGGCCCGTGCATCCAATAGATAGATTGCGTCTTCCGCAGACGCAGTATTCGCAACAAACGTAAACACGTTAATTCGAACATCTCCCAGTTCTGGAGTCGCGATAAAATCATCATAATGTCAGTAATTCTTTTTGTCAATCTGATATCTGCTTCCGCTCTGAAGACCAACAACACCGTGAAATGAAGCAGAGGTCGCCATAGTGGTGAACAAGGGATGCTAAAAAGGGGATAGAAACGTCCCTGGTAAATTGGAGCTGTCTCAGCGCGCTGGTCGTGTGCTGAATCTTTGCTGCTGCAACTGAACTTGACAGGCCAGGTTTCGCAACAAAGTTCATAAGGCTTTTCTGCATCATGATATCGTTAGACTTTTTCTTTGCAGGCGTAGGTGCCATCTTGGCTGTTCAGGTTCCTTTGAAATATGATACCAACGTTGAAGTCATTAGGTCGCGTCGGAGCGCGTTTGTACTTGTTTGGTGCTTACGCCAACGGAAATCACCTTGCTGCTGTTTGTCTCCACTTCGCTCATACAAATATTGCTAGTCTGACAAAAATGACAGTGTTTATTCACTAACGGTTTGAAGTCAGTTCCATTCGAAATTTGACTCGCATCCCAAATCGAACTCGAAATTCAGGTATGATCTGGAACTCCATGTTATACACCAGAATCCACTGGCATTGACACGTACAAGAACGTCATTAATTGTTCTACTCATTAAAGTTGTCGTTCGTGCACCATCTTTAAAGTTTACTAAAATTTCCAACTCTTGTGCTCACGAACGCCGTCATATCTTTTCTTCCTGCCCACTGCCAGCACTTCAAGCAAGGTTTAGCACCAGATCCCCAAGGCGCTTATTGCCGGCCTCTCCATCGTTCTCCCCACCATTACCTACTTCTCTAGTTTCAACAACACAAATTATCTACCGCTCGGCGGTGGCCACAACACTAAGGTGAAGCAAATATGTTGTAGAGTCTGGGTCTTTTGAATGCCGTCACGGAGGGTGTGCGGGGTTTGTTCTCAGGAACGTTTGAACTTTGTTACTCCAAGAAACCTGAATGATAGCAAGATTCTCTTATCGCTCCGTTATGGATCATAATTCATTCTCAGATCAGTACTATATATTCTCCTACAATTCGACCAGCGTCCTTTGAGAACCATACATCTTACCATGCTTGACGATGGATACAGACTTTACTTGGCCACATCGGCTTTGGCGCTGGCTATCTTCAGCTGTTACCGAAAATATCGGGACAAGCAATTGGGTCCTCCACTTCCACCTGGTCCTACGCCCCTCCCAATACTGGGGAATATTATGAGTGTTGATGTCGCTCGGCCTTGGCAGACCTTCAACGCCTGGAGGTCCACATATGGTAAGCACATCGTGACGAGGGTCTGATCTTGATAGACTCATATTTCTACAGGCGACCTTGTGTATGCTCGTCTCCTCAACAAGCCTGTGGTTGTGATTAACTCTGAGGAGGTTGCGAAAGACCTCTTTGAAGGGCGTCCCACCATATATTCGGATAAACCCCAGTCCATTGTTTACGAACAGTAAGTCAGCATGTTGAAGTACTACGCATTGATGACGGAGATGCTGTCAGCTTCGGTGCGGACTCCAACATGGGGCTTATGCCATATGGAGACAGGTAATGGACTGTTCTCTGTTATGTTGACTAGTGTCTGAAATCCAGCAGATGGCGCCTTCACCGACGAATTTGTCATCAGGCATTTCGTCAAGCTGCAGCACCTGCTTACCATGCTATACAAATGCGTTGCGCCCGCAAAATGTTGTTTAGTATTCTACAGGACCCTAGTGAATTTTCAAGACATTTTGAGATGTTGGTGCAACCGTTTGTTCTGGTTCCTGTTGAAGCTGATTTCATCAGGTTTACCGTTTCCTTTGTACTGTCTTCAGTATATGGTTACGAAACAAAGCCCCGGAATGATCCCATGGTCCCCATCTTGGAGATATTCGCAGACCGGCTACTCGCAGCCTTGACGCCAGGTGTAACTGTGATACTCGAAACATTCCCTTTCCGTATGTTCGCACATGCAATGATGACATGTCATTAAATCTTAATGGTCATTTTAGTTTTGAAGCTACCCAGTTGGTTTCCCGGTGCCACGTTCAAGCGAGCATCACTGGAGTGTCTCAAGGCAGCCCATGATATGACGGAGATACCCTTTCAAATTGTCAAAGAGAGAATGGTGAATCATGACGCCCATAGAGGTGCAATGAACTGACGGACCATACATAGTCTGCCGGCGTCATGGCCCCTTGCTTCGTGGCTGATACTTTGAACAGAATGAGGCGTTCAGATGATCCCGTCATTACAACTGCAGTCAAAGAGACTGCTTCTGTGGTATTTGCAGGTACCCAAGCTACAGAACTTTGTCCCCTTGATGCTTATTGTTGTTTGTATCTTTAGGGGCATCTGAAACGGTGTGTAACGCCCTGGTCTGCATGTACCGTGGTGATAATCTTACCCTCGGCCTAGACTACTGCCACGTTACTCGTGTTCATTCTTGCTATGGTGCTCAATCCAGAGATACAAGCCAAAGCCCAAGCAGAGATTGATGAAATTATCGGCAAAGATAGACTCCCCGATTTCAATGACAGACCAGCGTTGCCTTACATTGACGCTGTTTTGCGTGAAACGCTCAGGTGGCATCCCGTCTTTCCATTTGGTCTGTTTCACTGTTTCACTGTTACCCTTTTTCCCTTCCTCTGATAATATGTTCAGGCATCCCAGGTGCAACAACGACCAGTGACATTTACAAAGGCTATTTCATCCCTAAAGGTTTGTGAATGTACCATGCCAGATGACCGATGGTTGCTGACGACCCGGTTTGTCAGGGGTTGTTTTATTTACAAATGCATGGAAAGTTCTTGCTTCTTTGATACTGAACGTCTCGAAATGATCAAACTTTTAGGGCACTTACACACGATGAAAAGAAGTACCCCAGTCCTGATGAATTCAAGCCGGAAAGATTTCTTCATGAAGATGGGTCGCTCACGAGTGACAGGATGCAATTAGGCTTTGGCTTTGGTCGTCGGATCTGGTGAGATACATCCATGTAACTTCTTGGCTGTGTTAAAAACCACTGGTCAGTATGGGACGATATGTCGCGGATGCGTCACTCTGGATCGCGATGACGAGCTTTCTCGCCATATTCTCAGCTCATAAGGCTCTTGATGAACACGGCATGGACATCCCAGTCGTTCCGAAGTTCTCTACAGGTCTCGTCATGTTTGCATAATCTCATTTATCCCCGACAGTAACTAGTCTGCTGATCTGTTGTTTTTTCAGTCATCCGGAGAAATTTCCCTGCCGCATTGTCCCGCGGTTCCCCGATACATCTTTGAAGACACTGATGTACTTGACTGGGTTAGATCCGTGTGTCGACATCTCCTGAACATTTCACATACAGCAGCAGGGGAACCCCATTCTTGGTGTAAATGTGTTGTATACGGCTCATGGATATAGCTTTCTACTTTGTAAATTGTATCTTACCATTGCATCAGCGGGTTAGATCGTGCTACAGAGTGCTACGGAGCGCTTCGTAGCACTCTGTAATCATGTGTAATGAGTTACGTTTCCCTGATGTTCGAGCATAGGGCAGAAATAGCAGATAAATTATATATGACAATCAAAGGTACGGTCAACCACAGGACGTGCGTGCGTCTAGTCAGGTGATCACCATAGTTTCTCAACTAGTGTGTGCACTGTCAAACGTTACTGATAACACGGCAAGTTATACTAGTGATCAAGTCGGTCTATGAGGCGAGTCGTGGAGTTGAGTTACATAAGTGGTTTACAGTAGTAACGTGATCTTTAGCCAATAGGAAAACTGAGACATGCGCATCAATAACTCAAGTACTCCAAATTATTTTGGGCGTACATTCGTTGATCATCGTCTCATCTTTTGTTTTGGGTGGATTCCTGCACTTCCTTTCCATTCATTCCCCACCACGCTCTCTCGTGAAATGAAACAAATTTATTTATTTAGTTCTGCACTTGCTTTCCTTACTTCTGCTGTCTTGGCGGCACAACAGGGTGCCACTTGGTCGGTTCACACGTTACAAAATTTATTGCCTCAAGGTTGACCTGACTCCGTAGCAACTCAACGAACCCATGTTCATCCCAGTATCCTTGTTGCAGTGCGTCGCATAATCGACATCTTCTGTCACATGAAATTAATACCAATTTGTTGAACTTCCCTTAGGTGAATACGGATTCTGCGGTGATGGATATGTGCGTCCTATTTTAGTCGTCTCAACATGCTGCTCAATCTTGTTAATCTGTAGTACTGTCTCGGAGGATGCAACCCCCTTGCGTCTAACACTCTCAACTCGTGCAATCCCAGCCCAATGTGCGAGAATGCTAACGTGTGTTCTTTCGCTCTCCTTTCGCGCGAGTGGACCTAACGACAATTCAATATTCAGTACACGCTTTCGGATACCTCTCGCATCCTCAGTAACTATACCTACTTCAATGGGAATGCCTCTGAGTATGGTCAGTTTTTAGAATGAATTACTTTTTAATGGTTTCACTCATGTGCGTTTCTTGTTTGTCACTTTCACAGACTGGGTTGTGGAACAAGGGTCAATTATTAATACTACATCCAACGGCGAGGCTGCAATTGCCGTCCTCCTCACTGAAAGCGGTGGCGGTACTCTTCTGTCTTCAACCAGATACGTGCATTACGGTCAAATCACAGCTAGATGTAAGTGTTCGTTTTTTCAAGAGGCTTTGTAGTTATTCCCTTCTCGTTCACTATCATTGTGACTTTGGTTTTTTTCTCTTCCTATTCTATCTCGGATACCTTAAATGTCTGTTAACATTGTTTTTGAACCTAGTACAAACTGGCCGCTGGGCAGGCGTCGTTACTGCATTCATCACCATGTCTAGCATTAAAGATGAGATCGACTGGGAATTCCCTGGTAATCAGACGACCACCGGACAGACCAATTATTTCTGGCAGGGAGTCATTCGTAAGTTTATTATGGCTGTCAATCCTGCGGAACGTGTTGATGTGTTGTGCCTCTCCTCCATACGCAATCTATTCTCCGCCCATGCCCGGTTTCATTGCGATCAAAAGCTACACAAACTGCTGGTGTAACTGAGACTGGTCTCACGGATACTTATTCCAATTGGCATGATTTCACTGTAAGTCTTCGGTTTTATCCGCTAATCACTTCATGCGTGATTTTCTATTTCGGTGCGTACGCTTTTACAGCTCGGTTCATGAGCAACAAAAGCGCACGCAATTTCAGTCGAACAGTTTACTTGTGTGTCATCTTTTTGCCCTATCCGCGATGTATATACTCTCCTCGAAATGCCGCCTGATAGTCGATGTCAAAGACTATCTGCCTCTTTGATTCAATTCCATCACTCCCTTTTCGGTCTCTTATCTCGAACAACATGCTAACTTCGTCTCTCCGTTAGATCGACTGGCAACCTGACTCGCTGACCTTCTTGGTGGACGGAAACGTGACGCGCATTATTACGGCTGTTGAGGCTACGAACAACGCGACGGGCGTGGCCCAGTTCCCCACCACACCCAGTCGCATCCAGTTGAGGTTGGTGTTCATTCATTCCATGCTTGCTTTTGGGGTATTGGGAATAGGTATTGAGTTGGTATGGTCCAACACTTACAACTTTCTCCTATATTACGCGGTTCTTCATGGTTCAAAATTATGAGGAGACATTTCTGATACCTCCATTGTAGTATTTGGCCGGCCGGTATCTCCACCGAGCCTCAAGGCACGGTTCAATGGGCCGGAGGTATGATCAACTGGAACGACCCCGACTATGTCTCCGCTGGTACGTCTTTTTGAGCCTCACCCTCCACCCCCCCACAGGTTTAATTTTTTTTCCGCAGGCCACTTCTATGCGCTCTTCCAGTCCGTCTCGGTACAGTGCAACGATCCCACCACTCCCAGTGCCTCCGACACATCTTACATGTACGGTGCCAACTCCTCCCTGGACACGCCCAGCATCGCGTTCTCGAATGCCAGCACGATGATTAACGGCGCGCCTGCCTTGATTGGCATGAGTACTGGTGCGATGAGCATGTGGCTCGGCGTTTCGGTGGCGCTCGGCCTTGGTGGCTTGGTATTGTAAGCTGACACCAGGTGATGTCGAAGCTTGTCCAAATTGTCTCTGTTTTTATAAGTGCTTTCTTGTATGGCTACTATGTAATATACCAAGATACCCGAACACATGCTAAGAGCGCTAAATATCAACTTTACCACGCTTTACGTATGTGGCTAACTTTTGTTTGTTTGTCTCCTGAACCTCTATCGACTTTTGACTCAGATTTTTCAGTCCAAAGGCCTGCTGGCGGGTGGAAATTGCAATGGAAGCTGCATTCCAATCCTGACATGGCATGCTTGGCCATCCTCAATTCTCCAAATCATATTTCCAACGAATGAAAATATTCGATGCTTCTCGAATTTTTGTAATTCCATACTCGGCGGCATACACCAATACCACGCTTTGATGCTGATGCGGTATCTGATACATATCACCGTCCAGGCGCCATGTCTGACATCTGACACATCCCATCACTTCACTGTCCAGGTGCCATGTCTGACACCTTCACACACGAATGAGATCTCAGCCCGGAGGGACCGGTACCACTGCCAACCGGCACATATGGTTTGTCTATCAACCCAATGAAACGTTCACCGTCCAGGCTCATTTACCCAGTGGCTCCCCGCCAGCCCATATTATGACTCGTAGTGCCCTCCAGCCTGGGAATGGGAGAGTTGGCACGGTGGGCCTCCTTGCAAGCTTGACCCAATAAAAGGCGTTTCGCATTTCTGGAAACCCCAATCTGCAGTGGGCACAACCTCAATACTACTATGGCACATAACCAGGTCATTTTTGCCTTCTCACTGGAAGTCGCGGCCGCTGATCCTTTTTTGCAGCAATACCATGTTCTCAACGAATTATTCCTATGTATGTGGGATGATGAATACGGATTACATTGCAATGAGCTGGTACAAGGTGGCAATATGGCAACCCATCTCCGAGAATTTCACGGAATCAGTGGTCCGGAACACCTCGCCGTCCTTTGCCGTTGGCAGGGTTGTAACGCTTCGATGAACAAAGGAAGCCTTACACGACATGTGCAAGGAACGCATCTTGGGATCAGGTATCCTTGCAATACCTGCGGCCGGGTATTCACGCGTATATACGGCCTGGAAATGCATCACTGCCCTTAATGTCAGGACTTTCTCTCCCTCATGTATGACCGACGCTGATTATTCAATTTTAGAAAATAATGGATGATATCACTGCAATAGTGGTTTGACCTATGTAGATGCTGAAGCAGCCGGCAGGAACGGCGGACTGATGGGTAGGGGGGAACCTCACGTAGAATAGTGGTTTGAGTTGCGTAGATGCTCAAGCAGCCGGCAGGAACGGCGGACTGATGGGGGTAGGGGGACGGAGAAATGGAGGGGACACGGGTGGTCCCCTCCCCTAGATCTACGTCCTATTATATAGACCTGTATCTAAAAATGCGAAAAACGCCGGAGCGGGCTACTGAGTGTTGCAAGACTTCTTGTTTGACTGGTCGATTCTCATTTTCAGTGTCGCACTTGCGGCGTTTACCATGGCATCTCGAGGTCAATTGGTGCATTTGTGGATTCATGTACCACATGCAGCGTCAGTAGGTTATTTCATACCCTGCAGCATGGCCAGTATGATTTTTACTGTCAATATCTTGAATAGCAAAACAACAAAGCGAACTTATCGGATTGAATGTACATATCGACAACGGGTACTGACATATTTGTCTCCAGTCTTTTGTGCATGGAAGCGGCTTCTGTTCAGCTGCTCTAGTTGGCCGAAGCATTCAAGTTTGAAACCCCTATCTGCGAATCAGAGTTAGGGAATTAAGGAAGTGTAAATACCATCTATAATTGTAGTGTAGCTCATTGGATTCATCAGGAAAAACGCTCTTCTCAAATCGGATGAAATATGATACAACTTGCGTGAATCTGCGAGAATTCGATGGATTTGAACATTCAATCCATTATTTTAGTCCCTTGAGAATTTTCGACAATTGGATCTCACTTTTCGCCAATCAGAACAGAATTTGCGTCAAGCAGAACATGATTTTCAGGCAGTTAAAATTTGTCCAATGCTATCAAATGAGTACCATTGGATCTGAAATCTAGACAATACAACGTGTGACCAGTATCAGTCCTCCGCCATACCATCAATATCGAGGAACATGAGACTATCGGCTGCGCTAGGTTCTTCAGTCTTGCGCTTCGACCCACTACAACACGATGGAATCAGACAATGACAAGTGTCGAAAAAGATAGAACTCACTAGACAGACTTGTACAGCGAGTGTACGAGTACGTGAAATTTGCGCTCGCTGGCCTACCAAACAATTTTCCCTCACTTGCGCGAATTCTGTGGCCCTGTTAACACATTAGTCAAATTTGCTGAATATTGGATTGGATTGACGCACATTCGGGAAAACGGTACATGATTTTCTACGTTTTACAAAATATGATCCAATTTTCGCCAATATTAAAAGGGGGTTTTTGCTGATGTTGGTAGTATAGTACCCTTCGACCGAGAGGCACACTCCAAAAACTATGATTCGTACAGCGAGATATGTACTAGAGGTGACCCTAGATATTGCACCTGTGACATCGGAATTGTTGCTACTATTAGGATATATGTACAATGATACTATGGGTTACGGTTTATTCGTTACAGTTCACTATTTCGTGATTTTCATCTATAGCACTCAATTGTGAAGTAATTGCTTAGCTACTTCACTGGGTATGTTCTATATACTATACTATCATATCCCAAGTAAAATGAAACAAATATGTTGAGAAATGGTAGAGATCGTGTTTTCAGCGTGACGGCAGCAAAAATCACGATTCAGTGTCACCTGCCGTGCACTGGCTGCCGATGTCGGACATTAAATTTAATAGTGCGTTTCATGTGCGCTCAACCTCCACATCTGGCGCCAAGTCGCGAACTTCAAGTTCACAATCCATTCATATATCAATATCCACTGGCACATCTTCATACATTCCCCCAGAAAAATCTTACACATCGTTAATAACTTGCATTTAGCTCTCCATACATACTGTAGCTCACATATTTACTACTAAGTAGCCTCCGAGTCCTAATCAATTATCATTGACATTCACGAATCACATGTGCCGAGTGGACTTTAAATTCGGCCAGTGTGATTGTCTGTTACCATTCGTGACATGAGGGTGACTCATGAAATAGTGGATCGTAATGAATAAACCGTAACCCATAGTAAATATAAGATACAAGCGATGACCTTCGGTCGTTGTGTTCTATTTTGTATTTGCCATATCTATCTCTGTCCTCATTCACTCCTGAACATAAGCACACATATTCTGACAGTTTTTAATGCGGGACAGTGCGGTATATAGGATAGTTCTCGAGGTTGTGGAGCAGTTGGACTTCAATGAATTGACAATGTAGGGCAGTTATTCATACACGTGCAATCCTCACCAATCCTTTTTTCCACTGAGAGGTTGTGTTGTATGGCGCATATACAGTTTACTTTGTGATCCAGTCGATAGGAAGGCATTCTGGGTGCAGTAAGCGTGGCTAAGTAGTTTGATGTTTGTTTAGGAGCGTCAAAAGGTGCGTGGTCCGCTTCTTTTGAAATGTCTGAACTTAGATAGCAATCTTGGCATTTTTCAGTTCTCATTCAATGCATTATCATTCATTACTCACAGTAATCACCAGGTAGAGATTCCAAAATTTTCTCATTGAATTGGCGAGAGAAAGGTGCAGTCGAGGCACGCGCGAGCATCCGCCAGGCCAGAAAAAAGCACACACTTCATTGATGCTGGAAGAAAACAATGAAAAGCAAACCTGAGACAGATGAGAGTGTGTGTCAGAGCTGGACGATCAATGTGTATACGAGCCCGCGAGGACACCACATTGATCTAGGGCTTTGTAAGCTGCACATGAAAATCCTTTGACACCGCACTCTCATAGCAGCAGGCCCGTGTGCTAAGACATAGATAAGTACACGCTTCTGTCCAAACATCCCTTGAATCTTTTCGCCTCGTACAACCATCTTCTGGCACTCAGCTCTGATTTTAGTCACCCACTCACCTCCCTTTCTCTCTTGATTCACCAACGTGTTTTGGTTTGGTCTCGTTTTCTCTTCTTCTTCTCTGCGGTCCCCTCCATCCCGCACCTTGAGACTCGATCACAACACGCTCTGAGGGGTCTGTCCCATCAGGAAATCTCGGGTTTAACTTTTAATCACTTATATCCAACTTTTTGCATCAAATAGTAGGGAAGCGGAAAAAAGTAAAAGTCACTTTTTTAAGTAGATCCCTCTACTTAAACATCACTTATTCTCCACTTATTTCTGAGAGCTGCTTAAAAAAGCACCGATAGCATTAAAAAAGTAGACTAAAAGTTGTATCACTGCGCTTGTAAAAAAGTACGAAAAAGATGAAAAAGGAAGCAAGTCGAGTTAGTAGCTTGTGACGGAGAGGATTTACTAGTACGCGGATGGTGCATTGGTATGATATATACCGTAGATGTGGTGTAGATGAGGAATCTTGACTATAGGTGAAAACACTTAAAACAAATGGGTGCTCTACAGCAAGACCAGGATACGAGACAACGACTCGACCCAAAGGACAACCACTGAGAGAAGTTCCTCGAAATAAAAATGGAGGGAAACTGTATGAGCTAGGCGGGTGCTAACAGGTGCGAGAAGGTAACACACGTGAAGGCGTGCGAGATGCGCGCATGAGTGGGAGGTTCGAGAATGCGCGCGCATGAAGCGAAGGCGCGCCTTGAACGTTAAGGGAAAGGTCCTATTTGAAGAGTGGATGCACAGATGGATGGTTGACAACAGAATCAGATCAGATATCAAGTGAGGAGGTGATCTATACACCTTCCAGTACACAAAGATAAGGGGAAAGTAAGTACCAGAACCCAAAGATTCCCTTCTGTATTTAAGAATGGAGATTACACTATGCGGCGCGCTTCTGAGCACACTCCCGAACCGAGTAACCATATCAACTCTAATTATAACTAAGTTTAAATAGACTTTCTATATGTAGCATGGATTTCGGACCGAAGATTTGTTAGTTCAATGAAGGAGATAGGAGTAATGCACCAGCAAATCAGTAAGGACATGGGACGAATGGATGGACAATAGCACGAAGACCTAGGAGGAGGCGCACCAACGCGCGCACGAGCGCAGGTAAGGCATGCTCAAGTGCGCGTGAGTGCACACAAGACTGGTCCTTTGGATTAGAGCTGGATCATATAGGAATGTATGGATAAAGGCTGGATACTCGGCATTGAGACACACAAGTCTCTACAGCGGCTTGGAGTGTGAAAATGTTCGAGAATATGCAAAGAAAAAACATGCTGGAGACATTCTGTCAAAGTAGTAGTACTACATCAGTCACTGGAGCACGGAACAAGAAAAAAACACTCACAGAGCATTGCCCGCTCCCCACTGGCTGCAACACCTTCCTTGACATTTGAGCCTTTAATGCTACCATCTGAGCTTGAATCTTTCATGAACGGGTGTGCCATGATAATCGTGTCCGCTGTATATTTCGGGCCACACCTCAGAAGGGACAGGTAATAGTCTCGAGTGAATGTTCCCCAGTTCGACTCAGAAAAGGCTAGCTGAACGCTGCTTTCCTTACCAGTAGCTTTGTTGAGTCTGAGGGGGGTTTTGAGAGCCGTACCCTTCTTTTCCTTATCTGCGACTAACTTAAAAGCACGCTCGAGCTGTTAAAATTAATAATTAGCCTATTTTCAAGTGAGTTTAAGGATGGGACTCAGTACAGCAACAGTGCAAGCAGCAATTACCCCCTCCATCTGCATTGAAGGCAGAGCACTTGTATTAAGTGCTGGCACGTCAACAAAGCCGATGAATGTGTTAAGATGGACTGTTGCGATCATTTGCAACATGAAGATGGAGCGGTAAATCTCGGAGGTCTGGCAGGTATCGGGGTCCGCAAACAGAAAGGCATAATCTTTGAGAAGGGAGGATGCCACATGTATCATGGCTTTCTCCTGGGCGTCCGAGTCTGCATCAACATCGATACTATCATTGTCCACTTGCTCACCATCATCATTGTTTTTGTTCACGGATGACAAAAAATTAGAAACGAGCGCGATCGCGGTGGAACCAAAGTTGTTCCGCCACATACATAGGCGCTGGGTGGCCTATTGAAGTTTAAATAATGGTCAAGGTGACAAATATATATAAGGACGACACTCACCACGCCCATGATGGGTCCCTTGAGTTGGACCTTGTGCTCTACTCCTGGGTACATTGTAGTGAATATAGCCTGCAGCACACACAGAAAATCAGGGGCCTCAATCATCCAAAAATTGGGCTGGCTACCTGCCCAAAGGAGAACAGTTGGAATGAATTGCTGGCGCCATGCACCATTCTCCAACATGATCAGTGGGAGGTCTGTGTTGCGCCACTGGTTTCCTGTTCTGGGCTTCACTGCCATGTCCGCCAGCATTGACTCTGACACGGCGGGAACAGCCTGAGTTGGCATTAGTGTGATCGAGGGTTGGGATGCTGTCTTGGTGTAGAAACAACAATACTGAGAGGAACAAATGATGCTCCTGACTGTATCTAAAAAATGTTGTAGGTCGTGCATTGCCTAGTCTGCTATGCTTGAGGTGGCAAGCACGTTCGACCCTAAAGGGGAAGTGAGTGGAGCGAAGATCTAGAGGTACGCGCTGAAGCGAAGCGCGAGAAAGCGCAGGTGCGCGCAAGGCACAGGAACACACGCACGTATTAGCGCGAAGCGCGGGAAAGCGCGCGCGCGCATGTGGAAACAATAGAGAGGTTAGACTTAAGTGATAATATGATGCAAGATAAGTGAAGAGAGGTGCAAAGTGTAGACAAATAGATTTCAACTATGTTCTTCTAGGTAGATAGTGGGTGGAAAGTAAAGTGAAAGGTAGGAAAAGTTGGAAAGTAAGTCCCTAGTACTATGTACTGCTGGCACTTATATAGCGCGCCTAAGCGCTGTAATGTGGAGCCGAAGCGCTACTGAGTAGGTATGTAAAGATATATATGAGTGAGAATCCATGATAAAAATAAAGACAGAACAATATGCAAATGAGAGAAATAGAAATATACGCACTAGAGGGCTTGGTGGACAGTGGATGGGTGCTTCTGGATGGCTGGCGCTATAGGGAGCTCAAGCACGGGAACGCGCGCGTGCATATAGATCACGAAGCACGCGAATGGTGCACGCATGGCGCGCGTTGCGTGGGATAGCTGCGCCTCATATAGGGATAGCTGCAGGTAGCGCACGGAGTGACACTACAAGTTTGTGCTATGTACTCCTTAGTGAAAACTTGTCATATCAGACCATGAGACACACGAGTCTCTACATCGGATTTGATCTTGGCTCGAGGGCCAGGCAGTACCTTCGGCTTCTCAGAAGCCATCACATTCGTCTGCATGGTTGTCAGGGTAAACATTTTGCCAAATCAAGAAGTCACTTACCGTTGTAGGGATTCATTTCTGGCTGGGCTTGTAGAGACTGTTTTTACCTTACCTTATGTTGGCACTTTTGTAGCTTACATAATCAAGCAATCTTTTCACTAGTTACCAGTATGAGTCTGAGTGCTGAGCAAGTTTTCATGATATTTCCTCTTCTCTGAGCCTTGAGCCTGGTCCAGAAACCCTTTAGGGTCGAATAGCAGCTAGGTTCTGCAAGACCCAACATTGTTCAGACTCACCATCTGAATTGTTGTACCTTCACCGTTGTTGTGGTGCGAACCAACTTGGGAGCAGCTTCGATCTCATCGAAGGCTTCCATGATGCTATCATCCCCATAAGCAAACTCAACTTCTGAGCCGTCCTCATCTCCGTCCTCGTCTGACTCTACCATGACCTCTTCAATCTTCCTCTTGCTCTTGCCGATGGTACATGGCGTAGGTTGCTGTAATGCGTAGCTGACAATTTCCAATTGTTTGCTGTAAGGCAAATCAGCAAAGGGAGTGCCAGCCAGTGGCATGTTTGAATCGTCGCTACCAGCCTGAGGCTCCTTGCCAATTCCAACTGTAAGTACAGATCTTGTCGATCATAAGTAGCTGTGACTTACCTGCACAGCAACTTTCTCACTTCCTGCGATAGCAGCTGCATGCTCTTTGGAGTCAGAGCTGCCCTCGATTTCAACAACCGTCTGAAATAAATGGTAAGCATGTGTTTTATCATCGGCTGCGACTTACCTTCATCCCAGCTTTTCCTTTTCCTTTGCTTACAATAGCAGCCGCACGCTCTTCGGAATCGCTGTCGCTCTGGTCATCATCTGAGGCATCAGCGTTGTGAGCGAAACTAGAAGTCTTTGTTGGGGTAGGTGGGGGTTCTGTTGCATTGGAAAAAGTAGTTGCTGCGGTTGCGGAGGACAGCTTGGAGGTCGTTGTTGAGCAGGGAACACTTTGAGTTGTCCCGCTCAGGACAGTAGGTGCTTGTGAGGATGTCTGCTTCGCATCTGGTTCAACGTTATGACGCCAGTTATTGACCTGCCCGGCCAGGCTGAATTTCTTGCTTCTGAATTTTGATGTTAGGTTTAGAAAGTAAAGTGTCGACTTGGTGAGTATCAGCATGATGGTGTGAGATAGAAATGTCACTGATGCTAAGTTTCCTTTCTGGTCATGTGCACAATTGTCATCGACAGATCTCGGATCCTTAATCTGCTTTTTCATCCTCGCAGCACTAACAGCCTCACGCAACAGCATATTCTTTACTTTCTTCCCCTTCCCCTTTGACTTTGGCTCAGCCTCATCCCCTGCTATGTCTGTATCGTCATTAGTGGTACCTATTGAGGTAAGTGACCTTTAGACTCACTATTGGTCTCATCTCCTGATGCCACGCAACTGTCTGAAGGGATATTGTTAGTAGCCTTCTTTTTGACTGCCTTCGCACGAGGCTTTGGCTTTACGGGCACCACGTTTGATGCTGCTGCTGCCTGCTCTATTTCCATTGAGACCTCTATCGCTCCAACACGATGTAGAGACTCATGTGTCTCATGGTCTGATATGACAAGTTTTCACTAAGGAGTACATAGCACGAACTTGTAGCGTCACTCCGTGCGCTACCCGCAGCTATCTCTATATGAGGCGCAGCTTTCCCGCGCACCATTCCCACGCTTCACAATGTATACACGCGCGCGCGTTCCCGCGCTTGAGTGCCCTATAGCGCCAGCCATCCAGATGCATCCATCCACTGTCCACCATGTTCTCTAGTGCGTATATTTCTATTTCTCTCATCTGCATATTGTTCCATCTTTATTTTTATCATGGACTCTCACCCATATATATCTTACATACCTACTCAGTAGCGCTTCGGCTCCGCATGACCGCGCTTAGGCGCGCTATATAAGCGCCAGCAGTACATAGTACTACTCACTTTACACTTTTTACCTTACTTTTCCTTCAACTGACTACTTACTACTCACTTACTACTTAGCAGAATATAGTAGAAATCTATTCCTTTACATCTTGCATTCTCACATCTCTATCTTGCATTATATCATCACTTGAGTCTAGTCTCTCTATCATTTCCGCATACGCGCGCGCGCTTTCCTGCGCTTCGCGCTAATATGCGCGTGTGTTCCCACTGTAAAAACAACAATACTGCCAGGAACAAAGATAGCTCCTAGCTGTATCTATAAATGTTTAAAGGTCGCGCATTGCCTAGTCTGCGTTACTTGAGGAGACAAGTGCGTTCGACCCTAAAGGGGAAGCGAGTACAGCAAAGTTCTAGAGGTATGCGCCTCAGTGAAGTGCGAGAAAGCGCAGGTGCGCGCAAGGCGCGGGAACGCGCGCGCGTATAAGCGCGAAGCGCGGGAAAGCACGCGCGGGTATACGGAAATTGATAAAGACTAAGCTTAAGTGATAATATGATGCAAGGTAGGAGAAGAGAGATGCAAAGTGTGGACAAATAGATTTCTACTATACTCTGATAAGTAGTAAGTGACTGGTAGGAAAAGTAAGTTAAGGTGCAAAAGTAAGTGGAAAACTTGTGTGTCGGCGCTTATATAGCGCGCCTAAGCGCGGTCATGCGGAGCCGAAGCGCTACCGAGTAGGTATGTAAAGATATATATAAGTAAGGGTCCATTATAAAAATAGAGGTGGAATGATATGCTAATAAAAGAAATGGACATATACGCACTAGAGGGTTTGGTGGACAGTGGATGGATGCTTCTGGATGGCTGGCGCCATAGGGCGCGCAAGCGCGGGAACGCGCGCGTATACATCGCGAAGCGCGGGAATGGTGCGCGCATGGCGCGGGAAAGTTGCGCCTCATATAGGGATAGCTGCGGGTAGCGCACGGAGTGACACTACAAGTTCGTGCTATGTACTCCTTGGTGGGAACTGCCATATCATGCCATGAGAGGCATGAGTCTCTACACCACGCCTTGCGCGCACCTGCGCTTTCTCGCGCTTCGCTTCAGCGCGTACCTCTAGATCTTCACTGTACTCGCTTCCCCTTTAGGGTCGAATGCACTTGTCTCCTCAGGTAACGCAGACTAGGCAACGCGCGACCTTACAACATTTTTAGATACAGTTAGGAGCTTCATTTGTTCCTCTCTGTATTGTTGTTTCTACAACGATCAATGCCGTGTTGGGTGGCTTTTTCCTGAGCTTCCTGCACTTCTTTACTCCGCTGATTGTCTTCTGCAATTTCTTTAGCAGTACATCTTTTCTTTGTAGCCGTTTTCAGAATATCGCCAGGGTGCTTTCCTTTATTCAAATCGCAAGTAGAAACCATAGCAGGCAGAATAGAAGCAGTGGCAGACGGCTCAGAGGCAGGGAAGGAAAATAGACCGAAGACGAGAGTTCAACACTTTGGTAAGTGCCCTAAACACACTTTTCTAAACTCAGACAAACAGCGCTGTAACACTTACTAGCAATACACATAATTCAGGTCGCTCTGCTGTCCATTCAAGTTCACCATGTCGCATGTCAAACCAGGGTTTCATGCCCTTTGCCTTCCTTGCACCAAACCAGGATGCAACCGCTGGTTCAAGAATAAGTCTGGTCTTACACAACATACAAACACCGTCCATTCAGTCCTTACTAGTAGCAATGCACCCTCGTGTCTGCCTCAGTCCAATCGATCCCCCTCACCTCTTTTTGATGCAAATATCAATACTGAAGAATATGATGGCACCAACTCGAATGAAGAGTATCGTGCTGCCACTCCTGGTCCTGTACAACCACCTGCAGAGTTCTTTGGTGCTGGTGACCGCTTGTATTGAAACTATCACCCTAACTTGACTGGTAATTTTCCTTTGTTTTTCGCATTTTCTCTATCTGACACACCATCAATTTCAAAAGCTCGGCCATGTGATTCAGAAGGGAACTTCCTTCCTCCTGAAACTCCACCTCCACCATTGTCGGACAAAGCACCTGATGACTGGACTCCCTACTCTGACCAGTTAGAGTTTGAGCTCGTGTTACAGTGACTACGTGAGCCCCCAGCTACACGACCTGCCCTCTGCCACCTCGCACGGCAACGATACGATACGATACCCGGGCCCTTGGGCCTTGATGATAGATAACGAACAGATGACGAAATAGAAGAGAAGTCCGGAAGATGCCGGATTAGGTAAGCGATCTGGATCGCTTACATGATATGACGACATAGGTCTAGAAGACCTATATATGTTATCAAGATAGAAGGCAAGCCTCGTGTTGCCTCATGTACTGATAGAAGGACGCCTCGCGGTCCTTATCACAGATAGAAGACCTGCCTCATGCATGGTATCTCTGACTCGATAGATAAGCACTTAGAACCCAGCTTCAGGCTGAGCTTAGATACGATAGAGTAGCCTTATATAAGGTCGACAGATTAAAGTAGATGTTCCTTACTTTAATCCTACTGGGTTTACCATCGAAACCTTTGTCTTGCTAAAGCTACCTGCTTGACATCAGATCCGCACCTTCAGAAGGACTTGAGACCCCTTCTGCCTGTAACTCGCTATCATCGTTCACCTCCGTGAACGTACGCAACTCCTGCTCTTCTGTAGGAGCCGACCTCGGACTCTCAGCACGAGATATCACTGTTGTGATCGTCGCTGTTAGATCATCCCAGTTCGCACGCGACACACGTCGTAACAGCTCGCGGACTATATCTTTACCAAGAATCAGACACCCGCGGCGCAGATCGACCACCTTCTTGATATCTGGGCAGCTTTGCTAATCCGAGGTGGTGCTAATACCAATGTGCTATTCACAGACCACTGTGATGTCTACAAGACCATCGACAGTACTCCGTTGGGTGACGTGCAATGGCAGTCGTGCTCGGTCAAATACACCAGGGAGCATGCAGTTGACGACACTGCACCCTGGATGGAGAACAGCTATGATGTTTGGTTCCGCTGTAGAAACAACAATACAATGAGGAACAAAAGAAGCTCCTGACTGTATCTGTAAAAGTTGTAAGGTCGCGCGCTGCCTAGTCTGCGTTACTTGAGAAGCAAGTGCGTTCGACCCTATAGGGGAAGTGAGTGCAGCAAGGATCTAGAAGTGTGCGCTTAAGCGAAGCGCGAGAAAGCGCAGGAGCGCGCAAGGCGCAAAGGCGCGGGAACGCGCGCGCGTATTAGCGCGAAGCGCGGGAAAGCGCGCGTGTGTAAGCGGAAATAAGAGAGACTAAACTTATGTGAAGATATAAGCAAGATAAAGGATGTGAGATGTGTTGTGCTAATGAATAGATTTCTACTGCGACTTTCTAAGTAGTAAGTACTAGGTAAAGTTGGGTGAAAAGTAAGGTAAATAATAGTATGTACTGCTGGCGCTTATATAGCGCGCCTAAGCGCGCTCATGCGGAGCCGAAGCGCTACCGAGTAGGTATGTAAAAATATATATGAGTGAGAAACTATGATAAAAATAAAGGTGGAACTATGCTAATAAAGGAAATGGAAATATACGCACTAGGGAGCTTGGTGGACAGTGGATGGATGCATCTGGATGGCTGGCGCTATAGGGCGCGCAAGCGCGGGAACGCGCGCGCGCGTATACATCGTGAAGCGTGGGAATGGTGCGCGCATGGCGCGCGTTGCGCGGGAAAGCTGCGCGTCATATAGGAATCACTGTGGATGGTACACAGAGTGATGCTGCGAGTTGGTGCTGTATACTCCCTAGTGTAAAGCGCCATATCACACTATGAGATGCACGAGTCTCTACACCGCGATCCTCGTGATGTTGTTTGGAATATGCTTGCCAACCCTGATTATGCCCTGGAGATGGATCCGCAACCTTACCGCGAGTTCGCGACTGAAACAGATGAGCACCAATGGCAAGACTTTATGTCTGGCAACTGGGCTTGGAATCAAGCAGTAAGCTGTACCCTCCCTTTTCATGCTAGTTGGTCTAATTAAGAACTAAACAGGACAAAATTTCTGATGATCCAGACACCCACAGCTCGACATTTGTACCTGTGATTCTTGGCAGCGATAAAACCACGGTATCAGTCGCAACCGGGCAGAATGACTATTACCCACTGTATGCATCAATCAGAAATGTTCGCAACAATGTGCACCGTGCTCACCGTAATGCAGTTGCTGTAATTGGATTTCTAGCCATGCCAAAGAGTGAGTTTCTCTCCATTCGCACATCTTCACTTGCCTCACAACCCATAAAGCAACTAAACAACATGCTAAGACTGCAAATTTCCACAATTTCCGTCGCCAACTATTTCATTCATCACTTTCATACATACTGAAGAACTTGAAGCCCGCGATGATGAAGCCTGAAATTGCACGCTTTGGTGATGGTCATTATCGTTGTGTTATCTATGGACTTGGTCCGTATATTGCCAACTATGAAGAACAAGTGTTGCTCGTGTGTATAGTCAAAAATTGGTGTGCTAAGTAAGTAGTATTTGTCACTTTCTTGCTGTGTTGATTCTAAATCTATGATAGATGTCTTTTGTATCGCAAGAGTCTTGATGATGACAGTCTCCAACGCTCAAGAACACATACTGAGGCACTAATAGAAGAGTGCAACCATTTGGCGCTTTGGGATGAGTTCGGAATTGCCGCCCAACTTGTGGTAAGTCTGGGAGCGTCATGTTTACTACTTGACAGTCGGAATTGATTTAGTATCTGTATAGCCATTTACCAATGACTTTCCTCGCACTGATATACATGAACTCATCGCGCCAGATCTCCTCCATCAAATAATAAAGGGGGCCTTCAAGGTGTTACGACGTATGTCGCGTGCGGACTGGGATGATCTAACAGTGACGATCACAACAGTGATATCTCGTGCTGAGAGTCCGAGGTCGGCTTCCACAGAAGAGCAGAAGTTGCGTACGTTTGCGGAGGCGAACGATGATAGCGGTTTACAGGCAGAAGGGGTCTCAAGTCCTTCTGAAGGTACGGATCTGATGTCAAGCAGGTAGCTTTAGCAAGACAAAGGTTTCGAGGTAAAACCCAGTAGGATTAAAGTAAGGAACATCTACTTTAATCTATCGACCTTATATAAGGCTACTCTATCGTATCTAAGCTCAGCTTGAAGCTGGGTTCTAAGTGCTTATCTATCGAGTCAGAGATACCATGCATGAGGCAGGCTTCTATCTAAGATAAGGACCGCGAGGCGTCCTTCTATCAGTACATGAGGCAACCATGAGGCTTGCCTTCTATCTTGATAACATATATAGGTCTTCTAGACCTATGTCGTCATATCATGTAAGCGATCCAGATCGCTTACCTAATCCGGCATCTTCCGGACTTCTCTTCTATTCATCATCTATCATCAAGGCCTAAAGGCCCGGGTATCGTGTCGTTGCCGTGCGAGGTGGCAGAGGGCTGGTCGTGTAGCTGGGGGCTCACGTAGTGACTGTAACATTACCCCATTACTACGCACAAAGTCACCGGCTTTGTTTTCTTTAGACATCTTCTTCCATCGTAGCAGCAGGTGGTGCGGGAATTGCTGACGTGGAGACGGAAGGTACTGAGGGAGATTCAGGGGCAGGGGAAAGTTCAGTGGGATGCTGAAGTTCTAGATCCGCGAGTGCCTTGTGGTTATGCTCCCAATCTAAGAGAGCTTCAAAGAACTTCTCTTCGTCACTAAACTCTTGGAGCACAATGCGTCCTTCAAGTCGTGGGCAGTGGACCGACAGATGGTCAGGTCCTAGTTCATCGCAGATGCAACAAACATAATCTGGACATCTTCTGAACTGATGTCCGTATCCTCCGCAGCGCTTGCAGAGCGTTCTACGGGTTCGTTCTATGGTAGCCGCTTTTCTTCTCAGCGGGCGTACCGGGCGGGGTTCTTCTGCAAGAGGCTTCACTTCAACTTTCTTTATCGCTAGGTCGGTGATATCGGAGAAGTCGAGGGGGAGTAAGTGAAGTGCGAAGTTTCTGATCCGCCGTTGCAGATGAAGTATAGCAAGTTTCCGAGTTGCTTCATCAAGGTCAACACGATTGGCTACATCTTCCAGCAGCTTCGTGGTTCGTATAATGCAGACGGTGAGGGAGGTGCACGCTGCAGTTCTGGCATCTTGTTCACCAAGGATTTCATCGATCGCTCGGGAGTACGCGGGGGTCAGGATAGCGGCTTCATTGAACGCGCTATTTTCCGTCATTCTGAGGACTACTCCATAGTCTGAGTCCTTCAGTGCCATCTTGATAGAGTCGTCGTCGATGGAGTTCGTCATGATGATGATGGAGGTTCGTTGGGAGAGATGTTCGAGGATCGAGAGGGTTTATAACCTTCTTCCAGATCAATCCAAGCTCTGTTTCATTCTAAACTTATCTTTATCGTTATCTCTTATCGTCTTTATCTAGCCATGAGGCTAACTCGTGTTCGAGATTCTTCTTCGCTATCAGAGGGAAAGTGCCGTGATAGGTACTATCATCCTTTATCTTTGTTTGAAAGATCAGGTCGTCATCAGAGGGTGGTCGTCATTGCCATGATGGGTTCTAGAGGGTTCCAAGGGCTTGCAGGAGTTTTCGTGGAGTTCGTCTCGTGATAGTTTAGCCTCGTTCCGGAGGTCTAATCTTCTTATCTTTTATAGATCCATTTCTGGGTTCTTTATTAGATGTCGAAGGTAGGGATCTGAGCGTGGGTGCCAAGGCTTTGTAGGAGTTTCTTGGGGTCGTCCAGCGGGGAGATCGTCTTCTATTACCCTTTGTTTATATATGGTCTACTCAGGTGGTCGAAGTGCAGTGATGTGAGGGGTCCCGAAGCTTGCAGGAGTTTTCCGGGGTTCGTCCTTGTTCATCGTCTAGTTTTATGTCATTACGGACAATCGTAGTTTAGAGTCTTTCCGGACTATATCTAGTTTAGGGTCATTACGGACCTTTCTAGTTTTAGGTCATTCCGGACCTATAGAAGTTGGTCGAGTTCAGGATTCGGTGATCAGTGTTCGGGGTGGAATAGGCGTGGAAAAACAAGTAAAATGGAGGATTTCACCCCCTTACTAAGCCATTAGTCACCGACTAATCATATCCAATCAGAAGTCTAGGCCAGGGAGCGGGCCGTCGTCTTCGAAGTCGTTTCCTTCTGAATCTACCATTCGCAGATCATGCGAAGAGGGTGCGTTCGTGTCTTCATCCTCGTCATCCTCGGAGTTGTTCATGTCAATAAATCTGACAAAACTCGGCCCGTCGTCTAGTGCTTCCTGTTTTATTTCATTTTGACGGTATGCTTCATGGATCGAAGCGATTCGGTCAATAAAAATATCCTGGGCTTCTTGTAACACAGGAGGGAGTTCGGTACCAGAAGATAGCGTCATTGCTTCTTCGGAATGATGTACGGGTGTCATAGAGAGTTTGAGGGAATTCGGCGGTTCATCGGCGGTTAAATACGCCGGTTCGGGGTCTTCCTCCATTGCGGACTCAGGACTTTCATAGAATCTGAGTTTCTTGGCGGTAGGAGGGTCTTCGATTCGGACTGCTCGTCCTTTTCCGAGAACGGATATCGGTTCTCCAGAAAATTCGAATCTCTGAGTTATTTCTGGTTCAGGGGCCAGTCTGGGCGCCTTGGATACAGGCGGTTCTTCGTTCATCATTGCACGTCCCTTTCCAAGGACTTGTGCAGGCTCTGCCGAGAATTCATATCGGGCAGGTGCGGGATCTTCTTCAGTCTTCATCGGCTGAACAGCCGGTACAATCTTCTTCGTTCATGGCGGTTCGGGATAAATGTGGTCAGATATCAGCGTCGGTCTGGAAGTCTTCTTCTGAGTTGTCTCCAGATCAGTGGCCGGTTTCTTCTGTTCATATCTTTTCGCTGCTAGGTCGATTCTAGGCAGCGAGTCTTTCTTCGTCACAGTTTTCGTGGGCTGTGGTGCGGTTTCTGAAGGTTCAACGGGGATTCCGTTCTGCGGCTCTTCGTGGGCCGGTGCAATTCGTGTCGTTCGGGCTAGTGGTACTGTGCCCGAAGAGAAGGTGCGGGGAGTTGTCGGGGATACCGATCGTTTTCTCTTCTTTGCCACCTTCTTTTCTTCTTTCAGGAAGAGGGGCGTCTTGCCGTTCTTCTTCCGATCAGAATCTATTTCTTTTTCCTTCTTTCGGGAATCTGCGGTGCTTTTGAGGGTCACCGTGCCGGTTTTCCAATTAATTGCGGGGTTCTGGCTGATAAGCCAAGGTCGTCCAAGCAGGAACTTGTCTTTTGGACCAAGCTCGGCTAGGTAAAACCTTTCGGAGATTACCCGTTCATCGATCTGGAAAGTAAGGTTGCAAAACCTTTCTATCGGCTTCTTTCCGAAGCAGGATCCATCAGCGTTCGAGAGTGTCAGGGGGTTCTCTAGCTGGTGCGTCAAGATGCGGTGCTGTGTGATCACGTCCTGGTTGACAAAGGACTGACACGCCCCAGAATCTACGATCATAGATGTCGCGATGGTGGTACTTCTTGTTCTGGAAATCAGGGTGGCGTTCACCCGTAAATCATCCTTAGCCCCGGCCACCTTGATAGTGCGCAGGCGGGGTTCTTCTTCGATCATCTTTCTCCGTGAGGTTCGGGTCCATTGAGGACAGCTCGCGGCTTTGTGTCCGATGTCGTGGCACACAAAACATTTCTTCTCTCGCAAACAAAGGCGAGTCTCCTTCCCGGTGAGGTGTGCAGCGGCGAAGGTGTTTCTGGTAGTTGCCATATTGGAGATGGTTTCTACGGTCTTCGTGGTATCCTTTTCTTGGAGCTTTCCACAGTGACGGCGGTTCTTATATTCTTGCAACTGGTCAGGCCGGTATGATCAGGGTTCTAAATCAGGGATATGAAAATCCTTTCGGGATCTAGGTTCGGGTTTCTACGAGTGTCGGTAACGTTGACAGCAAGTGCGATCAGTTATCTTTGTAGCCTGTGATGGAGGCGTACAATAAGGGGACTTTAATCCTTTGTTACGACGTATGTCGCGTGCGGACTGGGATGATCTAACAGTGACGATCACAACAGTGATATCTCGTGCTGAGAGTCCGAGGTCGGCTTCCACAGAAGAGCAGAAGTTGCGTACGTTTGCGGAGGCGAACGATGATAGCGGTTTACAGGCAGAAGGGGTCTCAAGTCCTTCTGAAGGTACGGATCTGATGTCAAGCAGGTAGCTTTAGCAAGACAAAGGTTTCGAGGTAAAACCCAGTAGGATTAAAGTAAGGAACATCTACTTTAATCTATCGACCTTATATAAGGCTACTCTATCGTATCTAAGCTCAGCTTGAAGCTGGGTTCTAAGTGCTTATCTATCGAGTCAGAGATACCATGCATGAGGCAGGCTTCTATCTAAGATAAGGACCGCGAGGCGTCCTTCTATCAGTACATGAGGCAACCATGAGGCTTGCCTTCTATCTTGATAACATATATAGGTCTTCTAGACCTATGTCGTCATATCATGTAAGCGATCCAGATCGCTTACCTAATCCGGCATCTTCCGGACTTCTCTTCTATTCATCATCTATCATCAAGGCCTAAAGGCCCAGGTATCGTGTCGTTGCCGTGCGAGGTGGCAGAGGGCTGGTCGTGTAGCTGGGGGCTCACGTAGTGACTGTAACACAAGGATCACTTGGTGGTCTGGGTCGAAAAATATCTCGTGCAGACGCATGGACAAACACAGGCCAATGTTATCCTGGATGACATTGATAGAAGGTGCGTCACATATCCTATTAGCCGTGAATTTGAGATTTAGTAGTACCCCAAATAGGATTGCGGCAGTTCCTGCATTTTCGGGACTACGCAGATTTCCTCAAGGACGCAACTTTCAACAGTGGACCGGAGACGATTCAAAAGCACTTATGAAGGTATTTTAACTTTTATCTAGTTTTATTTGAGACTTTTGACTAACAGCATTTAGGTGTATTTACCAGTGATTGAAGGCTACGTCCCAGTCGAAATTGTCCGCACATTTCGTGCTTTCCTCGAATTTTGTTATCTTGTCCGTCATAATATCATCACAGAGAAGACGCTTGCAGAAATTGATGACGCACTTGCTCGATTCCATCAGTATCGCGAAATCTTCAAGTCCTCTGGGATGATTCTGACATTCTCACTCCCCCGACAACATTCAATGAAACATTACCATGCTCTCATTCGACTTTTTGGTGCGCCGAACGGACTTTGTTCCTCTATCACAGAATCCAAGCACATCAAGGCCGTGAAGGAACCGTGGAGACGATCGAGTCGCTACAAAGCACTAGGCCAGATGCTCGTGACCAACCAATGCCTGGACAAGTTGACTGCATCACGTCAAGATTTTCGGGCTCGCAGGATGCTTAACGGCACCTGTCTATCTTCTGTCATCGCGGCGTTGAATGCACAAACCCCCACTGAGGAGCATCGCAATATGGACCAACAAGAGCCACCTGCCATCTTGCCTGCTAGACTGGGAGAAGATGATGGGGGCGCAGACTTTGAGGTTGTCGATGACCCCATGTCAGTCCTCGCGCTGTAGAAACAACAATACTGAGTGGAACAAATGATGCTCCTGACAGTATCCATAAAAAGTTGTGAGGTCGCGCGTTGCCTAGTCTGCGTTACTTGAGGAGACAAGTGCGTTCGACCCTAGGGGAAGCGAGCACTGCGAAGATCTAGAGGTACGCGCTTCAGCGAAGCGCGAGAAAGCGCAGGTGCGCGCAAGGCACGGGAACACGCGCGCATATTAGCGCGAAACGTGGGAAAGCGTGCACGCGTATGCGGTAATGATAGATAGACTAGACTTAAGTGATAATATGATGCAAGAGATGTGAGAGCGCGAGATCTAAAGGAATAGGTTTCTACTATGTTCTCCTAAGTAGTAAGTAAGTAGTAATTGGTAAATGGGAGGTAAAGTAAGGTTAAAGTGTAGTATGTACTGCTGGCGCTTATATAGCGCGCCTAAGCGCGGTCATGCGGAGCCGAAGCGCTACCGAGTAGGTATGTAAAAATATATATGAGTGAGAAACTATGATAAAAATAAAGGTGGAACTATGCTAATAAAGGAAATGGAAATATACGTACTAGGGAGCTTGGTGGACAGTGGATGGATGCATCTGAATGGCTGGTGCTATAGGGTGCGCAAGCGCAGGAACGCGCACGCGCGCATAGATCGTGAAGCGCGGGAATGGTGCGCGCATGGCGCGCGTTGCGCGGGAAAGCTGCGCCTCATATAGAGATAGCTGCGGGTAGCGCACAGAGTGACACTACAAGTTCATGCTATGTACTTCCTAGTGTAAAGCTGTCATATCAGACCATGAGACACACGAGTCTCTACAGCACATGTAGAACTCGCCAAGACACCACATAAGTACAGCTGCATTCATCAGTTTTCATTTCACATACTGAGAATGAGTATTAGAAGGGACGAAGTGTGCACAACATATTCCAGAGCTTAGCACCGAGCTTAACATTCCCAACCTGGCCAAGCTTGTTCGACGGTTCCTTTTCGAGCAGTCCAATCCCAATGATGCTCACGACCATACCGAAGTCACTCTCTTAGAGTCCCCATACTATCAGGGTCGAATTTCAGTATTTAACTCTGTGTCATCGACATTTCACGCACCCAGTGACCTTAGTGGTATTGGGGGCATGAAGCACAAATATATCCGCGCATGTCCCTTATGGAGAAACAAATGTGCGCGCAATGATTGTGTTTTTGTGATTACCGACTCAGACACTCCTGGGATGGGAGGCATAAATGTAGCCCGTTGTAGATGAGGAATCTTGACTATACGTGAAAACACTTAAAACAAAAGGGGTGCTCAACAGCAAGACCGGGATACAAGACAACGACTCGACCCAAAGGACAACCACTGAGAGAAGTTCCTCGAAATAAAGTGGAGGGAAACTCTGTGAGCTAGGCGGGCGCTAATAGGCGCGAGAAGATAACGCGCGCGAAGGCGCGCGAGATGCGCGCGTGAGCGGGAGGTCCGAGAATGCGCGCGCGCGAAGCGAAGGCGCGCCTAAAGCGTTAGAGGCAAGATCTTACTGAGGAGTGAGTGCAAAGGTGGAGGATTGACAGGAGGATATGATCAGATAACAAGTGGGGAGGTGATCTATTCACTTTCCAGTACACAAAGATAAGGGAAAAGTAAGTACCAGAACTAAAGGAAACCCTTCTGTATTTAAGAATGGAGAAGGCGCGCTTCCGAGCGCGCTCCCGAACCGAGTAACCATATCAACTCTAATTATAACTAAGTTTAAATAAACTTTCCATAAGTAGCGCGGATGTCGGACCGAAGATTTTATTAGTTCAATGGATAAGATAGAAATAACGCACCAGCGAATCAGTAAGGACATGGGACGGATGGACGGACGATAGCGCGAAGACCTATGAGGAGGCGCGCGAACGCGCGCGTGCGTAGGTAAGGCGCGCGTAAGTGCGCGCGAGTTCGGATAAGGCGCGCGCGAGTGCGCGCGAGACTGGTCCTTAGGAGTAGAGCTGTAATGTATAGGAATGTATGGTTAAAGGCCGGATATTCGTCATTGAGACGCGCGAGTCTCTACACCGTGTTATGGCATTCTTCTCCCTTCGACAACACAGCAAATGGATTCCATGTGCAGAGGTCCACTGGTTCGATCGACTTGGTGATGCACCTGATCCTGACACTGGCATGTGGATGGTTAAGCTAGCTTTTTCTGCAAATTGCACCCCACACTTCGCAGTGATACATATTGACACTATTTTTCGTGCAGCTCATTTAATTCCAGTCTATGGTACAGCACCACTCTCACCATTGATCAAATTCCATCATGTCCTTGACATCTTCAAACTGTTCTATGTGAACAAATTTGCTGATCATCACGCGTTCAAAATAGCTTATTAGTGACGCCAGTCACTGGTACATACCCATAATCATGAACGGAGCACGACACCTTGAAGTTTGGCGTTGATCTTCATGCCAGATGCCCCCACATACCCATAATCATGAATGGAGCGCTGACGAGTGCGACACCTCGAAGTTTGGCATTGATCTTCATGCCAGACGCCCCCACATACCCATAATCCTGAATGGAGTGCTAACAAGCACGACACCTCGAAGTTTGGCATTGATCTTCACGCCAGACGCCCCTACATACCCATAATCATGAATGGAGCGCTGACGAGCACAACACCTCGAAGTTTGGCGTTGATCTTCACGCCAGACGCCCCTACACCCCTACATACCCATAATCCTGAACTTCATGCCAGACACCCCCACATACCCATAATCATGAACGGAGCGCTGACGAGCGTGACACCTCGAAGTTTGGCGTTGATCTTCACGCCAGACGCCCCCACATACCCATAATCCTGAACGGAGCGCTAACAAGCACGACACCTCGAAGTTTGGCGTTGATCTTCACGCCAGACGCCCCTACATACTAGTACCCATAATCATGAACGGAGCGCTGACGAGCGCAACACCTCGAAGTTTGGCGTCATAACTTGTATTTTTGTGTACTACTACTTACTACTAGTATACTACTAGTAGCTGGGGCGCCCTAATTTGCACTTTTTCTCTTATTATACTTTTTTCAGTCTTCCAACTTAATTTCATGTTGGCCACTTTCCGTGTGCAGAAAATAAGTGAAAAAAGTGAATTTTAAGTACTAAAAGGTTGAAAAGGTAAACTCGAGATTTCCTGATGCCCCTCTGTGTCCGGTTCTCTCAAAAACCTTCTCTCAACCCCCAATAAACCCGGACTCAGACTGCTCCTCCCAGACCACGCACACAAGTGCAGTCCGGCAGAGCCAGACCCTCCCCACCACCACGAAAGCTTCGCTTTCGTGGTAAATCACTAATTTGCCATTTCACTCATCATACTGATCTCATCTTGCATTCCCAAAAACGCACAACATCATACGTACGAAATACATTCATTCTTTCTCACTAGAAACAAACACTTAATGATATTTCGTCTTCATCCTCCTCCTTCTTCCTCACTCTCCCGAACGCACGCGGCTCTGACTACAAAGCTGCACAACATGACGGGGTGGACACAATTGACACCGAGCCAGCGGCTATTCGTGCTTATATATGTTAGATACCAGGATACCCGAACACATGTAGTTCAGAAAAGTTTGCAGTCTTGTAAAGTGCGCTGTCAAATACATAGATACCATTACAGTCAGTTTGCCATCGGTGGTGCATCTTGAAATATGCTACTATCGTTCACATCAGGCTGCAAACCCACTAGGCCATCGTCCAGTACCTCCCTCCACGCTTCCCGTTCACGAAACTCAAGCTCCAGATCATGCATCTCATCCAAGAGGGCGTCAACCGCTTGCTTGATCGACCACTTCCTTTCTCCTCCCTCTTCTAAATGTCCTCCAAGTCCGATCGTATCATCCATCGTGCCAGCACTCTCAAGTGCAGCTGACATGTGCCTTTCGAACGCTGCAGGCAGTGGTAACAGCAAACTATACCCCATGCATGCCTGCACAAGCCTTATTCGGCGGTATGTGGCACGCACGAGAGATGAAGATTTCACCATCGTTGACATCGTCAACGTACGCACATCCTGGCTGGACGATGCCGAGAGACACAAGTCTGGTGCTATAGGACCGAGGTGAATGATGCGCGGCTGTGCACCGACTGGTGATGCACTTGGACTGCGCTCAAACCCTGCCTTGCGTGGTGTGGATTCTAGTATAGGGGGATGTAGCGACATATGGCCTGTATTAAAAGAAGCTGATGGAGAGCTGATGATGAAGGGTGATAAAGCGGAATGCATGCTTGATGATCTCTTCCTCGGCTTAGAGAAGACAGACGGAGACCTATTTCCAGAAGAGTGATGCAAACTGTTTTGAGAGCAGCGGAGCTGCTCGTGAAGAATAGCGACTTTTGCTTGTGCGAGCAACTTCAATTGGAGTATGAGAGGTGTGCGGTAGCGAGAAAGGAGCTCCAGGAGAGACCAAAGTACGTAGTCGATGACTCGTGGTTTACCTGGAGGAGACGGGCGGCGGGCGTCAAAGGATGCTGATGGTATGAGGAAAGACTCCTGAGCATTGAAAGGATCAACTGAAGTCATACTCGAACGAGGTGAATGTATGGGGGAAGATGGCGCAGATTGCTCAGAGGATTCGAAGGCAAACCGCGCATCTCCATCAGAAACCAGAGATCTAAAGACAGCAGCAAGACGAATCCATATTGAGGGCAACGACACAGAAAGGTCATCTCCAGCTCTCACGATAATCATTTTGATGATTTGAATTGCAGCCACTAGCGTCAAGACCTGTTCTTTATTTGATGATCCAGAACGATGCCTATCGTCAGATTTCCTTCGCTCTAGCGAGGTCGATTGTTGGGATCGGCCTGGTTTTTCACAAGCCGCCATCGCGTAGGAAAGAAGCCGCAACCATGCACTAGTGCGAGTAGCACGCAGCCATGCGTCATGGTCTCCCACCGGTGACGCTGAAGCAGACGTTTCAAGCGAAAGAACGAGCTTGAAAACGACGCCAGATAAGAATTTATGTGATGGGAGCTGTTTCTCGATCTCAGCAATCACGTCGGCCTTCCGAAAGGAGATGGCTGTGGCAAGGAGCGAAATCATAGAACGCTCAGAGCTCCAAGCCGCTTGAGACTCTAACCCGCACCTGCAGATCTGCGTCACCACCAAATTGGAGAACATGATGTCGTTGGTGAATTGGTTGTTGGAAGTCAAATGAGATATGGCTTCGTAGATACCAGCAAAATTAATAGCCGACGCATAGGTGTTCATGATAGGAGCGAGGTTCTCGAGCAGTGCAATTGCTTCCTTGGAACTAGGTGTACGTTCGACGAGACTGGCCTTGGAATACTGGCATAGGAAATCAACGACCTCATCTTCTGTGTGCGATGATTCTCGCAGGAGAATTCTCGCGATATCGAAAATTTTCTCCGTGGCAGTGTTGGGCAGCTGGCCTCCAGCTTTGATGAAAGCGAGCGCCAATCCGAGATATTCTATCCGCATATTGGTGAGATCACTTGAGGCCTTTGCTTTCTCGTGGAGCTTGTCCGCTAGAATGCCTTCCTCCTGCGATATCTCCGTATTCAAACCGCCCACCGAGTGCATCGTCAATGGTTCAGGAAGCTTAGCCTTCGCGACTGTGCGTAGGATGATCGTCCCAACTGCATCAATACCATCGCAAAGCACGCTCCTAGCCGATCTGGAAGCATTGTACAGTGCGGGTGTTAACAATTTCAGGAGCGAAAGGAAATTCTGGGCTCTGGCGATGGAAGGATCATGACCAATAACAGTCAACAACAACCGTACGAGATCGTCCATATCAAGTGATCTCGTCTCGTACTCCTCGGGAAGACTGATGATCAGCTGTTGCGATTCCTGGCTACCAACCCTTCGGATAGCAGCCATGAATGCTTGAGGTTTCTCATCGGCAGTGGTGACCATCAATGCTTCCTTCTCCTGCAATCTATTCATGTTCCGAATGCCAGAAGCATCTGGACTTGCCGTTGGATTGTTACGATTCAGTGAAGAAAGCATCCGAAAGACACTCTTCGCCAGCCAGGAGCTATTGCAGGTTGGTTCCAAGAGGGTGTGTACCACTATGTCTAGTGTTTGGAAGACGAATGCCTGCGGGTGAATGGCGTGGAAGCGATTGATGGCATACTCGATGGCCTGCTGGATTCCCTGATGGTGCTCTTGCTCCGTATACACTTTTATGACAGATAACATAAAGAGGGAATAGCCTCCACCAGATGTAAAGAGACGATTGAAGCGGGCACTTGCCACCATTAACGCTGCGGATCTATGGTCAGATATGACCTTAAAAAAGAGTCTTGGCATACCGATCAGGGACTGGCTTACAATCCCAATGTCATCTCCATGTCTGAGCAAAATTCGATTCAGACCGTCCATGAACACAGTCAGCTCGCTGGGATCGCTAAGATGTCTTGACATGGATCTGAAAATCTGGGCTATGAGCAGAAGATGACTCCGCGAAAGCATCAAGGAAAGTGTGGTCAAAATCGACTCTGGTCCATCCCGTTGTGCAAACTGCTGCGGTACAAAATCTGGCAACTCCAGAGAGCGTGCTGCTGAGAAGGCGTCTGTCGAAGGTAGAACAATGTGCTCCATAGTCTTCCGAATAACTCGGACATCTTGAGGGTTTCGCTTTAACATGGATAGAAACAGCTGATTCTGAGCCACGCGGATCATTGTGATTGATATCAAGGATGGCGGAATCTCGGATGGACTCTCACTTAGAGACAGAGCTTTCGGAAACATGGGGCCGGATGGAGACGACGCAGTGAACCACAACGACCCGGATGGAATGAGGAACAAATCCATCTTCGCTCGCCGAATCTCCCTTATGGACATCTCGCTGACTTGCGTAACTAGATTCGACAACAAAGCAGCCGTAAGAGCGAAGTGGCGAAGTGCATCGGGTGAAGTGACTTCTCGAGCAAGGAATTTAAGGTATCCAGCAAGATGGTTGAATGTATAATGAGCCATGGCGGGAGGGAGGTGCTGATTTAGATGCAATAACCCTCGGACGGCTGTCGTGGCAGCTTCTTCATTATTGCTGGCAAGCAAATCGAGGAGGGGTCGAATAAGAAGAGCAGGCTCATGGCGTAGTAAATCCATGACACTGGCACGAGCCGCGCATGAGACGTCAATACAAGAATCGAGAGTCATAGAGACCAGCTGGGGGAGAAGAGTCCCGAGTACAGGAACAAAGACCGCGCGGCGTTTGACGCTACGGCTTGTAGGATTTGACGATCGTCCACTGAGCTGGCCATCAGAAACATCACTGTTGGAACGAGGTTTGGTTGGCGTGGATGCCGGGGACGGCAGGGGTGAAGATTGAAGGCGCTCCGTGGCGCCAGCGTTTTGATCCTGAAGAGTACAAGGCAATAGTGACAATGGTGTCCTCACCCATTCGCGTTTCTGGTCCGTTGGTCGTTTTTCATCCAACCATCCCACTTCAGCTAAGTGTTTACGCAGTTCTTTTGGCATCTCTTCGTTACCATCATCCTCTTGCTCTGGGACGAATAGACTTGAACCGATGTCGGTTGGAACAAATGGCAATGGGTCACGAGCTAACTTAAATGGTCTCCGATGGTCCTTGTCGGATAAAAAAGGCTGAGACAGAATCTGGAAGCGCATATTCACCAGCATATCCAAGCGTTGGATTGCAGTGATCTTCACAGCACTGTCTTCACTGTGAAGTCAGTGTTAGGACCATGCGCTACCAATTGAAGTTCTAACTGACTCCTGCAAGTCGTTCCTGATGAGTTCAAGTATGCTATGCGGGGCCTTCTCTGCACACTGCATGACCAGAAAAGAAGCCTATGATACTTCTGTGAGAACCATGGCTCGCAATTCTAGGTAGGACACCCACTGAAAGCACTGCCTGCGGTTCCGCCCAATCAAAACACCGAGCCCACAAGGAAGGTCCGATGAGCAAGTAATCTTCTGATGTAAGGCAGGCAGAAATCACCACCAATAAATCGAGGGCTTGGCGGGTGAGTGATTGCGGCAGGGACGACAGAAACAGTATTCTCTCATGTAACACGTCCATGAGCATAGTCCTGTGTTCAGGACAGTCCCCAGAAACATAATTGAAGCTGGACAACAGGAGCATTGTGCTTTGGCGCTGTATTTTTCAGCATCAAGGCAAACAAAGCGAAATGATGACTCTACCTTGTGAGATGCTCGAAGGCTGTCCTGCGTTGAAGCGTAAATATCTTTGACTTTACCCAGCGCTTGCGAGACGTCACTGAAAACGTCATCATCGACAATCAAAGATTCATTTTCATCCACTACAGCTCCGATATACGACTGCAACAGCCAACCAATCGCCGATCGCAGCCAAGTTGAACTTCCTAAGTTTCAATCCTCGATTAAACTAGGGAAAAAGAGATGGCACATACCGCTTAACGGATCGTGTAAGGAGTCTGATTTCTGTAAACAAGATCAAATAGAGGAAGCGCATGGAGAGTGGTAGCAGAGCAGTTCGTTCCTGTATGATATAAATTAGACCGCGAGCATCCATCAAAACCAGAGTGTTCCTGCTTACTTTCACTTCTAATAACACACCTAAACGCGCTTCTAGCATACTGAAAAACTGGGTTGGAGTAAAGGCCGAGGCCTCAGGGTACTGTAAATTAAGTTCGACACTGTCTAAAATATGTCAGCTCAGGATCGACTCACCGAAAAGTCTTTGCTGATTCGTGGTACCGCTTTGACACGCGCAATCAACTCAACTAGTATGATCATCTGTCCGAGCCTTGCTTGTGCCCACTTCCTCTTGGACCCAGATTGTGAGATAACAGTGGGTTCGTTCATCAATGCTACCAATATCATCTCTGGATCTCTTGTCCAGAAGTCGGGAAGGAATACTGAGATAGCAGCAATAACTCCAAGTTGATGGCTGATGGTGAGCACCTTGGAAGATGCTGCACAGGTGAAAAGCGGTTTGAAGAACACTTGAGGATATGTGCGTGATGCCTTGTCTAGGACGCCCGTGAGTTCCGGATAGTGCAGAGGTGGCGGATCTGCAACTATTCTCTGATATTTTATCAAATGTACACTTTGCTATCGTCAGCGAGTCGGAACACCCACCTCTTGCAAACATGGTATGGACCACGTGGACAGCTGACCGCGAAGCTCATCTGGGAAGTGAAAGAGTGCGGTCAAAAGTCTGATTATTGTGGGCCATTCACCCTCAGCAATCTGTTTAAGGAGGAACCGTGAGCTATCTTCCATTAAAGTGGTACTAATAAGCACATACAAAATGTTGCATCATCTGTTCCAACGACGTCTTCCACTCTGACGTTTCTAGCAACTGCACGGTGAGACTGCAAATTACGCCAATCATCTCGTGAGTGACCCTCTCGAGGCAGAGCAACTCGATCAAAAGCCTAGACACGCTGGCACGGGCATCCGATGCTCGTTTCCCGGATAGACACGTCATCTCAGGAATGACACGCGATTTCAGGATATGCAAGACGCTCTGCGTGTCCAAATGCTCCGATTTTACAGACGCACAAAGGAAAGCTGCAGCATGAGCGAATGTTATGACAACTCGAGAACGGATAGCTGAAATCATAGGGGAAAATGATCCTGAAACAGATAAAGGTGTCCAAAATTCCTACGCATAATTGGTTGTTCAGCTATTCCCCAGCACGCTGAAGAGGGAAGTTATACCTGGAGAAGTTCATGCAAGACCTTCCGCTTCATGGTTAGGGGACCATGATCAAGGCAACGGACCAGGGCTTCAATGACCAAGGCTTCCCTGACTTCCGACTGGCGCACACCAACCAACATCACCGGAGAGCCATCGATCTCTGCTGCAGCAAGAAAGCCTGCCATACTCCCACACGTCCCGTCGCGAAGTTTCAAGATGATGTCCCTTAGAGTAGCCGCTTCTCGGTCTTCCTGTGTCTGGAGCAACGTTATAGCTAGCGCTTGGACTAGAGAAAGGAACGCATGGACACTCGGGAGCTCGATTGGACCAGTGCGGGGAAACAGGAGCGATGTGAGAACACTGAGAACGCGAGCCCGAAGGGAGGATGGTACGGACGCAGCGTCGCAACACCAAATGCATCTCTCGATAGTAAGCTACAAAATCGTAAGCAGCCTGAACAGACAAGACGCACAGTCGCACCACATACATCATCCGATGTCGCTTGCCAGGTCTGGACAGCAGCCTCGAAAGCCTCGATTGCAGTCCACCGCTCGTCGTCCACATTCTGATTGCTCTCGCTCGATAAAAATGGCGTCAACAGGGCGGAAAGAACAAGAGTTTCGTGAGGAAGATAATTCGAGATCTTCGACGCATAACGAAGGATGGTCTCGTGCAGTGTCATGACAAGGGAGGAATTCTGCCCTCCTGAAATTGTGGAGGAAGGTCTCTTAATATAAAGTCCTTTCTGAGCTGTCTGAGCCTGCACCATAGCACTCCCAGTCGCGAAAGAGTTCAAAGTAGTACTCGACATGAAGGGGAGGTGCAACGAAGAGCCAACTGTAGCAAATGGCCCATCTCGCTCATTTTTGCTCTGTCGTAACACATCCGGAACACGGAAGGACCAACAAATTTGAAGTAGTTCCTCTGCAAATCGACGGGACTCGCTGACTGCAGCCTCGCGTGCATGCTCCACAGCATGTCGGAAGCCAAGCCGCGGAAAACGAGATAGCTTGGGCGTCTGTGGTCGGGAAGGGCTTTGAGATATATGCGCAGACGGAGGAGGTGAAGCTGGAAGGGATGGTGCCAAAACATGTTGCCGTAGCTTCTCCCAGCGGACCTTTGAGGGTGTTCGAGTCGGTGCGTTCCCTGAGTCAGATCGCTCAGTGATAGGCGGTTGAGTATTGGAAGAGGAGCTTGATGCCTTGAAAGCATGGGAAAACGCAGGGGAGAATTTCTTTTTCAAAGGAAGGTTGGAAATGCCGCCTGCCACTGACTGTGTCGGCCTTTGCTCCTCGATTGTGTATGACCTTGGAGACTCAACTGGAGGTTCTCCCACCCAAGTTCCTGATTCTAAGCCATATTGGTCTAAAAATGGGTCACTGACGTTGCCCTTCTCGGTACTGGTGAGTTGTAAGGTCGAAGTTCCGGATGAAACACGAGCATGAACTTCCGGCAAGCTGTCAACGTCTTCTGTGACAGTGTTGGGTAATAAAACGGGCTGCTGACTCTTGCTTGATGATGATCGAGAAGTTACCAAAAACCCCTTCTGTAAATCGGAAGAACGTAGGCGTCTCTGCAAAAGTCTCGAGCTAGGACTCGGACGTGAATGCAAGCCCTGGTTTCCTGACATTGGGAAGAATGTTTTTCACCTTTGAAGTTCTATAATTATAGTGGTAAGCTGCCTGAGAACTTTTGCGGGCAGGACACTCAGCGCCCAATCTCGTAATGTGGCTGTTAGAAGTAGGCGGCATTCTAATTGAATTCGAAGATAGGCCTCCACACTGGCACTTCGTACACAAAACCCATGATTACAGCCCCTACAGGGCGAACACAGCGACTACAGGGAGACGGAAAACTACTAATTATTATCGACACAAAGATGGAATGTTCGAACGGGATTCTAAGACTAAAGAATGTTTAGCAAACATATAGCAAAAACACATGAACGACGACATACTTAAAACAAGAATCTATAGCATAAAGACTACTGCACGGATGCCATGTATTTGCCTAGAAGTCCAACGAGTCCATTTTTGGAGGTAGCGAAGCATTAGAATTACGAAGAGCACGAATAAGCGATATAGAGGCCATTCCACAGGGGAAGTGGATCGATCAAGCATAGAAGAGTGGTGTGAATTGTGCGGGTGTGTTCGCGCGTGTGAAAGAAGAGAGCGGTGCACGAGAAGGCCTGTATGGGCGAATATCGTTACTCCAGCTGCGTCGAAGGGATTAGCTTTATCTATTTGAAGACCACAATTCTACCTCGAACTCGTTGCTGAGCTGGATCTAGAAATTGCATCGGCAGCATGGGTCCTGAGATGATATGTGATAGGGTGGGGCGCAAATGAGGCAACTTGAAAGGTATCGCTGGAAAGACCAAGTGGAGAGCAGAAGTCGTTGACAAACGAATCGTGCGCAATGCAGCTAAGACCGGAGGCCAAGGGTAATGAGTGGCGAGATCCAAAGACAAAAGGAGCAGCACAGGGATTAAGTCCGGCATCAGATGTTTTCGGTAGCATGGGAGACTGGGCATACGCAGCAGAAGGAGAGTCAACCGGGTGGACATTGTCTTGGATGAATCGGACTTCCAGGCGTGAGGTCCCATAGAATTGTCGTTGAAGTGCGTCCTTGGCTTCCTGAGCATTGAAGATATTCACGTATTCGACTAGAGCGCTCGTAGTTCCATTGCCGAGCGTAGCAGAATCCATGAGCTTCACCTCTTTGATGGGACCGAAAGGATAAAACAAAGGATGCAAGTCACTGGCCTGAGCAAAGAGAAGGGTCGGCAAGTTCGATACCAGCAACTTCGAGGAAGGCGCCAATGAGATATTCCATTGTTTGCTGGCATATTGAGGCGAGCCGACGGTTGAAGGTGCGGATTGGTGATCGAATTCCATTTCCGGAAGTGACGAAGGGTTCGAGGATGCCAGCATCATCGTTCTGTCTGCGCCATCTAAGAAGCCTGTCACGAAGGATAAGTAAGACGTATTTGCGGCTGGATTGAGCCCGCACCTTGAGAACGTTGTACGACGGCCCAAGATACATCAAGGGTGTGTCCTCTGTGGTGCGTCAGTGGGTTGAGCTTTGAATCTCGAAGTAAATGCTCTAATACTTCATTTGTGTTCGTGAGAGCGCATTCATCGCACGTTTGGCTTCCTCATGGGATGACATTACCACGAACCCGCGACGGCGAGATGCATTATCGACAGTAGCAAGAATCACGGCATGCATGACAGTGCCGAAACGCGAAAACAAACCGGAAAATTCAGGCCTAGTGAATCGTGAGCATGAAAGATGTGGGAGCCAAGAATATGCACACTTGGTGAGATCAAAGGGTAGACCGAGGACGTAGAGATTTCGACGCGTATCTGAATTCTTGCCAGTGCTTGGAGACGACGTTTTGTTATCGGTGGCGGGTGTCACAATGCTTTGAATGGCGCATATATGCACTGTTCAGTTTCCTCATATTGAAAAGCACTTACATGGAGGATCCACCGATGTTGTAACCAGACAGACGCAGAGCTTTCCTGTCATGTGGTCAGTCGGTACAGTAAGGTGAGAGCGTACAAGCCTTGCTTAAAGGCATCGTATGTGAGAAAACATAGCACGCAGTACGGCGTGGTCGTTCCATCACGATGAATCTCCGCACGCTGAACAGGACCTATGTGGGATAAATAATATGATCTGGGTGCAAACAGAAAGGCGACAGAACACGAACCAACGGCGCTACTAAAAACGGATTCAACGTCCTTCAACTTGACTACGCATACAGTGAGACCAGCTTTATTCCGTGTGATTAGACCAACCATTTTCGGGAATATTCTCAACCTTGATGGCAAATGTATCGCGAGTCATGGAGGATGAAACTAAGACTGATAAAAACAAACGATTGTGCTCGACAAGAAATGAAAAGGAAGAGTGCAATGTCTAGCTGTCTTAAGCTGTCGTCGTAAGCGACCCGAAACCTGCAGCGATATGAAAAAGAACAAGAAAGAACGGCAAAGTCCGCGAGTGGTTTGGTTGTATTTATGTACGCGACCATTCACGTGAATTTGACTTTTGTAGAGCCATTGGGCCATGGCGTGTCTTTCAAGTTCCTGCAATGGTACCAACTGAGCGCTGAGGGGTCATCAATTCATCGGTCATCTGAATAACAAACGACAAGCCAAACTGTATATCTGCCGCAGACGGCCATCAAACCTTTACCATTAAGTTGAATCCAGGTTCCAAGCATGTCCAGGAATATCCTCCTCCACCCAACCCTGCCGTCCTCGACCCAACTAGCGCTAAGACGCGCAGGTTACGAAACACTCGACGATCTATCCAGCACTTCCGCGGAAGCTCTTTCTAAGGGTACGTAGCATGTTAATTTCCGCCGACCTGGTTGGAAGAAAATATGACCCCGCAGAACTGGGGATTGATATTTCCGACTCGCAATCCATAATCACCGCATCACAGCGGCCTCCAGGACCGACTTTGAGTCAATCCTTGGCTTCTTTGATATCTAGATCGCAGAGTCTTGCGTGCAGCTACGCTGCTGTAAACACGGCACTCGGTGGCGGTCTTCCGAGGGGGCACATACTAGAAATATCTGGACCCCCCGGCAGTTTCAAAGAAACCCTTGCACTAGATTATGCTCGAATTTTCGTCGAGGCAAACGAGGAAGTTATATTCATTGGTAATGTATCTTGCATCTGACGTGTCAGTCCACCTTTCTGATAAATGAGGTGTAGATACCCAGAATATGACAAGTCTTGCCACGATCAAGAAAACCTTCCACAGTACGCAACACGTCACACATTTCCGCCGAGGTGAACAGCAGGAATATTAATGAAATAGTAATAGACTCCTCTGCGGCTACCGACTACCAGAATCTCGTTCGCTATACACACCTTCATACCCTCCCGGATCTAATGCTATTCATACACAACCTACTATCAGAAATTCATGCAAAGGTGTGCAGCCAATCGATAACGTCAAAACTAGACATGAATAGTCAGATAGACGGGGCTTCTCGTTCTCAATTCAATTTCATTTCCGTTCCTATCTCATCCAGATATTCAGTCCTCTAAACGGACAGCGCTGTTGGAGAAGATCCATCAGGTATTTTTGCAAGCAAGTGCATTGAATAATCTGACAGTAAGAGCAAAAAGCACCTCCCCGCGATCCAGTCAGTCACCTTATTTCAATCAGATTATCACAACCTCCCAAATGTCAACGAAATTGCTCAATGCTGACGGCTCTCCTGGAAACTTTGAGACAGGAGCAAAAGCTGTGATGGCACCACAGCTAGGTAAGGTCGCTAAAACAACGTGTCACATATTGCTCGCTCATATGCATAGGTTCAACTTACCTACCGGCCGGCCGATCCTATCGATTGGCAATTGTGCCTGAATCTCGAACAACTGGGCAAGACAAGGTTCACTCAGATGATATCTAGTGCTAAATTTCTGTGACAGAGCAGTACAGCTTCTTTCATCTCCTACGCACCCTTCAGGACAGGCCCGGCACCAATATGATCTATGTAAGCGTAGCCCGTGCATGCCACATCGATAATTTGATGACATGTGTATCGCCAGCACATCATGGAGCATGAAGCATTTTCCACCGTTCACGGATCTTGGTATCCATCTTAAGCTGGAGGTGCAGTGATAACTTTGTCGGGTGTGATAATCATGTCCACCTTCCAATCATGGTCGAACATCGGTACTTGTCCATGTTCCAAAAGTTGCTGCTCCAAAGCTAAAGCGACTTGAGATAACCAGTTAGAATGTAGTTCCGCGTTGCCCATTATGTAGTACCAACCTAACAATGGTTTCGATCGCCCAGTAGAGGAAGAATATGACGTTATGAATCGATCGTAGTAGCCCTTTCCATGCCCAAGCCGCGAGAGTGATTGGTCGAAGGCAACACCTGTAGCAAAAGAAAATTATCTCCACGAATCGTGTTGATGCATGCATACTACCCACCAGGCACGAGGATTAGATCCAAATTGTTGCAGTCTGCGTCGAAAACTTGAGCAACAATGAGCTTGCATGACAAATTTTTCACACAAATTTGACGCACTACTTTGACGCTTTTTACTCGACCATTCAGGCGTCGGTTCCGGAATGCCCCATAAACCAGCAGGAAAGCTGCGATAGTCTTCTTCGGTATACACTCGTACAAAGTCCATGTAACCATCGCTGGATGTGATGCTAGGAACAAACAAAGTCTTCCCTGACAATGTGCATAAACACATGCAACCAGGGGTAAGGACCGTCACGCACCTAGATCTCCAAGAATGTTCAAAATCAAAGAAGTAGTCTGAACCTCGGCTGCTGGCATACTAAGATAACAGCTGACAGTCTTGCATTGCTGGAATGCGGGCAACAAAAGGACTTTTTCGGTAATGGCCTGTGCTTCGCGCAGCATGTTAGTCATATCAGTAGCCCAGCATAGTATTTGAGAATCACATTGCGACTGGATATCAGACTGAGATAATTCCCGGAGGGTCGTGGTGATCGCTTTACGGAGTGCTCTTTTATTAGTGCTTTGAAGGATCGACATGGGTTCTGCCTGCCCAAAATGTCAGCGAAGATCAATATTGTTTAGTGGAGTAGGTCCAAGGGCCAACAAGTCGGCTTGGTTAGTAAGAAGCGCAATTGCAGATCCGCGAGTAATGCTCGGTCGTCGATGATGATCGTGGACAAAGACGCAACGGGCTTAGAGCGTCTATGCTCCGACTCTAGGTTATTAATATTATTCCCAGCCTCTCTTCACTGACTTGCGTTTAGCGCCCATGGAGACCACGTATCCAGTAGCTCCATTCACTCTAGAACCACCTGATGAACGCCACAGTCGCGCACCAGAATTTTACGGTTTTGTAGCTTGGACTTCTACATCTGTCTTGTTTGTTCTGTATGTGCTGTGGGCTCTGCTCCCAGATGAACATATCGTCTGGCTCGGCGTGGAATGGTACCCGAGTAGGTGAGTCATACAACTTCTCATGAGAAAACCGCCCTTATTATGCATCATATCGAGGGAATGGACTCTGCTTCTCCCGGCATACTCCATTGTCCTCGTACTTTTGACGTACTTTGTCTATTTTGCTATCGCGATTGCACGTACACCATCCTTTTCTGACCCCAACACGTTCATTGGTGAGCAATCTCCGAAATAATACCGGCAGGAGTCTAAAACAGCAGGTAGATACCAAAGCACACCTTCCTGCGCTAGACACAAATCAGCATCTTAAACACGCGGATCCGGGTGCTATTCCTGAGCTGTACGATATTCCTATCGGAATGGTCAATCGTGTGGTGTATGGACCACACCGCTCGCGAAATGAGATCAGACCCTCAGGAGAAAGTTCGAGCAAGGCTGACAAAGTCCAAGAATCCCCTCAAACCCCATAATTTAACATTGCGGCGAATCCTAGAATACAAATGCTAGCTAATGATCGTTGGATTGTAAACTGTGCATCGAGTGTCTAATATTTGATCAAAACTAATCAATGTGTGGTCAGTCTTCACATTAGTATTAGGCAGGCATCGAGCCTCTTGTAAATAAGTACATGCCATGTGCGATTCAAAGGGAACGGCTATCTTGTGGAACGATTGGGTGGGTCGCACCGGAAATCATTCTACCCCACTAGAAATCAGCGCGATTTAATCCCCGAGCGGGGCGAAGACGGACCTGACTGGGGAGGTAGTGACGAGAACCCGCATCAGTATAATCATTGTTATTGTCGTAACGATAAGCTGATGCCTGGTTCAATGACGATGAGGGTGCCCCCGGCAACGTCATTGAGACCACAGGGCATGTGCTTTTCGAATCGTCTCCACCCGATGATTGGGAGCCGATCCACTCGGTAACGGGTTGCGTCCTCGTGACGAGGCTGTGCGGGATCCACCTGAGTCTTGTCGGTGGCCGGCCGGAATCGTGAACATGGTGATTTACGAGAGGCTCCTCAAACCCAACCATAAAGTTTGTGCCCTGAGATGGCCCCTCCATCAAAGAAGGGTTAATGCCGTGTGTCTTGAGATGGCGCTTGGCATTAGATCTCACTGCAAAGTGCCTATCGCATGATGGTACCGGACACTTGTAAGCTGTTGGACACTGCAAAGTCAAAAATAAAGGACGATTTGTTGGACTACAACGCACGCTTAGCTCCCGAGTGAGAATTCATGTGTGTGTTCAAACCGCTTGGGCGCGGGAATATTTTCGAGCAGATAGAACACTGGTGCATTTTGGACCTTTTAGATGACCCTCTCCTTCTTGGGGCTGTGTTTAGTGGAATGAAGGAGTCAATGTTTCCGTTGGAGCCCCCGAAATGAGGGATTTCATCGGGAAGGTATGACGAACACCCTTCCTTGGAAGAAGCCACCCCAATTACTGAGTTCCTCTCTATGACGTTTCCGCAGCCTCCTGCTGCTGGCCCATCATAAAAGGAACTAGGAGACAAATAGGGAGGTGAAGGCGGCGACGAAGATTCGCACGACTCTCCCGATGCGTCTTCATCAGGGTCATCAAAGCTTTCCAAGATCCTTGCGTTGTCCGGGTCTGCGACTGGTCTAAGAGACTGACGGCCCAACCGAAAGGTCATGACAGATGGTATTGAAGAATCCAGGTCGGTGACGGACATCGTCATGCCTGCATTCGGAGGAGGCGTATGAATCTGGAAATGGGCCATCATCTGGGACATGACTAGACCCGTCTCCATGTCGGAGTCGTCAGGATATGTATATTCGGCGGATGCGCTGTCTGGTGACACCTGATCCTGTCCAGTGGAACTTTGACTACCTGGGTAGTCGAGTGACTGAATGGATGTTGGGTTTATTTGCTCGTCATCCTGGTCACCGACCCATTCCCTGCAACTGGGGAGAATGTGGGAGGCACGAAGGCTAGTACGAGAGACCTGAGATGATAGAAAGGTGGAAGAGGCGAAATAATCGAAGTTTTGGAGGTCGTACTGGGCGGAGGTTTGGAATGCGGAGGTTGTCCTCTGAGAGGACTCTGGATATCCAACGGACTGTGATGATGAGGGTGATAATCGCTGTTGGTGGTCGTTCACTTCAGGCTCGTTGGTGGAACAAGAAGCCATGAAGTGCACGCTGAGGCCTTTGGGCGAAATGTCGCCGTCACCAAGATAGGAATATTGCTTGGATGTACGAGGACGGGATGATTGGATATCCGGTAACAAATGCTCTTCAATGCCATCAAAAGGCATGACTATGCCTGATATTTGACCAAGGAGCTGGGGCACATGCCCTTGGCCTCCCATAGAGCTAAGTAGTTGATGGCATGAGCGTTGTTCGAAGTGGAACAAGGATAAAAGAATGTACGAACAGTAAGGGCAGTTGACTACCTTTTTGTACCGTGGGAGGGAAGCGCGAAGGATAAATTCAGAGAAACGAGGTGTTCTAACTCGGGGCGTCCAGGGCAGTGATAGGATTCTATGTGAGGAAGAGCGCCGCCTTTTGTTTCGCCTGTAGTCAGATAAAAGCCGAGAGGCGTGTGCTCTGCGTGCGTGTCCATCAGTAAACATGAGGGCTCTCGCCTTGATCTTGCGGGGTGATATGAACGAATTGAGAGACGTGGCTTGCACCGTATGGATACTCGGAATTAGAAAAAGACCAACCCCCCCTTCGTTTGAGAACTAACCCTATTTGACGCTCCATGTCCTTTATTAGTTATGAATTGAACCTGATCCAACCCAAACAGCAAATCTCGTCAAGAATCTTGTAAAGATTTATCATATCCATCGTTCCGGAAACTGCCCTGGATACCAATTGCAAGCAGAAGTGACTTGACAATTAATGACACCGTTTGGCAATATTTTAACGAGGCAATAGCCTAACATTGCATAACATCTTCCAACGGCTGAAAAAAATATCAGAATCATATACCTCCAGAACCAGTTTCATTGGTGGGTAATTATTACTTCCATTGTTCTGGATCCGGGGAGATGGCTATGCGGGCTTTCCCCCGATGCAGCTCATTGTCGTTTGACGTAGTGCTTTTGTGACTAGGAATTTACACTCCGCGACCCCCGCGTGGCAGAGGTACGACGTTCGCTGTGGGCCTCAGCCATTGTCATTGTGAATAAAATTTCGACCTGTCAGGATGCTAATTAGCGCTCCGAGATGGAGATTGTCAAACAAAAAATCATCAAACGGTGTTCACAGACGGAATTGCGTAATACTGACTTGGTACCGGCGGACGGATTGTCGACGATTACTGGTGAAAAAAAAGTCCTTACAAATCAATCAAGCTACGCAGTCGATTAGATTCCGCTTTAATGATAATAACGGATTTAATCTGAAAGTGCTACTACTACGCAACAAAGTGCACTAGATGCCTGTATGCACAGCATGCTAAGCATGAACCGATTTCATACTACAATAAATTAAATTAGTACTTAACTGCATGTTCACCAACCTCATGTATATATTTCTACTCTGGTATCTCGGTCATTCATCATTCCACCAAATAAAATTATATACAGTGATGGACGTGAAGTAGATATCGGAAATAACGAGCTTGAATGCAGAACGCAGTGGATTCAACCTTAAAACGCTTTGCGCCTCTCGCGCGAACGACTGATTTCGTAAGTAAATTAATGAACCTTCCGATAGTAGCACCGAACAAACCTAAATCGTTCAAGGCCATTCCTACTATCGTCTCTTCTTAGCCGAGACCAGGCGACTTACCGATCACAAATTGTGGATTATTACGAATCCCCGTACCTCCCACAGCCTTCAGGGTTCTTCCATCCCTAGATGCTACTGCGCTAGACAATGGAAACCTGACCTTGGGCGGTGCAGATCCTACCCGAGTACGACAGCCAGGCTGCCGCCCATCTGGAGTGATCGTGGTCTCGCGCCTTCTTAGCACGCTAGTCTTCTATAAGCGATTAGACATGTCAGATCACGATGACAATCGTCACGGAAATGTTAATACGTACCGAAGTGCGTAAGTCCTTGTTCAGGGCCCACTTATTCCACCATCCGTTGGCGACTATCTCGGTGCGTTTTGCGCGTGCACTCGCCTCGGTCACTGTATCCTTTTCAGCCGATCCATCTGTGTCAAATTCGTCATTCGTACCGTTGTCTTCCGGAGTAATAGGACCAGTAGTGGATGATGATGATGCTGAAGTGATTATATCATCATCGATTGCATCGATATCCCAAGGCGGTTCAATGTCGAGAACATCACGCAAGTCCGGTCCTTCGATTTCATCGGCAGAACCAATGCTATTCATCGGCGGCGGCGTTTCCCGAACGAGGATACTAACCTTCTCTTTCTTAGGCGGTAAACATTGATGCAAGGCATGTCGCGTGATTGTTCTCACTGCCGTGGGGCTGGGGACGATATCAGCGCCGAAGTCGTCTCCGTCACGATGATCATGCCGTGCGGGGTTATACGGCCGTACAGGTGAAGAGAGATCAGGTGTGGCTGATCGGAAGTAGGATGGGGAAGGTGACAGGTACCCATCTTCTTGTGTAACAGGATCCCGGGGCTCTTCAAGAATTTCGTCCAATTCCTCGACTACTATAACGTTGTCGGCATGATCGGGAAGATTTTCTTTATCAGATAGGGGGTGTGGTATACGTGAACTGGGCATCAGATCGTCCTCGGGTAGTTCCACCTGCTGTTGTGACATCGATGGAAAAGGGAAGAACCTTGAATGTGTGAGGAGAGAATGGTCTGTGGAAGACGAAGCCTGATTTATTTTGATGCGTTTTGCAACGAGGTCTTCGTCAAGTATATCGACAAGTGTCCTCTTTCCGCTACCTTTACCGGGCGCTGCCGTTCTCCTTGTTGGCGCAGAATTACTACGAGTAAGGGTAGCTTTTGGCTGTGGAGCTGTAGGAATACGGTCAAATATATGGGTGTCATTGGCACTGAGGACGGAAATACCGAAGAAGGTAAGCAATCCACCACTCTCAGGCTCGGCTTTTGCTTTGCCCTTTCCTTTGACTGAACTAGGCCGATTAATATTGTTGGCCTGAAATGGGAGGGGTTTTACTGTGCGAGGTACGAAACTCGGATTGATATCAATCATCGGTAGAAGTGTCATTGGATCAACGTCCCCTTGGGCCAGTTTTCTTGCCAAAGCAGGTTCTATGTTACTTTGAGAGAAATTAATCAGTGCTCAAGTCTCCATCAAGCGATTGTTCAGAGACTGACCATCCGATATACGACTCCTCTTTATCGCCCCACTTAACTCCCGTGGGGATCTCTGTCAAGTTGACCAGTCTCTCATCCAGGGGACAATAAACACGCTGGTACAAAAACACCTTCTCCGCCAGATTATATGCTTCTAGATACCCTTTGGGCACAGACTTTCTCCCTTCAAGTCTTATAGCTTGCACAACCTGCTCTACGCTCCTATACTTCCGTAGCAAGGACCACGCAGTCTTCAGCCCGATTCCTGGAATGCTCGGCAGATAATCACATCCGCTAAGAATAGCCATAGCCCTAAACTGAGCATCCGACCATCCAAGAAGTGATATACCCCCTTCAGTAGCAGTCACTGATCCGAAGTCCTCCCTCGAGATTGAGACAATAGTGCTTGAAGTAGAATCCAGCTTGAAGAGCACCTTTCGACATCCGAAGACAAGCAAATCCGAGTCTTCGGTGATGATGCCATCCACAAGACCAACACGCTCCAAATACGCCATTTGAGCGTCGGCCTCATACGGTGCGACTACGTATGGCACATTCTCTGCGCGTAGGGCCTAAAGTGAAGAATGTATCAGGCGAATGTCTAGCCCAAGAATTGACAGCAGACTTTTATGAGTTGGTACGCCATCTGAGGAGTCACGTCGATACATTTAACAAAATATTCCCGGGCTTCTTTGTGCCTTCCCTGGGACGCCAGCGCCTTTGCCTTCGCAAGGTTTTCTTCCCTCCGCTGCTTGCGCTCAGTCTCGGTGCCCAGCTTTGCCGGGAGTGGCCCACCGTCGAACACAATATACGGACGAATTTTGTGATGGCGCAATAACCGAACACGTTGCATAGCATAATCAACATACCTAGTTGAGAAGGTGAGCATACTGGCAACCACGAACCGCCCCGGGACAAGCAGGAAAACACTGACTTCGTAGAGGGCTTTCCAGTGGCTATCTCAGTGGCACAGGCGTATACACCTCGGTGAAGCCAGACATAAGCATCCACCGCAAGTGTTTGACCAGCGAAGTCTGAGAGGTGTCGGTGAAGCTGGATTGATTTCAGCAAGGGTAAAAGCCCAGATATTCCCATGATTAAATATATGTAGTTGGGGCGCACTGAGTGGCTCAGAAAGCCCTAACAGATGTGCAGAGTATTGGGAATGGACGACTCTTTGGACTAGTAGTACTGTAACCAGTGGACCATTATGAACAAACAAGAACAAAGAGACGCGTCGCGTCAAACGAAACTTGACAACGCATTTCATGACCGCGACACTCAACATATCTGAGCTGTCCACCATGGCACAGATGGCCAAACACATGTCGTCGTCATCATCACTCATCGATCATTATCAAGTGATTCAAGTCTTCTTCAAGTGATGGTAATCAGATTGTTTGGAGTTGTATCCTTTGACCGTAATCAGGGACACAGCCTACTTCGTTCAAGTTGCAAATAGTATCAGTCGGTTCGCATCCTCTACTCGATCTGCCGCCGTTGGGCCATTTTTATGTGCGCAATAAGTACTACTCTGGGATAGTGTCGAGATCGTTGTCAGATGCTTGTGGAAAGGGAGCTTATCGGTGGCTCTATCGCAAACCCCTTCACGTTTACTGCAGGTGATGTATTACATGTAATTGTTTGCGTGCTGATCGGACCGAGCTAACGCTCATTGGACAAACCTACCACACACTCCTTCGAGGGTTGTAATACAGGCACAGGATTAGACCCGATACAAACCTAATTTGCTCCTGAACCACATGCATCCACACGAGGCACTTCAGTGACAATCATTATCCATAGACCCGGGATTGTGGCGGACCTTTCCCGGACTGCGCAGTATGCTTCTCTGAATATGAATCGAACCCGGCCTCCGTAGCAAGCGCTCGAGAAGTACTTCCTTAAGAGTAAGTGATATACCGACATGAAAGAATCCTCTAGAGAAGTTTCAGCATACCCTCGTGCAGCACGCCTAGCCCCTTAACCCCATTCCACCATTCCTTCGCAGTCAGAAGGGCACGATCTTGGGACTTTAACTTTAAAACACTCAGCCACTTCCCGTCAGCACAATTTATAAGTATCGTGCGTGTGTGCGGCGAATACACTGCCCAGCCAGGCTCGACAGGACCCAAGTCATCATGGCTCTTGGAGACACTGAGATGGTGCAGCTGAAGAGTGCGTCCATCGTGCATCGTAGTCGTAATAGGACGTTGATGTGAAATGGCGAGAGAAAGTCGGACTATGTCCAACGCAGTTTGGGACGTAAAATCAACCCGTGCATCGGAGGCGGATATTGCAGAAGCATGTGGGGTGATAGATGAGACTGGAGGTTGCGGGATGCTGCTAGCCTGATGGAAACGTAAACATTTAGAATCAGCCAAGTTTCCGTGTACTAACCTTTCCTAGTAACATATCCCGAAGTACTGTGACAAGTAAGTCTCCTCCTATTCGGGCCAGCTCTACCGACATCAAAGGAAATGTCGCGTTTTCTGGAACAACCTGCAGTAAGATGAATTATGCATGATTATTTGCTCGCCGTATTACTTGCCATGCTCTTGCAAGCCCACACGCTTCCCGCATCAATCCCTTCCTTCTTCTCCATCATATCAATAACGCACACACCTGTCACATTGTCTCCCCGCATCAAAGCTCTCTGGATGGGCGCCGGACCTCGATATGCAGGCAGTAAGCTTGGATGAACATTGAGTCGCTGACCTGGTAGAAAGATACGTAGGAGCGAAGGGCGGAGAATACGTCCGAAGGAAGCAGTGACAAGAAAACGAGTTTCATTGGCAGGGTCAGAGAAGTGAGGTTCGTTGGTATTCGTAAATGGTGGAGGAGGCTGCATAGAACATAAGACCGGTTCAGCAAGAAAAAAAGTAACACGCACCATCCAATCCCTGAAGTCAACCTTTCGTCGTGGTATAGTGTGAACTGGAACCTCAAGAGATTCCCCAAGTTGTTTAAGTGGAGCTGTTGAGGCGGCCGTAGGTATGTTACTACTATGAAAAAAGTGCATACGCACAAATTGACAAATGAGAACCCCGTCGGCCAGTTTTCACGTCTGGGTTAGTAGCGATTGAGATGGACTTCCAAACATCTATATCACCGGTCAACATAACCTTGGATTGCCCATGTCATGAGCTACACTAACCTCGGGCGTCATGCAATTGCTTGAAAACGCTACAAGAGAATTCGTCGCGACCGAAGAACAGGATGTCGAATGGCTTCTTTGCAGCCGCAGTACTACTATAGAAATGGGCGTTCAAGCAATTTATTAACAGGCGTCTCCGCGTGGAATTGACCCGCACAGAGTTATAGACCGATTGACTGTGCATATCCGATCTTCGATGGACACCTACACACCGAAGCTGATCTGCAAGGGTAAGGTATTGATTGGAGGAAAGTGGGTCATGCAACCAATGCAACAGTGGCAAGGCATCCGCCGAGCCTTCGGGTCGGCGAAACTTTCCTCGATTTGCCACTTCGCCTCCTTTCTTTGGTACAATATGTCCCGGAGGTTGGCTAAGAATTACATGCGACAGGTCACAAGTGATAGGTTTATAACTTTTTATATTTCCCTTACTGTTTGACCAGTACTTCCAGCAATTCTTCGCGTTCGTCATATGATCCCGCCTTACTTCTTGCAGCAACCTTGCTCACTTGTAGTCATGCTTGCTTCTTATGCCCGCCAGCCAGCAGATCTTTAGAACTTTGAGGTTTTGAGGACCAGGCTAGTGTCTGAAGCAAAACTCTTTCATTCTGCCACGTGGCATGGCAGAAGTCAAATCATGCTGTGCAGAATGTGGCAGGCCATCAAGGTTTTGTACAAAGACATTGGCAAATTGGCAATGGTGCCAGCAGCGCACAGAAACGAGTCCTTGGCAGGTAGTAACTACCTATGCATCATTGACAATGAACATTGCAACGCAGGGCAACGGAGAAAAACACTTTCTATCACTAAGTTTCAAGGAAGAATGGACAAATGGCAGATTGGCTCTTATATCCATCCTCGGATGCGAGCACCGGGGCCGTTCAGAGGAGAAGCATAGAGGCTCTTATTGCGGTACTCTGAGTCACCAGGTGCGTGCGCATCAGATCACTGCTCTGATAGTCAACACGATTTAGGTACGTACGCTTGAAGATTCGTGACTCAGGGACATGATCACGCTGTATTGCTGAGCGCCCTGGACGAGGTAAAACTGGTGTGGTGGAAATCACAACGTGCGCTGGTGATGACGGGGAAGGCATCGGCATCCAGTTGACATCTATGATTCATTGAAACAAGGCACCTTCTGTTGTTTAACCTGAAGGTCTAACAGGAGGGGAAACGCACCCTCTGGTTGGAAGGCAGTGATTGTGGGTCCTTTCTGTTTCCTCCTTAGGACGCCAACCTCAGCGTCAACTTGACAGAAAGTAATAGTGGTGGAGGGAGAATGGATACCATCTACATTTTCCATGATGTTGCGTCAGCTTCGTCAATGAGAAGTCGATCGACTCCTACCCTTGAAATTTATGAATTCCCCAGATGGGGGTGATAAATGCAGTACCTTGGGGTCGGAAGGAGTAGTAGTCCCAACCCATTGGACACAGGGTGTCGAAGTCTTGAACACGTCAGAGTCCTATTGGTCAAGAGACGAGCACATGTCAACAATCATGAAAGAACGGTGACGTCGAGACGTTGAATAAATCCACCTGGAAACGCCCAACCGATATTGGTGAAGAACACGGGGACGGGACTACCGCATCATTTTCGTTATTCTGCGGGATGGTGTCTTCATCAGTCAAGAACATACCGTAGGTTTCCAAATATTATAAGAGCATGTGAGCGTCAGAATGTAAAGTCATTAGTGGGACTCACATACCTTGAAGCTGCATAATACGACGGCCCACCGCCGCCATCGCTTTTACCCGACGAGCTTCTTTGGCAGCCTGGTCTGATAATCGAACGCCATGATGTACCTTCACGGCGTCTAATGTAAGAGAAGATACTCTGGACTGAAACGCCCCAAATTTCTTTGTCATCTGTTCGCGCAAGAGTGCAACTTCTTTCTCGGTGCGATTTTGGTCTTTGACCTGGTCAACGATCTGACTACGAAGCTGATCCAACGATACATTGGTCTTAGTATCATTTATCGAAGCCAAGTCCGAAAGTTTTTGAAGGTCCTGACGCAAAGCAGCGTAGTCTTTCTTGCAATCGATATGTTCCTGAATCTGAGTACTGGATTGAACACGAAGACATTCCTGGGGAGCGTCAAACTCTGTGTAACTCCGCGCGCGTTCAGCAAGTGGTTGGCGGTCTGGACTAACGTGATTTGTGCACGCCTGCAGTGTACCGACCGTGTCACGCAGCGCGCTCACTTGACCCTCCTGGACGGTCATGATGCTGGACAGGTGGTGTAACTTTCGACCCAATTCCTCACTATCAAATGATACCTCGGTATGGGTCTGCAATGCTTCGTCTCTGAACTGTGCCAAAATCGATTCATGAGCGTTGATAAGCAAAGCGATTTTATACTCAACTGCAGACAATGATGACTCGAGTGAGGCAACAGAACGACGCAGTGACAATATGTCTCGTGAGATAGAAGCCAATTGACCTGAGAAGAGGAGGAGAAACTGGTAGAGCAGAGCAGAGGATGCAGTGGAAGATGTTGTGTCCGAAAAACCCAAAAGATAGCCAGGGTCACGGGTGGAAGGATCTTCTATGAAGCCTTCACTAGTACCAGTATGATCAAAGAAGCCCATATTTGAAGCGAACGCGCGGGTGTTCGACGGTCCGCACGAAGAGCCGTTTAATAGTCTGTTGAACGGAAAAAAGATGATCGTATCGGTCAGACCAGTGGCTAGAGACACTCCGCGAGCCTCAAGGGCAGAGAGGAAGGCAACAAGGGAAAGAAACTGAAGAGGATCAACAGCCATGCTGCAGCTGATCGAATGGATAGCACTTCCTACAGAAATTTGTGAGGAAACGGACTCGCGAAATGTGGAGACTCAACAGATATATATATATTTTGAATCGAATCGAGACTGGTCTGCTTCATGATCGGTCAGTTCTAAAATCTGTGCTAGGTCTCCAGTAGAGAAATCCGCTCCCGGTGTTGAGTCCTTGAAAGGGAGAGAATGTAGGTGTAAGTTGTCAGGCAGCGATAACAACAACAAGACGAAGAGTCCAAGCCGTCCACTATCGTAAGTCGTTGTGCTGTATAGCACATCGAGTCGAGATCGAAACGTCGAGTCAAGGCATAGATCATAGTATAGTTGAGAATGGTGCATATAGGCTACGCGTAAGAAGATATTGACGGTGCCATATGCATATGACACGCATGAAATGTTCGAGCCTGCCAGGTAGCCGACATCTCCGTTCATGACCTGATTTTGAAAACGTCCATTGGTTTCTGACGCAGATTACAGAACTGCCATTCAGTACAAGTCAAAAAGCTTTCACATCACTTGTAGTATTAGGCCCGTGACGGCAACATGGACGGCGATAGGGTGCGGTGTAAAATTCAATAATTTTTAACAGCGGTTAATTAACCGAGTTATTAACCGGGTTATTAACTGTAAATAATTCAACGCTGGAGGGACACCGGTCAAGAACTGTAAATAATGTACCATGTCCTACCATGGCATCCTAGGCATGCCGTTATATCAAATTTGTCCTGATTTGCCTCGTGTTGGGTGGATAAAGGCTCGTAGAATCTCATACTGACATATTTGTGTCATTCCAGCCATTGGGTTGCACCTGAATCATACTAATATGTTTTCGGAGTGTCGGACGACGGAGTGATTGGGATAATAGATATGTCAATCAAAATTCTACTGATCTAACTTTTTGCTTGTATCGCAGACCTCCTTACAGATTTGACGGCTATGAGTGGTTCAGTGCTCGACACCTCAGTTCCATCTGAAACAGTTCATGATGGCCTTATTCCGAGTTCTGCAGCAGCCGATTTTTGCCTTTTACTGGCAAAGCTCCCCTTGGAAGGCAATGTGCTTGGCTTTCGTGACACAGCTCCTGTTTCCAAGCTGTCGCAGCTTGCCTCACATGTCTGGCTTAGTGATACCACAGTCAACATGATGCTCGACATCATCCGGCAACCCATCTCTACCAACTCGTACCTCTCCTCCCGTCACGACATTGTTCTGTGCTACACGGCTACCAAAATTCAGTCTGTTTACGGCTTGCGTGACAACATTGATTATCCCAACTCAAAGGACTGCGGAGAACTGCCACGTTTGGGATCTGATCTCGCAGGCGGGTTAAAGGATAGCATCAGTACACTTTGTCTTATCAATGGCAACCACTGGGTGGCCATTGTAGTCAACCAGAGTGAGAGAAAGGTATTGTATGGTGATCCAGGAGGTTCGGGAGCACCTGTGGCGCTTCGTCAAGCCATAGATTGGTGGTTGAAAAATCACTTTACCGAAAGCTTTGCCTGGGTTCGCCTCCCTTGCACCCACCAGCACGATTCCCATTCCTGTGGTGTTCTTGCTGTCAATGTGATTGCGCACCACCTCCTTCCTGCGACATTCCCACTCATATCACCAACATTGCGAGATGTTGACATCGCTCGCATCACCTTTGGCCATCAAATTGTAAACAAGCACCTTTCTGCGGTATGTAGTCTTGACGTTAAAATGGTAATGCATTGCTTACAATCAGTCTTACAGCTTGCCTCGATAACTCAAAGCAGCACGGACAGCAATACCACACAGTCGTCAGCGACAATCCAACTCATGAGCGAAGACCACTCGCAACCTCAAGGGACCTTCAAACCAGGCTGTGAAGCTGGGGAAAAAGGCGAGTCTCTTTCACTAAATCCACAGACTCATGATGCTGATCTTGACCCACCATCTCTCAGCCAAAGTCCGTCGCACCAAAAAAACATGTCAACAACGACTCAGATGCAGACAACATTTCCGAGGCAAGTGATGGGTTTGAAGGGGAATTATCCGACGATGATGAGACTCAACGCCCCATTGGTGGTCGCTCTGTTGGTCGTCCACCGACTGCTTTGTTAACGAAGATCACGCAACTCTGTCATGAAAGTGGTGACCGGGAGAAGAAGCGAGTCAGATGTAAAGGTTCTGGCTGCCGAAAGAGTTGGGTCGCACCACGTAATCATGCACGCATCCTCAAGCATGGTGCTCACTGTACCAAGTTGACAGCTGACAACAGAGCCGAGGCGAACAAGCTCTTGAATAAGGGCAGTCTTGCTGAAAAAGTCAACCAGCTCATGCGACAAGAGGTGGAACTACAGGAACCGCCACCCAAGCGCTTGAAGTCAAGCAATTCTGTTGGAAGAGAGGTTGTGAAGAAGACAGCACTAGATGTTCGATTTGGGGATCATGGCCGCAAGCTTTTGCAAGCTCGTCTCGATGATTCAATTGTTCGTCTTATCTGCATCACAGGTGTTCCTCCTTCGATCGTCGATTACAAGCAGTGGAAAGATATGTTCGCAATCGCAAATTCAGCCTATTGCCCAACAAGCAGCTCAACATTTATCGACAGCTATATTCCTGCAGAAGCTGGCTGTGTACGCACACTCAGCATCGAGTATCTGAAAACCCGCTTTCATCTCACTATCTCATATGACGGAGGTACCACAAAATTTCCTCAGTCAGTCTATACCATTCACTTCACGACACCAGGAAGGTCAAAGCTTTCTCATTGAAGGCAACAATGCCACAGCCGAGTCAGCAACAGGTGAATATATCTCGCAGGCACTTCTCAATGCGATGAAACTTGTTGGACAGCTCCGCTTCTCCGGAATTGCATCTGACAGTGCTGGGAACACGAAATTGGCACGACAATTGGTCTGCGCTGCGGTGCCCACCATCATACCCATGGCAGATGTATGTCACCATCTCAACCTCTTGTGCAAAGATCTCTCGCAACTTTCAATGTTTACGACAGGTAAGTTTTTGAAGTTAGTTGATGTCTTCTCACCTTATGTTGCCGTTACAGGTCATCAAACATATTCGAGCTATCGTGTCGTTTTTCCGCAAGTCAACTCATGGAACTTACCAATTGAGTAAGATTCATGAATGCCTGAAGATATCACGAGGGCTCGAGGGCATTGGAAAAACTCGGTTTGCCACCATCTGTGCATCAGCTATCTCTGTACAATGGTGCCTTCCAGCATTGAGGGAGCTCGTCGACAACCCACAAAAATTCAAGTTCCCACCAAAGGTAAGTATATACCAATCCCTACATAAGCTACATACTCATGTCATGTCCAACAGAAGGCTAGCATGGTTGACCTCCTGAAGAAGCATAGTCATGCAGGTACTCTGTTTGAACTTGATCTCAATCATTTAGTCAAGGTCCAGAGCCCAATTGCGAAGTCTATCGTATGCCTCGAATCTTCTCAATCGGTGTAGAGAATCATGCCTCTCATGGCGTGATATGGTAGTTTTCACCAAGGAGTATACAGCACGAACTCATAGCATTACTCTGTGCGCTACCCGCAGCTTTCCCATGCAACGCGCACCATGCGCGCACCATTCCCGCGCTTCACGATGTATACGCGCGCGCGCGTTCCCGCGCTTGTGCGCCCTATAGCGCCAGCCATCCAGATGCATCCATCCACTGTCCACCAAGCTCCCTAGTATGTATATTTCCATTTCCTTTATTAGCATAGTTCCACCTTTATTTTTATCATAGTTTCTCACTCATATATATTTTTACATACCTACTCGGTAGCGCTTCGGCTCCGCATGAGCGCGCTTAGGCGCGCTATATAAGCGCTAGCAGTACATACTACACTGGACCTACTTTTTCCTACTTTTCACTTACTAGTTACTACCCACTTACTACTTAGCAGAATATAGTAGAAAGCTATTCCTTTACATTTTGCACTCTTATATCTCTTATCTTGCTTTATATCACTACTTAAGCTTAGTTTCTCATTTCCGCATACGCGCGCGCACTTTCCCGCACTTCGCGCTAATACGCGCGCGCGTTCCCGCGCCTTTGTACCTTGCGCGCTCCTGCGCTTTCTCGCGCTTCGCTGAAGCGCACACTTCTAGATCCTTGCTGCACTCACTTCCCCTATAGGGTCGAACGCACTTGCTTCTCAAGTAACGCAGACTAGGCAGCGCGCGACCTTACAACTTTTACAGATACAGTCAGGAGCTTCTTTTGTTCCTCATTGTATTGTAGTTTCTACAACTGGAGCCCACCGCGAGGGGAGCAGTCAGCAAGATCTAGTTCCACGCATTTCGCGCATACAGGTCAATATCTTTGCATTTCAAAAGCTAATCATTTTCTAGTCACGCATTCTCGCGCCTTGCGCGCGCGCAATATTCCCACGCCTGTGCGCCTCGCGCGCGCACCTTTCTCGCACTTCACACTATTTAACGCATAAAGGTCAATCTCTTTGCATATTCAAAAGCTAACCAATTTCTAGTCACGCATTCTCGCGCCTTGCGCGCGCGCTTTCCCACCCCTATACGCCTCGCACGCGCCTGCGCTCTTTCACACTGCAATGCCTTATAGAATGCCCATCCGCGGCACAGCAAACGCGCCCAAGTTCGACGGCACTACAGACAACCTCGCCGAGTTTATTGATACCTATGAGCAGCTCGCTGATGAAGCAGGACTCCAAGGACTCGACCGCATCAAAGGTATTATCCGCTACCTTGAGCGCGACGATCGAGAACTATGGGGCGGAATGCCTGAAGCGCAAGTAAGCGATTACGACGCCTTCTTAGACGAGGTAAAGGTAATGTATCCTGGATGGGATGGTAAAAGACGCTATGCGCTCGCGGACTTGCGCGCCATCGCGCGCGAATACGCTAACAAACCAATGTCTTCTTGCACAGAACTAAGCAATTACCTGCGCGCATTCAGGAAGATTATGCAGCCACTCATGGATGAAGACCGTATTGGAAAGGCCGAACGCGACCGCTTATTCATGGAAGGAATCCCTAGCGATGCTCAGGCGCAAATCCGCTTGCGCCTTATGATCAAATTCCCTGACCACCATCCATACGACCCATACCCATTCATGGACGTCTTTGCAGCTGCGCAATTCCTATTACCTGCGCGCGCTTTTCCCGCGCCAAGCATGCCAGTAAGTGCGCCAGTTAGCGCACCCATGGTAGCGCCAAGCATGCCAGATACGACCATCAGCGCTAATGTGACAGCTGGACTCTTCTATCGCACACCCTCAGAAGTTGTACTTGACAAAAAGCCACCAGTTCCTATTCACGCGCCTCGCGCGCGCGCCTTTCCCGCGCCTTCGCGCGATTCACGCGCACCTCAAGCATCAACTATGCCAGCATGCAAAGCTATACCAGACTACATCACTTTAGATCACGAACTCGAGCGCGCGCTCGCGAAGCGCAACCAGAAGCGCACTGCAGGCGCCTCTTCACCTCCATCATCATCTACTTCATCACCTGTTTTGCATGCTAACAATTCTCCTTTGCAATCCGCACCATCACCATCACCATCAATCGTATTGCAAGTCAGGGATGACTCTAAATATCTATTGCACACTAACGCGCCAGTTGAAACACGCGCGTCTATCGCTATCACATCGCGCGCGCCTATCGCTATCACCTCGCCAGCAGTCAGGAATGACTCTAATCATCTATTGCACACTAATGCACCGCTAGAAACACGCGCGCCTATCACTCTCGCATCGCTCAAGGAAGAAACCTCGCCAATCGCACCATTGCCATCACCGCTATCACCATCCACATCATCAGAGGTCAGGGATGACCCTAAACATCTATCGCGCCTTAGCGCGCCTATAGAGGAGCCGCCTATCGCATCAGAGGCTCAAGTCGCACCTTGCATCAACCAGAGTTTGTCTCTGGAAATTCCAGATGTCACTCACGATCACGCACACATCGCGCTTTTTGCTTCCAGTGACTATCGCATGCCGGTAAAGCATCCGTGCATCACGCTGCCCAACCACCAAGCAGAGCATGTCTCAGGCGACCCTGGCGCAACTCAGGCGCACCATATTGCGCCTGAGGACGCGCAATGCGTGCGCCTAGAGGCAGTGTATATTTTTCCTCATCTTGTTTCGCGCTTTTTGTCCCTTTCATGTTTAAAGCTCTTAAGGAGCTATATGACGCTTCCAAACACTTTAGGTTCATCTTCGCACCACCCCTTGTTCACGCGCCATGATTACGCGCATCGCGCAATATGCGCGCGCATTCCCGCGCCTCGCGCATTCATAAATTTAGCAGAGTTTTCACATTATCGTGTTTCAATCACTTCCCCCCTTTTAAACCGCATTTCTATCATTCAACACAAAGTATATTTCAATCAGCCATCCAGGCGCGACTTAGGCGCGCGCCTGACACATACATATGCGCCTAACTCCCCTATCATCATCTTTAACTTTGCACTTCCCACATTTATTCACATTCTGCGCGCTTTTGCTTACCATGTCAATTTCATTCCTGCGCGCCTTGATGCGCACTATTCTCCTTCACCTATGCGCCTATTGCGCCTTGATATACCACCCTTACAGCCCATTGGCGCAACATTTGCGCCTAATTCTTCACTATACATGTCTCTCGCTAATGCATTTGCAGAGAAATGGCCGTTCCTCGCGTGTTCGGCCAATATAATTAAATTCGCGCGAAATCGCACCAAGGCGCGCACATCGCGCGCATCCTATCAGCTTGTAGGGCGCCCCTACACCCCTTGCAGCGCCTCCCATTGGCGCGCCTTCAACCTGCAGCGCGTTGTGCAGGAATTCATTCTGCCAGTTACAAGCCCCCCCCAAGCGCGCCAGCCTCGCTCATTCCAACCCTACCTTGGGTAAAGCGTCAGCTCGCAAGAGACGCGAAGCGCGCTAGTCACGCGCACTCGCACGCGCTCAAGGAGGAGGATCAAGTGCCTCAGCCGCGCATCAAAGGAGGAACATATACCAACGCTGTTTCATAGGATATTGTTTGTTTTACCCTGGGTTTCGTCCAGCGCTTTCATTTTCATTTTCTCTCATTATAATGCTGTCCAAAGAACTAATAACACACTGATATATATGCATATAGGAATCACTTAGAAGAACATAGAAGAAAAAACAATCATAGAACGTGCCTGCCTAGCTCAATAGTATATTTTCTCTTCGCATGCATGATGCGGCACCATGCTCCTTTTTACCTTAGAACGCGCACATATACGCGCAATCTTCCCGCGCACATACGCTTCACGCGCACGCGTGCGCGCTTCCCGCGCCTTTCTCATAGGAAGGTGTAGATGTTGACAGCTGCACGAAGAAGACAAGTCGGATAGGACATCCGCAAAGTTTACCATTTTCCCTTCATATTTTCACTTATAGTTTTACTCATGCTGTTCAAACCTTTAGCAACTAATATTTAGCACGCCTAGTAGGACTTGGTTTGGACATGGATTGGATTGCTCCTGGACTGCGCCACTTCGCGCCATCCCCACAGAATACAACACATGCGACACTCATGCGCGTTCTCGCGCCTTGCGCGCGCGCACTTTCCCGCGCTATATGGATATGCGCGCATCTCGCCCACGCTTTGCGCGCCACATCCATATCACCCTTGCATCATTGCCCCACACCCATGGCACATTAATCACATCAGAGTCACCCTCGCAATCCACCATGCTACGCTTCATTCCCGCGCCTTCACGCATAGCGCGCGCACATTCTCGCGCCTCGCGCGTAACATGCGCGCAACTTCCTGCGCTTCACACATACCATTCTTATGATCACGCATTCATCGCCCAACAACCAAAGCATCGTACATGCATCGCACATGCATACTATCACGCGAAACCCTCACCACACACGCACTGAGTGGGGACACTCAGAATTTAAGTCCCTGGGAGATGTAGAGAATTATGCCTCTCATGGCGTGATATGGTGCTTTACACTAGGAAGTACATAGCACGAACTTGTAGCGTCACTCTGTGCACTACCCACAGCTATCTCTATATGACGCGCAGCTTTCCCGCGCAACGCGCGCCATGCGCGCACCATTCCCGCGCTTCGCGATGTATACGCGCGCGCGCGTTCCCGCGCTTGCGCGCCCTATGGCGCCAGCCATCCAGAAGCATCCATCCACTGTCCACCAAGCTCCCTAGTGCGTATATTTCCATTTCCTTTATTAGCATAGTTCCACCTTTATTTTTATCATGCATTCTCACTCATATATATATTTACATACCTACTCGGTAGCGCTTCGGCTCCGCTTGACCGCGCTTAGGCGCGCTATATAAGCGCCAGCAGTACATACTACACTGGACCTTACTTTTCCCTTGAACTTACTAGTTATCACCCACTATTTACTTAGCAGTACATAGTAGAAGTCTATTGGTCTACACTTTGCATCTATCTTTTCTTATATTGCTTTATATCATCACTTAAGCTTAGTCTCTTTTATTTCCGCTTACGCACGCGCGCTTTCCCGCGCTTCGCGCTAATACGCGCGCGCGTTCCCGCGCCTTCGTACCTTGCGCGCACTTGCGCTTTCTCACGCTTCGCTGAAGCGCGTACCTCTAGATCTTCGCAGCACTCGCTTCCCCTAGGGTCGAACGCACTTGTCTCCTCAAGAATAGCAGACTAGGTAACGCGCGACCTCACAACATTTTATAGATACAGTTAGGAGCATCCTTGTTCCTCATTGTATTGTTGTTTCTACAACTGGAGCCCACCGCGAGGGGAGCAGTCAGCAAGATCTAGTTCCGCGCATTTCGCGCATACAGGTCAATATCTTTGCATTTCAAAAGCTAATC